GGTTGCGTTTGCGGCTATGCTTGGCATATCTATGCTACCTAGCGTATTTAGGCAAACATAGAAATATGCGCGAACCGGTCACTGTTGCAAACACACTCAGCGCACGAGCATCAAAAATCGCATAATTTCTAATAAATCATAATCTTGCGCCACATGTGCAATTGTGAATCTCTTTAATTTTTGCATCCGATGAGAAGGAATATGACTGAGTATGTGCGCGAGCGCACACACGCACACAAACTGCGCTTACACAATAATAACTGTAAGTGGTTTGAAGTATAGAGAAAGAAAGAAAAGAAAGAAAAAAAGAAACAGCATAAAATGCATTTCGATTTATTTTTATCTTCTCCTTCGCAGTTTGCTTCCTGGTCGATCGGTTTAAACCACAAGCACTAACGACACTTGCAAATCTTCTGTCATCTCAAATATTAATTATTATTACCTTATATTAAACGAGATTTTTCCACTGGGAAATCATTGGATTTTAATGGCAGGTAGATAGATGCAATCAATTCCATATTTCGTTTTCAAGTGCACAGAGCTTTTCGACCGCGTAATATTTGAGTTAAAAAAAAAAGACTTTTCTGGAAGAGTGTTTTGGGCTTTTCGGATGATTTTTATGATTGAGCAAAAAATATAATCGAAAAATTGCGTCCAATTGCGGGAATCATACCAAAAATCGGTTCAATTCAAAAGTCGTTCACTTCAATTTTGAAACTTTAGGTGTGCGTGTGTGTATTTTTTTAGCTCTACGCTAAATGGTCGTGTGGCTATTTGAATAAAATTTGTAAAATATGGGGATCATCCCAAAATATACATACACACACATTCGATCGTGTGAAAAATTATGACAGACATAATCATAAACATAAAGTATTGTCAAATGTTCACACAAGCGCACCAATCACCATCGTTTTCGTATTCTTTTTTTTTTGTTATTTTCATTGAAAACGCCGAAAGAAAGAAATGTTTAAACAAATGTGCGTTGTTTTATTCTGTCATTCTCTTGTATTAATCAAGAATATCCAAATGGATTTGGAGGCTTGATTATGAAATGAAGAAGACACAATACTGAATACTGAATGAGTGGATGCGGGAAAGAATGATACTGCGTTGGATTCGATTCGTTTGATTTGTGAGACCATTTAAATGATTATTTGTGCTAATTTTTGACCGCTGCCCGACCGAGAAAAGAAATTGGGTGCGAAATTGTCGATGACGTTCAATTTTTTTACTCTGCTTTTTTTGTCTGTTGGATGTACTGCTTTGTTGATTCGTGTGCTGGTAGAGTATGGCTGCGACTTTTTCGTTTGTTGGTGTATCTCATATTTTTATTGTATTTTCTTTCTGAGTTCTTTCATCAAAATGGCATTTTTATCTACTCAAAGAAATGGGATACTTTACGACTTTTTTGACTGAATTAATGACAACAGAAAAAAACATACATATCTATAAATTTGACAGAAAGATTTTTCATTTTTTTATTATTTCGCTTTTTGATTTTAATTATTACGATTTATGGCCGACCGAATGGATCAAGTTGTATTTGAGGCATGTGTTATCGTGACTTTGTGAGAACTCTGCCACAAAAATCGCTAATGAAATCAATTATATAAAATTTTGCATCGTGTAAGGCGTGACCGCTCGATGCCAATTTTCGTTGTTGATTAATTTTTTATAATTTTCGTTTTTTTACACAATCGATTTTTAATCGAAATTTATCAAATATCTAGCATCAATTTCATCATTGAAAAGAAAACAAATGATTTGAAATGTTATAGGGGGGAAAATGATTTGAAACAGGTGGACGGAAGATGGTAAAATGTTTGTTCATTCCAATTTTAGTCATAAAAATGTTGAAATTTGTCAGTGTTGTGTCACTTGATCGAGTTGTTACGATAAATTGTGCTCTTACACGAAAATAGAAATGAGTGTATTGTTCTTTTTTTGTTGCTGTTGTGCACGAGCGAGCTCTAGCAAAAAGGAAATGCATGGTTGTCATCGTCGTAACCGTTTCACTTTAAATGAATTTTATCATTCTTATGACATTGTTTGACGCATTGCATTTTGTTGCACTTTTTTTCATTCTCTCTTTCTCTCTCTCAATCGTTCGCTCTCCCACTGCACACAGAGTTGTAATGCATAACACAGAAATTTTTCTCAATGAAAATGAGCGTATGTGTATTTTTAGCTGCGAACGAGAATTTTGTTTCCGTTTTCATAATTCAGTTGATATACATGTGTGTGTGTGTGCGCGCTTGTGTGTACGGGTTTGCTTTTGTTCATTTATGCCAATCCGTACATAACATTAGTTGGTTGTAAATGAACCCACACTTGTGATGCACGAATCATAAGATTAATATGCACGATGAGGTATAAATGCACGCTCACCGCAAATAAATATGAAAGGAATGCCATCTCTTTCCCTCTCTCACCCTCACTATTCGTATGCGCCATTCCATTCTCTCTATCGCTTTTCTTCTCTTCGTCATTTTTTAATCACCAAATAAATGCGTTAATTTTAGTGTTTGAATTTAATAATTCATGCGCATATGGACTTTTCTTTTCATCGTGTTCATCGCAGCATCACTGCTTCTGCTGTTGCTGCAACTGTCACACATTTCTTTTTATTTTTTTCATTTCTTTTCTTATGGTTTTGTTAACTTGGCGTTTTTCATTTTTATTCCGAAATTTCATCATTTTTCTTTAATATGTAAGACAGAGAGTGAGTGAATGAGTGCATGGAACGGTTGAAAAAATGGGAAAAAAACCAATTTACACTATTATGTAAGGCTAACAGATGATTTTTGCGATTCAAGAATTCAGGCTCGCATACAGGCTCATACAAATGATGCAATCATACAAATGCAGAACACTCACTTCCACAAAAATAGTACATCCAGCAAACGAATATGAAAAAACAAATCCGTTAATTTTGTGCACAAAAATAATTCCAAGCTTTTGATCATTTTCGATCGACTTGATCGTTGGACTTGATTCATTCTTTCTCTCTCTGCCGGTGTCGCTCTATCTCTGGTATTGCTTTGTAAATTTCAACATTTCACACATTATGCATTTTATATCGCATTCAAGATAATTACACACAGAAGAGCGATCTCATTTGTTTACTATAGAAATGTTTGAACAGGGAAAGGGAGGGTAGACAAAAACAATGTATGGCACATGAGCCACACAGTGTTTTAAATTTAGAAATTGACTATGTGGACGCTAAATGATGTGCAAATATATCAAATGCGAATAATGACTGGTTATGCCAGATTCTTGGAACCGGAACTACAATACACGTAATATATATTATATTTATATACCGGTATATACGGTTTTTTACCAAAAACGTACACCGTATTGAATGAAACATTTGAATGAAAAATACACCATCACGGAAGTGCTATACATTCCATCGGCATTCTTATGGACAGACACAAGAAGAATGGGAATAGTTTCTGTTGACATTGTTCATTAATTATTTCGTTGAAATTTCAATTTAGACATTTTTTCAATTTTAAATATGATGGAACAAATTTTGATTCGATTTTACCACAGAGATCGTATAAAACTTGAATAATTTCAAGTTTAAAATGCGTTGTTTTATGTGCATTTTTCAGGTGAATCTGGCACTGTAATTCAATGTGAGATCATTGCGATGTTGATGCCTTTCCTGAGTCGACCGCGATAAATCAACATTGATGATCCAATAAATCATAGCGCTAAACTTGAACGAATGAACAATAAACAAGAGGGATTTGCAATAATATTTGTTATTTGTTTTAAATGGAGCATGTCATTGGTCGCCACGGCACCACATTAATGCTTTTGTAGTAAATTTTTGCTAGAATTTGTATACATCGAGAATTGATTTTATTGTTATGGCTCGCACTAGCCAGCTTATTCTTTCTCCGTCTCTTTCGGACGCCGTTTTTATTGCGACTATTGGAAATTATGTGATCTTGTGCCAATTTTACTCGATATTTTCCTGTCTTCTTCATGTTTTTGTTGTTGTTTTTTTTTGGTTAAAAATAGTCATAATCGTTTATCTAAAAACACGTCACATAGTGTGCATAATATGCACTGCATATAGTATCAATGTAAAATGTGATGTGCGCTTTGAAAGAATGAACGCCATCGACAAAACGATCTATCTGTTGTTCTTTCTTAATGTGTAATTAAATGCGGTTCAATAATTGAAAATATACGTTTTTAATTGCGTCGCATTTGATTTCCGAGCGTACAGAACCAACACATTTCAACACAGTCGATTGCTGTAGATCACAGAATGTTCAATCAATGGCACAGACGGATACGCGCGCGGTTGAGCGAGTGAGCGTTCATTTTGAAGGAATCAATTCGATGTACACACACAATTTTTCAATGAACATTAATTTCTATCGTCGTTTGGATCTATTTCAAAATCAAAGAAGCTTTCATTTTACTAATTGTCGCTAATTACTTACATGAACTTCAGCCATTCGTGGCATAATATACGCTCGCTCAAAGCCGAAAAAAAGAGATGAAGTGAAATGAATCGATTGGGAGTCACTGAAAATTATGGCACTCATATCCTTTTGAAATGAGACGATGATTTGAAACATTTTTCACACATTTGAGATGAATACACAAGTGCGCGAGCGCCTGCTTGCGTGCTCGTATTGTGCGGATAAACAACAAATAAACGATTTTCTTTTCGCTCATTCACTGCGTTTCAAACTTCTGGCATTTGATTATTATTTGGAGTATTGGCTTAATTTGCTTTGCAATTGAAATCGAAAAATAGATGTAAAAGATCCATTAATTAAGTTTCGATTTGCTTTTTCTCTCTTTGATTTTTGTTTCGTCTTTCTCAATTTTTTTTTAACGTAAAACAAACAAATGTCACGGCAAATAGATTTAAGTTGCAGTTTTCGTTGTATTTGAATTTCTTTTTAAAAAAAATATTTTTTCTTAATTATTATTTATGCAAATGTTTTTCTTTACGTTTATAGAATACATTAGATGGAATGGCAAGCAATGCTGGAGCAAATTCGTCGCCAAATTTACTTGAAAGCGGAGCATCAAAGCCCGATTGGAATCGATTGAGTTTGGAAAATTTGCAGGAATTGAAGAATCGAATTTTTTCACAGGGTTTCAGTGTTGATAATATGGCGGCCAAAAATCCATTCTTACCAACGCTGCCATATTTACATCGAGCTGCACAATTTCCCATTGTTCCACCGACATTTGATACAGCGGCCGCATTTTCATATTTGGCACAAATGACAGCCACCGCAAATGCCATACACTCCATGCCCGATTCAAATGCAGTTGCCGCCGCAATGGCAGCCTCACAAATAAAAAAAGAAAAATCGATAACACCACCATTAAACCATCGAATGGCGCAATCAGCCACACCATCGCCATCACAATCAAATTACGATAATTCGGATGCACCATTGAATTTGTCCAAACCAAAGCAATCGTTTGCCAATCACTTGAGTCGCTCGGTAAGTTTTTTCCAAGTTATTCTATTCGATTTTGATGTTTTATTGAATTTTTGCTCTCATTCATTATATTCTCATGAGAACCTCGTTCCATTTAATTGAACCTTTCCATTTGTGTCTCACTACGTTTACAGGCGTCAAAGAGTGGCAAATACGATCATCAAATTCAGGGAAGTGCAAATAAAGTGGATCAAATGCGAACAAGTATTATGGAAAATAGTGCAGCATTAGAGGCAACGCTGCGAAACAGCAATAATAATGGACAAAATAATAATGTGGTGTCATCGTTGCATCGTGCATTTATGCCATATTCACAGGCCACTGTAGCAGCAATGAATGCAGTGAATTCGTCCACAAATCATAAGCAATTGGGTTTCCATCATCAATTAACGTCATCGATTGCTGATATGGCCAATGTTGGTAATAATGCTGGCGGAAATTTAATGGTCGATGAACCGGATATGATGAGTGTTTGGTCAAGTCATGCACATCACTCACATCATGATCATGACGATCATCGAAATGGTTTAAAAATTGGCTTCCACGATCAAAACAATGCACAAAAATCCGGCACCACTCATATGGACGAAGAGAAAGTACGAATGGTACGCCAATCACGTGGTAATCGAAATTCGGCCGGCAATAGCAATTCAAATAATTCGGCACATAATTTAAGCGATTCACCATGCGGCATTTCAGACGGTCTCGGTAACAGTATTAGTGGTGGTGGCGGCGGCGGTGGTAGTAAAGCTCATATAAAACGACCAATGAATGCATTTATGGTGTGGGCTAAAGACGAACGCCGTAAAATACTTAAAGCATGTCCCGATATGCACAATTCAAACATTTCGAAAATTTTGGGCGCTCGATGGAAAGCCATGACCAATGCTGATAAACAACCATACTACGAAGAACAATCACGTCTATCGAAGTTGCATATGGAACAACATCCCGACTATCGTTATCGACCACGACCAAAACGAACCTGTATCGTTGACGGAAAAAAGATGCGCATCTCAGAATATAAATTATTAATGCGAAATCGACGCGCCGAAATGCGACAGCTATGGTGCCGAGATGGATCTAGCGCTGGATCTGTTGGAGCCAATGGTAGGTTTTTATTTGCAAAAATTAATTTGTTTTTTTAGCAAGCCCAAAAAAATTCATTCATTTTGAAGCGTTGGATGCAACATTCAATTTAATTTTCAATCGATTTCATCGGTTTTCTATCAAAACAGGAAGTGAAAATGTTGGATTCTTGCACGATATGTCCGTTGCATCAACGTCAGGTGGTGGTGGAAGCGGTAGCGGCCGATCTGGTTCACCAAATCAATATTATTATCCATATCCACCTGATAGCATATCACCATCCGGGTTCTCATCCGAACTTGATTCACGTGACGACGAATGACTTTTCAAATCATTTTTGAACTGACTGATTTGAACTGGGCCAAATGCGTCCAGAAGTGCTTTGTCCACCTGAGATATATATAGATCGGTGATCAAACATTCCGGCAGGTCAATCTAATCCTAGACGAAAAACAAAAAGAAAAACTCTCTTAAATTAATTTTGTGTATGGTAAAATGAGCAAAACAATAAACAGATGGAAAATATTTATGTGCGTTGACATCCAGTCAACAATCGGCAGTGCATAAAGAAATTTGAGCATTGAACGTTGAGAAAGAAAGAGAGTGAGAGAGGATCAAGTTTTTTTGTTTAAAAAAACACAATTTTAAAACTCAATGAAAGAGGCAGAAAATAGTGCAAAACAAGACGATTCGTGTAACTTTAACAATATAAGGTAAAACACATTTGGAGGAAGAAGAAAAAAAAACAAACAAACAAACATTGCTCTTAAGTTTGATAAATAATAAGGTTAAGTTTCTTTGATTTAAATAAATAAATATAAAATGAATTTAAAAAAATGAGGATAAATACATCCCAGTGAACAGATATAAATAATTAATAAATTTAATAACGTCCCAAGAGAATTGGACACGAAAGATACGGCAATGATACCAAGAAGCTCATCATAGCTCAATCCGCACGTACAAAACGACAATTTTTTTGAGACAAAAAGCAAACAACTGAGCATTAAATGTATGCGTAAAATTCATTGAATGCATGTAAATATGAATAAAATACACTTTCATTGTTCCTCCAAACAATCATTTTCAATGCTCAGCTCTCAATTTTTATGAAGAGATGGTGAATTTTAATTTTGCCCATTTTTTTTGGTTTATCACTTTGGAACAAACATTTGAAACTTCATTCACAGCGGCTTCAAAAACCTTGAATTCGATTAACTTCAATTCACAAAATGAATCGATTGAAATCGAATGAACAACAAATACAAATTCCACATGAAAACAGCGATCATTCGTGCTCTAATTATGTCAAAATTATCAAATAATGCGTAGAAATAATATTGTTAATTATAATCAAATAGAAAAATCAGAAGAAAAAAAAATGGTTGATCCTAAGGCGACGAAAGAAAAAAAAAATAACTAACAGTTAAGTAATGTGTGAACGATTTGCATAAAAGGCGGATAGTATTTGATGAAATAGAAAAAAAATGTATGGGATCGACCACAATTTTGGCAAACACGTTCGAAAGATGAACAAAATGCAAATACCATACTGAATTTTCGATATAAACCCGTTAAAAATGGAATTTTTGCTAAACAAATGTGAGTCGATTTTTACCGAAGCCAAACAAAAAATATGGCAATGAAAATGCGAATCGGAGGAATCATGAAAGAACAGAAGAAAAAAACACACACACACATAATGTTTACAACATTACAATTTAGGTTTTTAGCTGATACATACACACAGAGAAACAATGACATATAAAACTATGCAACATCTTAATTAAATATTTAAATAAATAATATACCTGTACATTTATAACGAGGACAAAAAAAATGAAAATATTGCTAAAAGAAAAGTGAGTGAAATGAGACATAGAAATGCAAATATAATATAGAGTAGTGCACGAGCATAAAAAACAAAGTAGCACAAAAAATGCATTAGGCATATTGTAAAAGATAACCAGATGAAAAAAGGACCATCGAACAAGGTGGAGAACAGCGACACTGTTCGCAAAACATAACACAGAACAGAATTCGTATCTCGTGCTTTTTTTACTATCTTTTAGGTAAAAATTATATATAAATATTAAGGATTCATGACACATTTTTCGAAAGAAAAAAAAAACACTCAAAAAAAGAGAGAACAAACTCGACAGTAGTGTAATGAATAATCGCATCGCGCGTTCACCCAGTTATTTTCTATCAATCCCTGTGTAATAATGTTGTAAAATTTTGATTGTTTAAAAAATGATTCTTTTCTGTGCCAAATACTCAAAATGGGAAAATCGTTTGGTGCCGGCTGGTGCAAACGATACAGTGATTTCTCATTCATGAGACAAACACCAAATTGTTTGACCAGCAAGAAATAGATGCACCACGATTTTCCGAACTGTAGCAATTTATCTAGATACTTTTTTTTATTATTTTTTAATTGAAACTATCGTTTTTATTAGACTAATTAAAACAATACGATTTTTTTTTTAAATTTTGGTTTGAATCCAATACAATTTTTCGTATCGCGTTCATTCGCATCGTAAACTAGAAATGAATTTTGTTTTTTTTTTGTAATTCTGGGAATTCTAGTGGAATGCCATAATCAAAAGTCGATTAAGATTGAGAAGGTGACCATTTTCTTGACGATGAATTCGAACTTTTTTCACTTGAAATCGGCGAACGATGAAACTTAAGAGAAAAGAATGAAATGTGATGCTTTTTTAAGCATGCACTAAAAAAAACGCTAAAACCCGGAAAACATCAATAGCAATTGCAAAACGTGCAATTTTTCTAATCTGTCATTTTGCCATTTAAATTTGAGTCACTGCATCTAATACGCTGGTGTTCGAATCAGATTTTGGATTCGCATAATGTGCCATTTTAAAGGTGTCATTGTTTACTGGATTCTACCATATATTTTTTTATCTACACAACACAATTTTTTTTTTGCTTTTCATTTACCTTCATTGAATACTCAATATTTTAAACTGCATACAGTTAGTTAAAAAAAAATGAAAGTACTCAGATTAGAAAAAATGTGCACGAAATGGAGTTTGGAGTAAGAAAAAACATGATTTTGTGTCAATTGAAGAAAAAAAAAAAACAATAATACTCAACCCAAAAAGTCCATTTCGCCAATGAGAAATATATAGAGAAAACATGTCCAATTCCATTTAAGGAAAAATGTTGACAGTCAATTTCGAATGTGTGCACTTGCGTCCCATTACTTGTCCAATCATCATCACAGAGACACGGCACCACAAATGTCCGTTGCGATCCATTACCAAATATTGATCTTCCCTTAATTTAAAAGAAAAACATTAAGTACTCAATCATGTAGGAATTTTCTTTTGTTTTCACTATTTTTTTTTTAATTAATCTCAAATCTTTCAAAAATTAAAAAAATATATATATTGATGAGAATGAATGTACAATTTTTAATCCATTCGTAAATAATAGCGAATGATAGCACGCGAATTATGTACATGTGAATAAGTATGTTGTGCAAGTATGTATGCGCGTGTTGGTGTGTATGAAATGAAAGAGATTTAGTGTTTATCTTCTTTTTAAACAAACATAAAACATACATTAGATTGTGTATCTAAGTGATTTTAAATATAAATGGAAGTAGATGTCAAATGTGAACAATTAAGCTATATAAATTTAGTGAAAATAAAATATAATGAAAGGATGGCAATGAAACGAACAAAAAAAGGAGAAGAGAATAGAATTGATTCAATAATAAAAAAATGAACATGTATTCCCCTTACTTATTAACATATTGAATAAATTTTTGCCCACGTTTTGTTGGCCATAATGATGGGATCGTATCTGGACGTAAATTCATAATAACCCCAAAATGAGCGCATCCCAAAACTCTCTCAACACAAAATAAGAACAAAAAAAAATTCTACATATATATAAAAATAATGTAATGGTGAAGTAAATACTTGTAATTATTACATATAAATAAAAACAAAGTAACCATTTATATATCTAAATTAAATGCGCGAGTATCACAAATAAAGATTTAAAAAAAAAAACGAAAAAAAAAACATACAACCATTTTGATTCTTGAGATATTTCAATTATTTCTCAGCTAGTTAATTGATTCCACTTGCATCAACAAATTCATGCCAAAAAAATGTAGAACCGATTCCGATGTGTGTATCTATTTTGTTTCTTATATCAAAATTCGTATAAGCAGTTTGTCTCCACTTATTATAACAATTCAATCTCACCACATATTTTTGCAATATTTCGAAACCACATTGAAAATGATGATTAGAAACATTTTCATAATCTGCGAAATACAAAACATAAGAATTGAATATTGAAAGGTGATTATGCACACATAAAACCCCATTTCTGATATATATATTTTATGGTACTGACACACGCAATCATACACAGAAACCGATACAACAACAACAAAAAACAATCTCTTGCAATTGTAGACGATATTATTATATACACATGAGATACAAAACAAAACACATACTATTTACTATGAATATATAAAATATGAGAAGTTTACATGAATAAAAATATCTTTAATCAATATTGAAAAAAAAAACTACGCACTGTGGTTGGTTTTTATTTGAGATTTATGTCGATAAGAATGTATCGTTGTGAAGGGCTTTTTCTATTTCAGCGGCTCCATTCAAAATAAGGTTCTTATGTGCCAACGTATTCTTTGCTTAAAAACGGCCGCTAATGGTAAGTATTAGATTCAAAAAAAAAGAATCCATGGCGTCTCCATATTTATTAGAGATGATTCGAGTTTTAGCTAAATGAAAAAAATGGATTCTTATTAATGCATTAGTGGTTCAGTATTCAAGTGAAAAAAAAACAATGTAAAGTAGTTCTGCGGGGAAGACTCAAAAAAGAAATCATTTCTACACTTGTGACTTGCAGTTTGTGCCGCGTATTTATCATATTTGATTTGGTTTAGGATTTGGTATTCGAAGCATACATTAGATTCTTCATCCCTTCATCATTCTTCATATCCTTCATTATTCTTTCCATCCCATTGATGAATGCATTTCGAAAGGTTATTTTTTGTCACAATATATTGTTTCAATGACGCAAGTCATCATTAAAATTTCGAATACTCGTTACAAAACCGATATCTTATACCAAACCGATTGAAAAAACTGGTCCAAATCGGTCTATAATTCTGAATAGTTTGAAAATGTCAAATTCTCTGCGCATCTCGGCAATAGATGTCGTCTTGTTCAATTCGAAATTCGGACTCAATCGACAATATTCACAATAGAAGCATGTGAATTTCATTCATTTTTGTCGAAATGTCTTCGGGCTAACGCAAACAAATTCTTGCCTCATTCACATCTCTTGCCAACACAAGCGTGTATATTTGAATGCAGCCGAACACAAATAGTGTATATTATTGCATCAAAATCAGAGTAATATGAATACGCGAAGAGAAATAATCTTAATGAATATTTGGATTCAGTGAACTTTGGTCATTGCATGTCTTTGATTTTTATTTTGTAAATAATGCAATGGTCTTGCCACAGCGTGTGTTAATCGAATTGAGAGTCAATGAAATGTTGAAGAGAGGCGAGTCGATAAATCGAGTCAAACATTATTTGGGAGTGAAAGAGAGAAAGAGTCTCAAACGAATGAGACACACAATAGAAACCACAATACACTCTTCAACCGTACAATCGGTTGGTTGAAGCTATTTTCTGGCTATTTTTTTGTTCCAAAACGATTTTTGACTTGAAATGGCTTGAAACTTCGAAGTGCGTCCGAACATCGTATCAATGGTGAATCCTGAATATTGTTCATGTTGATCACAATGTCATCAGCTGATATTCACGTAACATTCAATGTCGGCTGTCAACGCATACCTGTCACATTGTCGAGCAATTTTTTTTTATTGAAAGTTATCCATGTGTGTACGGATACAGTGTATTAATGTTGCATTCTCGGTTTTACGATTCGGATTTGCGAATTTTTTTTAAGTTAGATTTTTTTCTTGGCAAACATTATACGGAAACATTTTTATCAAGTATAAATGACTTTTATGTTGTGCATAACGATATAACGTAACATTGATCCGAACATAAACTTTTCGAAAATGAATTTTCATCGTTATTTAACGCCTGGAACAAAGTGAATTTATTCTATTGGAAAATAACGATTTGAACCTATAAGTGGAACAGAGACTGTGTGTGTGTGTGTGGAATATTTTAAGAAAGAGAAATTTACGCAATGACTTGTGGTGTAAAGGAAATTGGCCTCTGGGTTAAATTGAACAGACGATTACTGGTCTTGGCTAAAGAACATCGCAATCGATTTACACCATTTGTACGGAATTTTTCATCGACCGGTAGCGATACGACAAACACAAATGATACGCAACAATCGACGACAAAAACAAAACGGCATCCGATCAAAGACATTCCCGACGATGAAATTAAAAAGTCCGTGTTCATCTCACAGTCACATGATATTTTTACAAATTTAGCATTCGAAGACTGGATGTATCAGAATTTCGATTTCACCACTCATCACGTTCTCATGTTGTGGTCAAACGATCCGTGCGTTGTTATTGGACGACATCAAAATCCGTAAGTAATAGTTTATTATTCGTTCAATCGGTAAAAACGCAGAACGAATGTGTCAATCAGTAATCTGAATGATTTTTGATCATTTAAAATTGAATTTGTTTTTAAGAAGGTCAAAGGAACTTCTGATTACATTCGCTCTATGAATATGTATGATTGAAAAACTTCCCTTTTAAAAATGCTTGATTACATAAAAAGTAATTGAAAAATGTTTGATATTTCAGATTTTCCGAAGCCAATGTCACCCGATTACGAACCAATGGCATCGAATTGGCGAGACGAAACAGTGGCGGTGGCACAGTGTACCATGATCGTGGAAATATAAATTTAACATTTTTTACGCCACGCGAACGATACAATCGTAATTACAATTTGAATATAATCACTCGTGCTTTGTTCCGTGAATGGGAGATAAAAGCAGACATTTCACCACGCGATGATATCACATTGAACGGCAATAAAATATCAGGCACGGCAGCAAAATTGGGCCAAAAGAATGCCTATCATCATTGTACGTTACTGGTGAGTACGGATAAATCACGGCTCCGAGATGCTTTATGCAAAGAGAATGTTCAGATTGAAAGTCGTGCGACTGCATCGGTGCGTTCGCCGGTTAAGAATCTAATCGATGTCAATTGTCATGTAAATGTATCACAATTGGAAACAGCCATTGGTTACGAATTTCTTCGAACGGCCGCATCAACACTAGACGATGGTGGTCGTGATATGATTATGATTCAACGCGGTTTTCAACTAATCAATCCAACCGAAAATTGGTTTCCTGGTTTAAATAAGACCCGTGATCAATATGCTTCGTGGGATTGGCGTTTTGGAAAAACACCGAAATTTTCGGCCCACAAAACCATTCAAATGAAATGTAATGGCAAAGAGCAAGATGTACAATTGAAAATTACGGTAGAGGCTGGAATTATTCAACAGATTGCACTTGTGTTGCCAAATTGTGAAACAACCATTCCCGTGATATCAACATTCTGCGGGAAACCATACGACGAAGATAATTTACTGCACATCACAAACGCCACCAAAGGGATTAGCCTTGACAATTTCACCAATGCCATTGACCACAGTATTTGAGCTGAATCGAATTGGAATCAATTGATCAAACACTGTAATATTTCAGTTGAATGATGATCGATATATAGTTACCAACTAGTTACCATTTATTTATTTCTACTTCTCTCACACAGAGATGCCTTTTAAGCGTGCTAAATTATTTTAGTATAGACAATATTGTAAAAAAATTGATTGAAAAAAAAAAACATAGAAAAAAATATATAAGAAAAAATAAACAGAACAAATTTGATAAAATAAAAGATTTATTTTGAATTTAAAATGAAACTTTGAATTTATGTGCAATTTTACTGAAATGTTGAATCAACTAATACGAAATTAATATCTGTTAATTTCAAAATATATATCCTGTCAAAATATCCTGTCTTATATCCTGTTAAATGATCTTCTTTAATGAGATCGGCGCCTTTTTAGCCGCGTGACTTCGGTTTAATTGAATTCACTTCAATATAGCCAATGTCATTTGTTTTTAATTTTTCATATGTGTAACACGTGTGGGATTTCACTTTCGAAGAATATATGGTTTTACGATCAATAAAAATATTGGTTACATTCTTTGAGTAGATGATAAAAAAAAAAAAACAACAACAAAATAGCACAGGTTAATTTCAAATATATTTTTCACCTAACAAAATATCTATAATCTTTTTTTGAAGAACTAACATATTTTAGTTTGAAAAAATTATTTCCATCTTGGCTTTTGTGTGCTCGATGAAGCGATCTGAATTTCTTTAAATAGCTTCTTTGCTCTGAAATGAATATAGTTTCAAATGAAGTTTAAAATATAAATTTGTTTGTATAATGTGCACTGACGTTTTAAAGTTTAGTTTTTCAATCCAATCTTGGAACTCGGGATCAGACAACTTAACAAAGACTCCGGGTAAGTTAGGTAAGCTACTCGAAACGATGCCAACTTGTTTATTACGTGCTCTGTCAACAATCGGGCCTACAAAAAATGCATATTCTCAATGAAATAATGAGTCGCACAAAAATATGTAACGTTGTAACCTCCTGAATCTCCATAGAAGAAACATCGCTTGTTGTCGTAATAACCAGCACAAAAATGTTTGTCAGTTACTCGAAATTGACTGCGTCTTTTTACGGCGTATCTAGTTTGACATTTTTTGAAATTTGCCACTGGAACGTCAAGATATTGTAGTGTATCCGAATATTTAATCTTTTCTATATCTTCAGTATATTCAGTTCCACCAAATCCGGCTACAGTTAGCATGGTATTATCTACATATTCATAGTTTTTTTCCACCAAATCTATTTTGTCAATGGTTGCTGTACCAATAGGCAAAGCTTCAGACACCAGCAGCACAGCAATGTCATATTTCATCGTGGATTCGTTATATTTAAAGTGTATTACCCTGTTTTGCGGAAGGATTTCTCTAGTCTCGCCACCACTGCTTATATTTTTCGAACCAACACGAATCAACATTTTATCTTCGTAATTAACACAGTGAGCAGCTGTTATGATTTTAAATTTCGAATAAATCGTACCGCTGCACAAATGAAAGTTGGGAGTTCCTTCAATCCTTTCGACTCGCATTACCAGCGCATGGTAAGGGAAATCCGTTGCTTCAGCTTGAACACCGCCAATGATCTGTGCGCGAGCTTGAAATAAAGTCATTGAATTTTTTTTTATAGAAACTACCCTATGCATACGGCTTGAGTCAATCAATTGTTTAAACTATCTTAAAATCTATCATCGAAATGTTAATACTCACAATTTTTCATGTGTCCCTGGAAAATTAATTAGAAAGCATTGAAAAAAAATACATTTTTAGAATAGATAATACAATAAAAAAAAGCTGCTTAAAAGAATCATACCGAGAATTCACCAAAAGCAAGTGCCATCAATAATGCGTGTAAAAACGAGTTCATTTTTTTTATCTCCATACAATAAGCCAAACTTTCACATGAATATTTTACGCTGGTTGCGAGCTCTTTTATGTTAAAATTTCAAATAGCGCTGAGTACAAAACGCACCACCACTTATTTCAAATGTTATTGCCACAACTGTGCACATACAACATGCGCTCGGCTGACTTAATTTTCACACATCGATTTCTTCTAAAAAACAAAATTCGTTTGAAAAAATGCGATAAACAAATACATGTGTTTATCTGTTTTTCCAAACTCTATTTATTCATTTATTTCACCTTCTGAATTATTTTACAATATCATTTGTAATGAAAACACTTCCCGATCGAATACCCAGCCACCAGTATTTTCGACTTCGGAGCAGCAGATATCGATTGTGTCCATTACACATTTCTAATTCATAACACAATTTTTCTTAACCAGCCAATTTTACAATATCATTTCTAAAAATTTGTCTCAATGCCGATTCTAACCATACAAAAATTGTTTACTTTCCTTAGTACAGATCGATGTAAAGTGCCGAGAAAAAAAGTTTGCGAAAATAAGGGGGCCCAGTCGAAGTAGGGGGGGGGGGCAGTGGAGTACCCCGCCATATCAAAATTTGGTCGGATCAAAAAATAGTGTACTACAAAGTTGTTCAGAATGACGCGAGAAATTTTACCGTATTTCGTGGTAATTGTGATTTCGGTGTTTGTGCATGTAATTTCGCGTTTTTGAATGGTTTTGGTGTGTTCTGTTGATTTTCGTTCGGGTGCAAAAGTGTCGGTCGGAGCACTTTACCCGCTATCGCCTTTGTTGCATTGTCAATACCGGTTGTTTTTTCATCAATTGAGTCTAATTTTTTCGAATTTTCCTCAATGACATCACGGAGCAATTTCACTTCGGACATTATTTGTCTAATATTGATTTTTTCGGTTTTCGGTGTGGATTTGGCAGAAAACGACACATTCAATTCGTTGGATTGAGTACCGTTTGACGTTTCGTTGGTGCATGAATTGTAAAAATCCCCCCCTGTGATATTGGCGAGAAATTTTTTTTGCCGAAATTATTCGAATTTGCTAGGGTTTTTCATGAAAAAAGTGAAGAGCAAAAAAACGATTTTATCGTCATTTTCGCGAAAAAAATTCTTTCGATTTGCTAGTAAAATTCTTTCGAATTAGTGGTATACCAAATACGGTATATTCATAGAACAATTAGGACCCTAAAAATAATTTGAATGTAAACATTTCTTTTCTTACCTTCGACTCAATAGTCAATTGTAACAGATATAAACTGCAAACAAAAGTTACATATTTTTTTAATTCTTTAAAAATTCGTAATTTTATTGGCACATTTATTAAAGAGTTTGAATACTAAATGACAGTATTTGGGCAAAGTTTTTCTGAAATGTCAATTCAAATAATCTGAAATGAAAATCTGTTGATTTCAAAATGCCTTATATCCTGCCAAATGATCTTCTTTAATGAGATCGGCACCTTTTTCACCGATCATTATACAAGCTGCGTTTGTATTTCCCGTAACTATATTTGGCATTCTACAAAATGAAGTGAAGAATTAATACATTGTAGCGAGAAAAAAAGAAGGAACAGTACAAGGAAAAAACCTACATTCCACCATCTATTTGACGTAATCTAGTAACACCCCTTACTCTCAGTCGTGGATCGACCACCGATTCCGGATCAGACTCGGGTCCCATTTTCGACGTTCCAACTGTGTGACTCGGAGGATAAGCGATTTGATGAATATAACAGCGCCAATATTCATCCGACAAGAACTGATGTTGCGCACATGCTTCCAATGGGATTTTCAATAGTTCTGCTTGTTTTTCTTTGAGTGTTTTCGTATCCAAAATGGGGAGCATTTTCTTGATACCGCGTATAAACGTTTGAATGTCTTCTTCGTCTGTTACATAATTGGGTCGAATAATTGGTTTATCTTCGATTGATGTTTTATTTAATTGAATATAGCCGCGTGACTTCGGTTGAACTAAATTTACTTCAATATAACCAATGTCATTTGTTTTTGATTTTTCATTTAAATAATCTCTGATTTGTGGGTTATAATACGTATAACCGGAACTTGTAAAATCTGAATTTGGTGGGAAGTGATTAAAGTGAAGCATAATATCAGTGAAATCATTTCGATTATGTGAGTTTATGAAACCAATCAATTGTTGTGGTAATAATTTGGTTGTTAGAGGTCCAGTATTGTGAGCTAGTAAATTATAAAGATCATCGTGATGGGAGGTTGTTGGTACATCCGTTGAATGGGGTGCAAATGAAACAAATAAACGCAATATGAGATGATCAATGTGATTTTTTCCAACCGGTAAATCTGCCTTCACTCGAATATTGGCTTCGGTCAAATGATCTCTTGGTCCAATTCCAGATAGCATCAATAGTTTTGGACTCATATGCGATCCAGCCGACAAAATAACTTCTTTTCGAGCAAAAATTTTAAAAATCCGATTTTGATTTCCTTTAACAGCAACACCAGTAACTCGATTATCTTCGTTAATTAAAATCTGTTGAACCTCTGTATTATATGAGATGTGTAAGTTTTTTCGATTTTTTGCTGGTATTAAATACGATTTGGCCGCTGTTTGTCTTCTTCCAGCGTGTATGCTTCCTTGACATTTACCCGCACCGATTACTTTGTCAGCATGTATATCATCAATGGTTGGCACTCCAATTTCTTCTAATGCTTTAAGATATACATCTTCGAAGGGTTTTTTCGGACCGTAAAAATCAATTTTTATTGGACCAGAATTACTGTGATATTTTCCATTTTGATATTTCACATAATCCGGATTCTGATTATTTTCGGCTTTTTTGAAATAGTTCAATACATTATCATAATCCCAGCCAATGTTTCCAGCTTCACTCCATGAGTCAAAATCATGTTTATGACCTCGCACGTATTGCATGGAATTCATTGCATCTGAACCACCCAACATTTTCCCCCGTGGTCGAGTACATCCTATTGAATTCGATTGAAATTACACATTTTTGTTTTAAATCACAAATATCGCCACATGAGAAGATACAGTTATGTGTGTTAATATAGTACCGTATGGATATGCTAAACAAGCTGTTTCTGATTCAGCAGCAAATTGCCAATCATATTTTCCACCAAATAAATTTCCTTGCAAACCTGGAATCTACCAAATAGACCGAAATAACCAAATTGCAAATTAAAATATATTTTATATCATACTTCTTCTTCCATCGGAGGAACATCACCAGCTTCGAGCAATAAAACATTCCAATTTTCTATTTCACTAAGTCGACTTGCCACCACAGCTCCAGCAGAGCCTCCACCAATAATGATAAAATCAAATGCTGCAGCTCCAGCTTGATGAAAACGATAAAAAAATGTCTTTTTCCATTGTTTTAAACAGATTTTTGTTTCAAATTACCAGCCTTCCACGGTTCTTCATGGTGTGGTGGCCACATTTCTGGTGGAGAAATCGCACATTGGGCGGCGATAAGTGTTTGAAATAATGACAAAAATATGTGGTTTGAAGCTCCGACACTTTGAGCTCCACACTGTGGTGATATACAACTCATTTTTTTAAGAACAAATATCCATTCGAAAAAAAAACTAATCAACGGATTGTTTTCAAAAATGCCAAATCGCATATAATGAAATGAACTTGTTTGGTATGAACGCGAATAATGGTGACCGGTGTCTTAAACGAATGAAGCTATTATGATGGTGTAGACCAAATAAAGAAGACTAAATACAACATTCAACTCAAATGCTAAATACGAAATGACGTTTTTGGGAATTTTTTTCTTACGCGTTTTATTTACAGTCAGTTACTCTGGCAATTCCGGTTTTTTTAAATTCTCACACAGTGTTTGAATTGTATTCGAGTTTGGTGACTACAGTATTTTGTTGTTGTAATTCATTTGTTATAATCAATGATTCGTTATCATTGACCTTTGGTTCGCGTGAAAACCGATGAGTAAAGTTCTTTTCTCACAAGGGGATTGACACTGTGCTTAGTATGCGCAATTTTTCTTAGTGATAATTTCTCGCAGATAATAATATGAATAATACATCACATACTCTCTATTTAGGAAATAAATCGATAACACATATATTTCATACCTATCCAGTTTTATTGTATGCATTCCAATTTATCTGAAAAGTTTTTTTTTTCTAGTTTCTAGTTAGTGTCTGCCTCCTAGCTCTCTCAACTTAAATAGAATAGCCAACGTGTTGATGAAACTAAAGAAATGTTGTTTCTTCGAAAAAACAGCTTTTTTATAATATTAGCTTCGTTTTACCTATTTGATTGTGAACATATGCTGAAATAAACACTGTAAAACTACATTTCGAGTTATAGCATTTTTCTTTATCTGATTTTAACGTCTACTTAAAAAAACCAATAATTATAGTATGAAAAATAAAAATTTACATTTTATTCAAATTAAGATTCGATTGTGTTTATAGTTTTAGTTTCGTAGTTCGAAGTAAAGTCATTTTTGTTGTTTTTCATAAATAATTCTATTTTGTTTATATTGAATTCAGTGAAAAAAAATGAAAATGTTTAGTCAATCTATTATCACAGCGATGTCATGCAAAATATATAGAGAAATGTACATTTTTGAATTCTTTTTGTTTAGTATATTGTACGTATATATACTTAGGTCTTTAAGCGCTGTAATAGTTTAATGGAAAGCGTTTAATATGATAGATAATCTTTTGCTTAAATTTGGGACTGATTCAAAATTTCGTTGAAATTACTTAACGAATTTTTAAGGGAGAAAAGGCCATTATTACGCTCTGTAATAGATCTATGGAGGCACACTTCATTTTTGAACCGATTGATATGGAAAATCAATCATTTTTCTTATAGAAAAATATCGATATTTCAATGACCTTTTCCGGTGAAAGTTTGTACTACACCCAAAGAGTTAGCAAGCGGGATTTTTAGATTGGACCTTAATTGTACACATATTTTCGAATTAATCATTTTTATTGTTTTTTTTTTTTTTTCTTTATTTCAATTACATTTAAAATCATCAAATATAATCTAATCGTGCCATATCTTCTATAACATCACGCAAACGTTCATGAAATTTGCTTCGTGATTTATCTGATATAAAAATATCGGTTCCATTGGTTTCCTTTCCGCTCTCAAGATCACATGACACTTCATCTATATCGATTGCGTGCCCACTGTCGGACGTTAACATCGGCAACAATATTGTAGACAAAATTAATGCAAATTTTGCAAGTTGGTGCAAGTGTTTTTGCATTAGTTCACGTGGAAACAACTTGTGTGGCTTAGATCCCAGCCTAGAAATAAATCGATTATTATTTTTATTTTTCATTTTCAATCTAAAAATTAAAATCTAGATTTATTTATACATTTTTATATGTTCACACAAGCTTTCATGATAAATGTCCAAAAAGCTCTCATAATGAACCTCTCGAAGTTTCTTCGTTGTACAGCAGAAGATAAAATAAACGATATCAATGACTGGCGAAGAGTGTCTTGATGTTTGCCAATCCAAAAGGCAAACTTTCATTGGCTTACTATTAGTGTCATACTTAAACATTGTGTTATTTTGCCATGTATCGCCATGTGATATAACTGTTGCTTCACCTGTTAACTCTGTATCAAGACAATCGGTTGCAATGCTAAAAATGCCCTGGTCACAAAGCTTTTTCACTTTAGCCAATAAATGAGCATCTTCATCAGCAGATACAACATTCAACATTATTTCCGCTTGTTGGTTGACAATTTCACCTAAACGTATATCATCTTTACGCACAAAGACTTCACTCAAATTTGATGCGAGTTCATTAAATTTGTTCGGTTGCTGATCTTTCAATGCAAATGAAATTGCGTGAAATTTTCCCAATGTTTTCATAACCAAGTTAACGTGTTCAGCAGTCATATCTTCTTTATGCCGATCGACGGTGGTGAAACCATTCACACTCAAATCCTCAAAAACTAGACCTTCATTCAGTTCCACATCAATGGTTTGATAACACATTGGGTATTCGCTGAAAATGTTCACATTTTTTGAGCGCTCAAATTGACGGAAGAATGGTAAAACCTAAAAACGTTTTTTGTTAATTTCATTTACGTTAATTTCATTTACGTTAATTTCATTTGGTTACGAGATTCAATTCTACTTCGAAAATTATTGTTCACTTTATGCCACGTAGAAAATCAGACTTTAGAGCCAAAAAATCGCTTACTCAATTTACCTTGTCGTACATATAAATCTCACGCACAAATGCCGGTCGAACAAAGAAATTGTCACGACGCGCCAAATTTTGTGGCGCTGTTTTCACAATTAACGACTTTGTTGCACCATGCAACCAATCATTGTTAACAGCGTTTTTCTTTACAAATGACACACGATAAATATTACCAATGAAATTGTTCACGCCACATTGTGATGCAACACTCAAATTGACATCATAATTTTTCGACTGTAATTCATTTTCGATGGTTTCGAAAAGTTCAGCACGAACCAATTCACTGGGAATATTAGAAAAAAATTTTTCACACATTGTATTGTAGATGAAATTTCACGGAATTTACCGCAATGTTACCGCTTAATAAGTGATCTCACAATACTGGTTACTGTTTATTCCATTCAAATGTTTTTAATTGTTCACAAGTTTTTGATTAAATTGTTCTACGTATCACATTGCTATTCGAAGTGTTTAACGTTTGTTATGAATGCTGTTAAAAAGCTATGTATACGTTGTTAAGTGCATTGCACTTCCAAGGTCTTACATCCTAATCAGTGATGCATTCCCATACGACGTATAAATAAATACATATAGACGAGCAGAAGTTAGTACCGATATAATAAGTGATTTCCAAATTAAATAAATCATAAATCATTTGTTTTTATAAGTTACCCACTTTTGTGGATCATGCACCTTATATGTGTGAACAAATACATAAAGCTGTTGATATTACGTCGAGTAAGTTTATGTGTATGATTCAGATACAAAGTGATGATGATTACTTCAAGATTAGATATGACGAAATACGTTGTAAGTTCATTGGACCTTCAAGGATTTTTTTCGGGATTGAAATGAAAGTGCAAAACCTCTCAAAAAACACCACCCTTCAGTTGGTACATTTCGATTGTGTATTTTTATTTATTATTTAGAATCTAGAGCTTAAAATAAATTGCATTCAATTGGAAAACTGGTTAGTCATTGCCATTAGAAAACGTGGTTGATGTCATGCCACCAATTTCGGTAGTAAATTTTTAAAATGAACATGTTGCTATCATCCCTCAACTTTCTATGACCAATTCGAATCTGAATGCCATTTTAATGTCAGAATTTGATTTTTTTTTTTTTGATTTTCACTCAAAAACTGAAATTGGATGCAGACAATTGTACAAATATTGTAACAATATCATTGCAGTAAAACCAAAATTGGACAACAAAAACTTCATAGAGGACTAAAATCCGACAGCCCAATTCAAATTCATGGACCATCCCAGTCATTTTTTTTTTTTTTTAAACAAACCTTTTCACCTGAAAACATATACAAAAAATAAAAGATCAGTTTAGTCCCAGTGAATGTTACAATTTATTAAGCGTGTAGCAATGGAACTTGTTTTGCACAACTGAATAAAGAACATCCAATAAAATTGTCCATAGATGTCGCTTAAATCATGTGTGTGTGATTAAGTTGGGCAGTAAATAGGCAAGTGGTTGTTTTGACATTTGTGCCAAAAGTGTTTAAGATCAGTTTGTGTGAAATTGCGATGCATGCATAAACAACAAACGATTTTAATTTTTTCATTTAAAGTTCATTTTAAATTAATTTAGTTCTAGGAATGGAGGATAGTGAGTTTGATATTTACGATGACTTGGATGTTTTCGAAAATAATGAGAAGCAAAAGGAAAAAGTAATGTAACCAATTCGTAATATCTGCTAGTATTTTCTATGTTGAATGTTTTATTAATAGAGTGCCGATTATTTGGAGCTGCATAAGAAATTTCGGGAAGCCGAAGAAGAGATTCGCCGATTACAAGAGGAAAATGAGAGTTTGAAAGAACAAATAGCTACTCATCAGAAAATTGAGGGCCGACTCGAACGAAATGGTTCTAGTTTGTTAGTTACCGCCAAAGCGGAAATCAAACGAAAAGATGATGAAATCCATCATCTGCGTAAAGAGTAAGATTTCAACGCTTATATTTTTTTACAAATTAAATTTACCAATTTCTATTATTGTCACCAAACCAGGAAAGATAATATCATTTTTCGGCGTAAACACAATATGCAGAGAAATCTGCAAACACGAAGTTCAGCTACACAATCTCAAATCACATGTAAACCATTCATACCGTATGAATTAGTAGAAATTGATTTGGATGCGAGAGATAAATCGATGGAGCGAAGCCATCGACGTAATGACAATCAAAGGAGCAATCCATTTGCATCGAAATCAAACAATGACAATTGCAATGAAAACAAAGTGAATCCAAAAAGCAGGGAGATTTGTGTAGACAAAAATCATCGACAACAATTTCGTGATGATTACAGTACACGCGGAAAACACAGTAATCAACGAAGCAGAAACGATGAACGACGCGAACAATTGAATGTTGAACGCCCAAAACGTAGACGGTCACGGAGCTTGTCGAAGGAACGAAAAAGAGCACGTCGAAGTCGAAGTCGAAGTCGAAGTCGAAGCCATGCTGAAAGACGACTTCGTCGACGAAATGAACGAAATTCACCGGACAAAGGGACAAGGAATCAGGTCTGATGTCATAACATTTGGATTTTTTTCTTTAGATAAACGTTGTTCTTAATTTAACTAAAAAAATTTTAGCATTTGCGAACAAAGCGGGAAAAAAGTAAGAGTCAAAGTCCAAAACGATCGACAAGTCCACATGAGAATGATGAAAAACGGCAATGCAAACAAAAGCTTGATGAAAATGCAACGAAACAAAATTCATCGAGACAAAAATCGGATGTGGAAAGTCAACCCAAAGAAAATGAAATGCCAACGAAATGTGTCATTTCGGATGAAAAGGTGAAAAGTGTCAAAACCGAAATTGAAATTACACCACCGGTGTATTCCACGTTGAGTCATGATGCCTTAGAAGAAGGAGAAATCGAAGAAGACCATGATAGTAAGGGTGACACTACGGATTGTATTGTTCTAGAACAAAACCCAAGTTTACAGTTCACATCTGATATCGATGCTGCATCACATGAAATTAAAACAGAGTTGACAGCCGCTCAAAGTGGTATGAGTGAAAGTGAGAAATTGTCAGAGAATAAGTCAATCTCATCTACGGATTTAAATTCGGAAAGTCAAATGGAAACGATGCTAGAAGAAAATATCAAAAACGATGATCCGCCTCAATCATCACATGAAATTGATACCAATTCAGCTACTGTTAAGACTGAAAGTATTGATGTGGTCAAAAATACAAAGGTTGAAATCGAACCAATTCGAAAGACTGAAGATATAGAAATGAAAGGGCTAGATAATACAGAGCCAAAAAGAATAGAAAACCCTCTAGTGCATGAAAATGATTTGATCGATAAGACACCGCCAAATCAAGAGAGAAACGATGAAAATAGCGTACCGAATTTGCAAGATATTAGAATCGAAGGAGTAAAAAATGTAACAAATTGCGATGAAGCGCTTGCAGTTAACAACGAAAACACAGCAACTCTCAACTCTCCACCTTCGAAAAACATCACAAAATTAAACGAACATGATGAAAATACCAAACAAAGTGAAACCAATTCAAATGGACAAAGTTTCACCGATGCAATGTACCACGAATTGCTAAATACTTCCGGCAATAAATCGGTTAAGAATATTTCGACCAGCTCAAAGGACTATCTTATTGTGGAAAATGAGAATAATGAAACGGATATTTATGTGACGCGAAAAAAGAAGAAAAAGAAGAAGAAGAGCCTCACGAAGGCGTAGCTGGAGCCATTGAAGGACAAAACAAATCATTGTTAAATAATGCATTAATAACCAAATTGTTTTTATTTTTTTTTAATATACCAAAAAGTTTGGTAGTAATATGATTGTTCGCAGTTAAAATATTTTAATAAATATGCATTGTTTTGGAACATCAAATTATTGGATATACAATTCTTGGGCACAAAAGGTGGCTCCGAGGTATAACGTCGTTTATTTTATCACGTGTGTAAGTCAGTCCGTGGCAAAAAAGAAATGATTTTATGTTTTTCGAATTTTTATTTGGCCCATTTCATTCATAAATAAAGAATACAAGAGAATCCATTGTCAAAGTTTCCTTATTGAACATAAATCAGTTCATTCAAAAGATCCTCCATAACAAAGGATAAGTATTGATAATGTAATGTTGTATTGATAAAATTCTTAATTAAGAATTGCACGGATAAATTATTCTTTACGAAGGATTCATATAAAACTGTATTTCCAATACTTTCCTTATAAAAGAATCTACTCGAACATTCTTTCATAAATATTTTTCTAGAAGCTTCTGAAAGCTGGGCACACTTCAATTTGTTTGAGTTCCTTTTGTTACCATATTAAATTCATCGCATCTGCAATTGACCGAATCATTACGAAAAAAAAAAAACTTAAAATAAAATCCCAATTTCAAGTCGAAATGTAAAATGTTTCATCAATTTTTCAAAGATATTTATTATTGACTTGCATTGAAATAAATCGTTCGTTTTATTTGTCCGTTTACAAACATATGTGTTGAAAATTCGAGAAATGCTCTGTCTTGAATTTGAGCGCCGCCTGGCGGATGAATTGAATACAATACTGAAACTGCATTGACACTTGATGGGAAAACGACCAAAGAAACTCAGTGTGTATTAGTATTAACAACGAATCTAATGAGTACACAACAACATTTTGAAATAGATTTCTAATTTACAAACAAATATAATTTATCCGTAATAAATAAAAATTGTCAGTCAAACGTGCTGAAAATCGTTTGCAAAAGCTATCAATTCAAAGAGACTTATTGCGAGCTGTACAGCAACGCAAAAGAGCAAAAAAACTTTGAAATAGACAGTGTTAAATAGTTCTCCATTTTACTTTTTTCGGTCACTTTGTGCATTTTGTGACGTAGAAAAGGATTTATTTTTCTGTTGAAGGAAACCAAAAGAAAACCAACATGTTCGGTTCATTGATGGGTGATTTTGAGGATGATCCAATTTTTGGGTAAGTAAAATTTATTAACTCTCTAAATGTACATAAAATTGTTCTCAGTGATGTAGAAGTATGTGTGTGTGTATGTGTGACTACTTAAAAATAGAAAATTGGTTGACGACAAAGCAGCAAATTTTCGGAAAAAAACACATCAATATCGAAATCAATCGAGTTGCCTTCGAGGTTTTTGGGCTTTTTCTCGCAAATATCAACGTGTGTTTCGTTAAGAACACATCAGTGGTGTGTATGGAAAAAACCACATTTGCAAATCATATGTTCAACACACATTTAATGTGCATATTGTATTACATGTCAGAGAGAGAGAGAGATGTATATTTGATGTTACTTTTTTATGATGATTGTTTTCATGGCAAAGTTTCAAGTTCAAAGTTCTGCATTGATATCTTGTTTTTTCGCAATTAAATAAGTGCATAATATGATTTTTACACAAATCATCAACTTGCAAGAGCAACCAATCGAGGTTTCGAGAACAGATTCACATATACATCCACAGCGCATTTCATACACATCGAAACCAATACAGTCATTATGACGCGAGTGTATCACTATAAATATATGCGCACTCTTTCGTTTTTCCATTTGAAGTGAAGGAGTGAGAAGGAGAAAACGAGAGATTTTGATGTGCTTGACTTTATCGCTTGTTATTTCGTAAGAGGAGAATTGGTACTTTTTTTTTTGTAAAACTATCTCTCAATGTAAATGAGACACCTCAGAAAATCATGGTCTTCACTACTACTGTATGCCATGTACTTTCGAATGCAAACTATCACATTCACAAAGGCTACTCTTAGCTCATTTCAAATGTAAAAGAAATGATACTTGGTCCGACCATTTGGGATGTTATGTATATGATGTTTGTTTTTCCGTTGTTTTTCTCTTCATGATGTTACATGAGAGTCCATACTCATTTTTATTGTACAATTTTTCTAACAAGAATCAAGTGTCATGGATGTTTTTCGCAACAATCGTTGCATAATAATGTGTACGAAAATGAATTAATTACGTTTTAAGCATTCTTTTATAGATTTTTTTCAATTTTGCTGAAATACAATTTTTTTTATTCCCTTCCATTTTGAATAATAATGTTCATTAAAATACCATGAAATTAATGTTTAATTAATAAGACAAAAATGTAAAAAAAATTATAATAATTCGAAAATGGTGACATTTATTCAAATCGAATACGAAATGTTGTCAGCTATGAAAATGGAATGATTAATTAGTTTTCATATGAATATACTTCAGAGAATTCTTTTTTCTCAAAAAAATTCTTCATGAAAATGATCGAACTCCAAATGAGCTTATTTCGAATATTTGTATTTATAAGTTATTTCAAATATTTACCTAAATGTTTTTTTTTTTTTTTCAATTTTCTCTCAATAGTCATCACATGCGTTCGATGCGCCAAATGAATAGTATGATGAGTTCAATGTTTGGCGATCCATTTGGGTGAGTGTTTTATTTTTTAAATGAATTTTTCGAATTTAATGTTTTGTCATTATGGTAATTGAATTTGTTTGTGTCATTCGCAGTGCATTTGATGCATTGACTGGTGGTTTCGGTCCACAACAAAACCATCAACAGGCTATAGGCTTCGGCGGTGGTTTAATGCCATTTGGTTTAATGCCATCGATGCCAAATATGAATCGTTTGTTGACCGGTGAAGGAATGGAAGCCATTGGAGGGCCATCGTTCTCATCGAGTAGCGTAATTTCAATGACACAAGGTCCGGATGGAAGACCGCAAGTATATCAGGCAACAAGTAGCACTAAAACTGGTCCCGGTGGCATACGTGAAACACAAAAAACGGTGCAAGACTCACGAAGTGGTGTCAAAAAGATGGCAATCGGTCATCACATTGGCGATCGTGCTCACATTATTGAACGTGAACAGAATTTGCGCTCTGGCCAACAAGAGGAACGTCAAGACTTTATCAATTTGGAAGAGGATGAGGCTCAAGACTTTGATCGTGAATTTACACAAAAGGCTCGTCAGGGAATGCGATTGCCAAATGCCATCAGCGAAGTGAGCAACGGAAGTGGATCACGTCGACCAGTTCAAGCTATCATGCCAGCTGATTATAATGCAAGGTAAGTAGAAACGAAAGACAAAACTAAAAATACCAACAAAAAACTTAAAATATTTGGTTATCTTTTGTTTGAGAACTAAAATACACCCAAAATGAACACAATTGCTGAAAATTTCATTTCTTGCCATATACAAATCAATTTATTCAGAAACATACATCATTAGCTTTTATTTATTTGATCGAAAACCTTTTCCTTCTTTATTTCATTTTTATTCCCAAATGAAAAAAAGATTTCCGTTTTTTTTTATAATACAAAACGTGTTTAAGGATTTCTAATTTTCCAAAGACTTCATATTGAAGGCATTTCAAGAGATTTTTTTTCAACATATTTTTTTTATATTCCCTTTAATCAATTAAACATTTATTTCCACTTTCTGTTTCTCTTTCTCATATTATTTTTGATGATTAATAGTTTTAACCAAATGAAAACGAACCATGACTCATTTCTTATATGTTGTTTGTAAAGTAATTGTGATTCAATTTGGTCTAATGTGATGCTATGTTTTCCATATTTAAAAAAAAATGTGTAGATAATTGCATATAGGTGTTAACTACGTATTAAAATGTAGAACAGCAATTGTGGCTCGTGTATACTGTTGGCTACGAACGTTCGTTCGTTCGTTCGTACGCAATAGAAATAACATTTTTGTTCGTTCGTTCGTTCGTAGAAATTTAAAAATAAAATTGTGTTCGTTCGTTCGTTCGTAGGAATTGAAAAAAAAGAAATTGTTCGTTCGTTCGTTCGTAGAAATCGAAAAAAAAAAAATTTGTTCGTTCGTTCGTTCGTAGATTTTGATAAATAACAATTTTGTTCGTTCGTTCGTAGCGATTTTTTATTTCAAATATTTGACCAAAAAAGAATCAATTATAACATATTATACACTTATATCCTGATTTTAAAGTATGAATCAATTTATTTTTATTATAAGGCAGGAAGTGATATTGAGATATTTGTATTATTTTTGTGTAAATTTTTGCGAAAAATGAACAACTTATAAAAATTCCATGAGACTGTTTCGTGCCAAAACTAAGTCACTGAATTTTCGTTCCGATGGTGCCGAAGATGCAGTTATTCCGGCCTTTGACACGAATAATTGATATAATTTTGAAAATGTATGACGATTTTCATACCACCACCCACATAAATCAAAATCATATGGATTTGTTGGCATTACTTTCTCTTGCAAGTATCTTTGCAATTCTTCAGTCAAATTACTGTGTGGTGTTGATTCGACATTGGAAGGGCCCATGAATGTTTCCAAAATGTCTTGATTCTCGGTGTTGATGTTCACGCATTCGTTCAAATTTTCTTCACCTTGTTGATGAAACGGTTCTAATTTCCAAATCAAATCATCAATAACACCATACACATCATCTCGTTCAACTTCAGTTGCTAGTGGAATATTTTTAAGCAAAGGTATCATTCATACGGAATAGCGGCTTAGGTGAAACATGCAACTCAAAATTGCAAAAACATATTGAAGTTCGTTGGAATACTGTTTATTACACTTTGAACTCAGTCGCTTTGAATTATACACAATTGGCACACATTTTATTGGAGAAAGAACAAGCAGTTAAAAATGCTGATGTTATGCACAAATTGACTAATATTCCACGAAATGATCTAGAAATAATCAGAGATTATTTGAAAAGTTTCAAAATATGGAGCGAACGACTAGAAGCAGATAAGTACCTACACTTTGGATGGTATGGCCAACGTTTGATTTGTTGAAAATATATTTGATCGAGCATACGTCCTCAAGGGGAAAATTTAAGGGGGGTGATGGAGAAAGATAGTGAAGAAATGGGAAGGAGCTTATAAAAATGATTTCACTAATTTTTCATTTTTCGCAAAAATGTACACAAAAATAATATAAATATCTCAATATCACTTCCTTCCCTATAATAAAAATAAATTGATTCATACTTTAAAATCAGGACATAAGTGTATAATATAATTGATTCCTTTTTGGTCAAATATTGAAATAAAAAATCGCTACGAACGAACGAACAAACGAACAAACGAACGAACGAACAAAATTGTTATTTATCAAAATCTACGAACGAACGAACGAACAAATTTTTTTGTTTCGATTTCTACGAACGAACGAACGAACAAATTTTTTTTTTTCGATTTCTACGAACGAACGAACGAACAATTTCTTTTTTTTCAATTCCTACGAACGAACGAACGAACACAATTTTATTTTTAAATTTCTACGAACGAACGAACGAACAAAAATGTTATTTCTATTGCCTACGAACGAACGAACGAGTGTTCGTAGATGTTCGCAGCCAACACTACTCGTGTATAAAATCTCAAGCAAAAAAAGAAAAGAAAAAGAAATAGCAACTATGATGTCGGCTAATTTTCAATGCATTATGAATGTTTATTCGAATTTTTCAATCATCACGCATTGCATATTCCTGCTTGGGAATTCATCTTTTGTCACGTAGACATGTTCGTTATTCATAAGTGGCACGTTCACACACAGCAAATTCCATTAAATATATAAATATATTCTTCTGAACCGGCAACAAATGGCATATTTTAATGTGTCGTGAGATTGTTGATTACAAAAAAGTCGAAGAAGAACAATTATGTATGAAGAAGAAAAAAATGTCGATGATTTTAAAAGAATGTCAAGTCGCAAGAGTAGATCGATTGAAAATCATGTATCATCACAAAATTGCACTTATAAAAATCGAAAAAAACGTGTTGATTTTTAAAAACTTCGAAAATGTGATTGAAAAAAAAACCATTTTACAATTTACTCAAAATAATTCAACAGCTCAACATCGAATAGAACCGAGGATGCCGAACCAAAAGTAACAATGCCACCGTCGCCTCCGCCAACGACTGCGTCGTCGTCGTCGTCGTCTGTACCATCGGGTTCTCAAATGCGTCGTGGTGTGCGTATTGATAAGCCGCACACGCAATATTCAAAAAATCAATCGAGAGCCAATTTAGCATCGCCAAGACGACCACTTCGCACGCCGACCTCATCACCTCTAACAATGAGTAGTGGTTTGAATAATTTTATATCGCCGCGAACAAGGTTAGTCTGAATTTAATTGACAAAGACAGAACAAAAAAAAAAGCATAATGTTTGATAGAGTGAGTTATGCGGCGCGCAACGCAACTTCAGATAATTCAATTTCATCTAAGCTCACAATCAAATTCAATTTCACTTTCGATTGGCTGACATTCTTTATGCTCTTTTTAACTTCTTGCAAATTCTGTTTCGATCACGAGACATTGATTCAAAAATGCATCAGTTCAACATCGAAATCGATGTCATCGCATCTGTATTTTTTTAATATTTGCTGAATTAATATGGAAAATTAAAATTGTTTGTATTTTTCTTTTTGTATGACATTAACAGCAATTTATTTTTCGAATTCAACTTCAACTAAACATAATGACAACTAACCAATTTTTATTTTGGTCTTCATCTCATAAAAATCACATCAAATAATTTAAATGACGATTATTACATTCGTTCATCACTGAACTATTAACACCATCAACAAACCGGAATGTGAAGAGAGAATACATTGTTTTTGAGGGGCATTTGATTTCTATCTTGGTTCATTGTTTGCGCCGTAATTTACTAATCTTTCTTTGACATTGGCTGTGCAGGCGAATTAATTTATCCAAAAGAGAAAAATAAAACAATAAAACAAACGTTTGAGACACATTAACAACACGATGCACTAACAATACTGTAAGGCGTTTCCGTGTGACCGATTTTATGAGACTATTTTTCATTCTGTCACATTTACACGTAATTACGAGTTTCAAGAATTTGAATGGTAAACGTCGAAATATTCGGAATTTGGCGCGATCTTCATTTCTATTGGAAATATCAAGAGGAGAGTATGTTTTCATTCAGACATTACTCAGCCATAAGCGCTGAATAACATACTCTCTTCTCGATATATTCAATAGATTTGGTCTGAATAAAATATGACTGGGTCATTTTGTTTTAGAATTAATTATTTATTAATAATTTGTGTGCGTTCATTTTGAATAGAAAAACAAATGGTATCTTAATAAAAAAAAAATTAATAATTCATTTGCAGTATCCACGAAAATGTTTAATAATTAATTTGAAATTTTACAATTTTTTTTGAATTTTTGTTTTTACAGCATTCACCCACATCCATACAACAATGCATCTCCACAGTCGCGACGTACTCATCACCACCACAGACAAATGAAAGATAGATCACAGCAGCACGTAAACAATCATCAACATCATGTACAAATCGAGGAGCTGCCTGATGATTACGATGATGGTGCACATAATTCACGCCAATAGAAAGTTTATTCGTCTTAAATTTATAAATAATATATCTATCTCAACTTCATGGTTTTATTCAACCGTTTAAGCACTACGAGCATTACATTAAAAACAAGAACATTTTTGCTTCCTTTTGATGAAATGATTCCAATTTTACGTTCAGTTCAATTTTAAGCCACACTCCACATATTGCATCTATTGCGAAAATTCATTGGCAAAATTATGGAACTGTCAATTGACAGAAAAAAGAAAACAAACCAAACCACATTTAGTTCGAACGGGTTCAATATTTGTAGTGTTCAACCACACAATCTATGACAATTTTTTTCATATACATTTAAAAGTAAAAAAAAAAAACAAAATTTTAATGGCAACTCGAGAATCAAAGTAATCAAACATTCCGAATGTAAAAGAAAGAGAAAACTTGTATTCATAAGAATTTTCGGAGAATGTAATGACCTATAGGTTCATTTAAGCGCAACATAAATTGTTTTCAGTAGCAAAGTGCTTAATGTCGAATATCAACCGCATAACGACTGTAGAAAAACTCTTCAAATGATGTAAAAGAAATGAATTGGATAACTTTGGATTTATTTCGACTTCTTCGGAATTTCATACTTGAAAATAGTTGATTTGCATTGAACTAAATCTAAGAAGAGAGAAAAATAATCGATTTTAATTCTGTGTGAAATTTTTTTATTTTTAGACAAAAAAAAAACATCACAACAAATGTTCAAAATGTCCCAATATTTTCTTTCCCGCTTAAAAAAATGCGTTTTAAATTAAATTTTTTTCTACATGAAATTAGGAGTAAATGTGAATAAGGATTCATTTTGATCATAAGAGGAGTAATAGACATTGATTTTTCTTCATTTCTCGGTGTTTGAACATAGACACTGAGCATATATTCTTCAATTATTTATTAAATAACTACAAAATGAAAAAGAAGAAACAAACACTTAACAATCTTACTTCGATTATGAAAATTAATCTCTCCTCATACATATGAATCCAAATAATAAAATTTCAAAACAAAAAGAGTGAAAAAAAAAACCATTACATAATGACAAAAAAAAAAGAATTCATATGGAGTCAAGAAACCAATAATAATAATAAATAGTGTAAAATCTATGTTATATTGAATAAATTTTAATTTTCATTAATCTTAAGTTAGAAAACTATTCTAAAATTGCGTTTTATTTATCAACTAAAATCTTACTCGTCTACTATGTTGGAAAATGGCTGAAAATTGTATAGCATCACTGTGTTATATCTTATTTGCATTTCGTTTCATTTATTGTATATAAATTAAAAAGCGATCTTAAACACAAAAGAGATGTTGAAAACTATAATACATAACACTTAAACAAAATTACATTCATCACCGTTCGTATACAAAACGGAAAGTTTCCATACCATTTTTATTGAAATAATATGCGGAGTTCATCTTCTTTGAGACCAATAAGGAGCATAATAATGCCACCGATTAGAATTCCAAGTGCTTGAATAATGGTCATTTTAACGGATTGTTCGGCGCGACTGAGTTCGGGTACAAGATCGGCAAGTGCAATGTACAAAAATGTACCGGCTGTTCCCGCATAAATCCATCGAACAAGTTCACCGTTTGCATTCACAATTAATAGACCAAAAACCATACCGATAAAACTCAGCACCGATGATATAACATTAAATACGAATGCACGCCGTAAACTGACGCCGGTTTGTAGTAAAAGTGCAAAATCACCAAGTTCATGTGGTAGTTCATGCATTAAAACTGCTAACGCTGTTGCCATACCAGTTACGGGTTCAACACCGAATGCTGCACCAATGGCCATGCCATCGGTTAAATTATGCAAACCATCGCCAATGATAACCATAAAAGCGACCGGTGTTAAAGAGCCCATTGGTCGGACTTTTGTATCTTTTACCATCACCTTTTCTTCGTTATTTTTCTTTGAATTTTCAAGATCATTATCAAGATCCTCACAACTGCCACAATTGCTTGATGCATTTTCACTCTGTTGATGACACTCATCCGGACTATGAATTGTTTCGGCTTGAACTTTATTTGATAATGGTGGACCGTGCATGTGACCCCCATGACTGTGTCCGTGTCCAGCATTTCCAGATAATAATGGCAACAATGATTCGATGAAATACATTAGTAGTGCTGTTAAAAAGACAAAACCGCACAGCCAAACAGCCTCCGTTTCATCTACATCAACATGCTCATGTCTATCCGCATGCTCATGACTTTCTGATGCCGAGTGCTTATGTGGCATTAATGCGTGTGGAATCAAATGCTGTTGACGGAGAGAAAAAACAAAATGAAAAATAAGCATTATAATCTCATTCAATGCAAACGGACAGCGTATAATTTGTGTCTGACAAGGTTACGAATTTGATCATTCCATTAACTTTGTTTTTTTTTTTTTTAATTTTAAGAAGTGTATATTTACCATCAAAGCATCTCCAACCTGTGAAAAAAAAGAATATGCATTGTATTAGTTACACACGAGTCAAGCATTGATATTTATATATACTGACCAATGTTCCGATCGCAATGGCAATCATAAAACGTAAAATTTCATGATATGCAGAAAATCTTGTCAGAGGCACCATTGCGATTCCAATTAATCCACATAATGATATAATCGTGATTGACACAACTGCCGCAATCCATGCTAAAATGCGAACAAAATAAAGGCAAAACCATTCAAATAAATCGTCTCACAGTCAGTTTTATCGTCTATCCTGTCCATGCTTACCGAAGGGCGTAATATCCTTGACCTCTTTTCGTGGCGCTGGTGTAAATTGTTCGGCACACGAACCTTGTTCAATTTGCACCAACAGTGCCGGGCACATGTTCATAAATGCGGTTGGTGTAATTTGAATATTTGATATGCTATGGTCGGCATCTTCAATTTTATCATCGGAATGATGTTGATGATGATGTTGATGTTGGTGTTCAGCTGCAACCGAATCGGACGATGACCGATAGATTGGATTATTTTTATGGGTATTATTCAATGCGTCTGGACTGTACATTTGTATCAATGATATCGGCGACAGACATGTTTTTCTTGTTGAACCGGAATGATCTGCATTTGAATAAATTCATTGAATGTGGGTTACTCAAGGAATAACATTGGAAATGGTAAAAAACAACAATTCTTAGGAATGTTTAGTGTATTACATTAAATTATCGCTGAATATTTATCAGAGAATTATTATTCATTTTTATTGCACGCGGTATCGTTTCTATTTCTAAATAGAGCCACACATCTGTAAAATTGTAACTACATCTCACTTTTTGGTGCTTTATGTTAGATATTTAATGAAATGCTACATCTAATCTAGCGAATAAGAGATAGAAAAAGAAAACCACCACCGAAGATAATGTTATTTCTATGTCATTCCACCGCCAAATGGGAATTTAATGAACAGTTGATCATTGCTAAAACAGTGTCAACATAATCGATTTTCTATGCAACACTTTTTTTTTTTGTTTTTAGTCATTTCGGTCAATCGAATTGAACGTTTCTGAACTAATTTTTTTCGTTTCACAAATGTTCATTTTTACAACAAAAAAAAAGCAATTTTCGAGCGAATACACTTTTTACAACTTCAGTTCAGGAATAACACACTCAAATTATATAGGTGTAATGGTGTCCGAAAGTGTCTGATCTTTGATTTTTACCGGTTAGTTGAATCGCACGATGACACACAAATCACCATTCAAAATAACAGCACATTTGAAATGTTTAACATTGAAATACTTTTGTCGCTATATAAATGTCGTACCTCGATGTCGTGGATGTCGATGATTCGGATCGTGCATCGTACGAAAGATATCTTCTTTCTGTTCATTATCAAATGTATTAATTAATTTAATGAGCTGATCATCATTTCCGGCTGCATATGATGCTGCTGCTGTAAATGAAAGCAATATAACATTGCGACTATATTCAACTGAATCGTAAACAATAATAATAATAAAAAAATAAGGCATATAATAAAGCTGACCCATAAAATGTTGGTTCTACATTTGCAAAAACAAGCACCGTATGATGATGATGATGATCATGATGTGTAATTCAAGTGAAATGTAAAAAAAAGGGAAATTTCAAAACAAAATGGAAAGTGAAATTAGATATGTGATTCATGATTTTCTATTTTTATTGTTTGTGTTGCACTCCACCGGTATTTTGCTGAACATTTTCAACATGAAACCGATTTGGTCAACAAGAATAACACACACCACAATATGAAAGACAAACAATTTTGGACAAGAAACGTGTTTACTGATTTTAAAATATTTAACGAAACTACAGTTAATTAATCATTCAATATTCACTATTTGCCAGTTTATGAAAGCTATACTCATTGCACATTCGATGGAAATAAACGGAATTTACTATTTAAAACATTCCATGCACATAACAATAGGACAAATTCTCACAGATCGAATTAAATCATATCAACGAACAAAGATATAGCAAAAAAAATGAACAATTTTGACACACATACCTGTAGTTGTTGTTGTTTCGTACGTAATCTCGTTTTGTAATGTTGTTGATTCTTCATCAAATGTAACTTCGGGTACTTTGTAACCACTTGGTCGATGTTGGTCTAATGTATGCTTTTCGGGAAAATCGATTCCACCGATTCCCAGTTGATGCATTAAATGTTCAAATCCCTATTACATACAAAACGAAAGAATAAATTATGACACTTAAAATTATTCAATAGGACTTAATTTGCATTCAAAGTCATCAAATTTCCTTTTTTCGGTGAATTTACTGTTATGCAAAATGATTAGTAACATTGCAAAGTTCAGTTAAATGAAACAAAACTGGTTTCAATTAGCAGAAACGAAATGATAATCATAATGAAGCGAAACAATGGCATTTGGCAAATTTATATTTTTCATCACCTTTCACTCATCATCACCTCACGGTTGTCTGTTGGTCTTACAAAATGATCTAATATAATACTAATTGACCGGTTTTTTTTTAATCTAAATATGGCCGATTCTTAAAATTCATCATGAAATAGATGACATGAATTATTGAAAACAAAATAAGTTTAAGAAATATCTATTAAAAAATTGTTTACCTCAAATGATATGGTGCCATGGCTGCCGTATTTCCGAAACAGATGAGATAAGAAGCGGTTCGATTGTCTTTTTGGTGTTGTTGTCGATGTTGTTGTTGTATGCTCAGCAAAAATAATGTGATTGGATAAATGAACGATCAAAACGGCAGTAAAAAAGTGTTTAAATAATGAAGACGTCATGTTTCGTTCGTGGAATTAATAAACTGAATTTAAATAATAAAGAAAGAAGTTGAACGCGCGGCGCGAGTTCTGAATTCGTCAGAGTTACTGTTTTCTGTAATTTATAGCGTTAAAAGTGTTTTTTTCTATTCGTTATCGATGTGCCGCGAGTCAGAGTGGATGTGTACTTTTTTTTATTGTCACTTCTTTTCGATATTTTCGTTGTGACTTCTCTCACTTAGATTTGTGCTAATATTCACTTATTTTGTATTCAATTTACGTGTGTTGACCAGCTGCACCTTTTTTTTCTTTTTTTGTTTTGATTCTTACGATTCACATGCGTATATCGATTGGTTTGGCTGCTCGAACACATTAGGTTATTGAACGAATTGCATGGACACACCGAACAAACATATTTATGCAGAAAAAAGAAGAGAAAAAAAGACAACATTTATGAATTATTTATTGGTCATCGTACTTTGTATGCATGTGATAATAGTCAAACGATCACAGTGCATCATTTTTTTTTTAATTTATATAAAAAGCGATCTTTAAATGTACATGCATGAAACTGAATGCACCATGGAATGCACCCTCGAAGTACTCTTTAAGATATAAATGGCGACGATGAGAATATGCATCAAACATGCGACGAATATATGTAGCGAAGGTCATACTTCGGACTATTGATCTATTTTCGTATGTATCATGGGACACATCATTTATGCTTTGATATTTTAAAACAATAACTTTTTATCACAACCGTAAACAAATGAATAACGATTATTTTTAGCTGTTCTTGAGAATAAAAAGTCCGACACACAGACAAAGCAAATAATACTGTACAGTATTTTTTTTTTGTCAAAATTTTAAAAAGTATTATAACGAGTGTTTATTATTGATTGCGGGACTTTGAACTTTTATATCGATGCAAAGAAAATTCAAGCGGTTGCAAAAAAGCGGTTCACCTAACCTCAATTCAATTAATTGCTGCAATTGCACCAGGTTGACACTTACATGACAAATTAATAAATAATTTTCCTCAATTTCAATCAAATCCCGTTTCACAACATAAACGATACTACAATGTAACAAAAATTGGTGCAAATTCTCTCTTGTAATTAAAACTCGAATTGTACTTTATTGCAGTTTAGTATCACACACAATGACACCAAAATCTTTTAAGTTTTGCCAAGCAAAACAGAAACAGCATGCATATCGTGTTTATCTCACAGTTATACTGCATGAATTCACAATTATTATTATTTTTTTTCTCTATCTCTGCAAGTCTCCGACCAGAGGGAGATTCTTTTTTATTATCTCAACGGAATACTACCGAACAATATACTTGCAAGAAAACATATGTGATAGATAGAGAAAGTGTTATTGGCACAAAGCAATTAACAAATGTGTTAATAAATCAAATACGATAAAAAATGCAGCTTTTAATCGAATAGTAGCGCCACGTATCATTTAAGTGATTCATTGCAGTTGGTATTTAGGGAATCCCAATAGAGGATCTTAAACGAGATTGTTGATATTCATTTCACATTTTAAAGCAGACTCACTCAATATGCAGGATTGTGATATTTAAGAAGCGAAAATGTAGTTATTTTTCCTCGCAAATGTCACCGTTTTTTCATCAAATGTAAATGTACGAAAGAACTCGGCTACTGAAGGCAAGCAATACGTTTCAAAAGTTTAACCGAAAAAGATGAACGATATTGAATAGACAATTAAAAACTGCGAGTATTGCAAAAGGTTTGTCGATTTTATATGCCTTTCAGCACAAGCTGATTTAAGAAAAAAAAATCGTATTCGTGGAAACATCAACCAGATAAAAATCCCCAGAAACAGGTACATAAATATTAAATACATATTATCCATATAAATTCCCGTTGCGAATGTATTCAATTTCTTCTTCATGATGAAGTCATATTGATTTGAATAGTGCTGTGGCATATTCTTTTCTCGTCGAACTATAAATATCTACAGTTTGTTAAGTAATACATTTCGATGGTGATTTTCAAATAAGCTTCACTTTTATCAAACGATTACAATACAATTTCTTACACATTGTGTTTTCTCTGTCACAATATACAGCAATTATTTCTGTGGGGATATAACAATTGCATACGATATGACTATAACAATGACGATGAGGTTAGAGAGGAGAATAAAGTGTAATCTCATGGAAATTACCACACATCCGCGCGCGCGCGCTCCCAAATAAATTTAAATATTCATACAGAAAGATCTATTAAACTTCGAACAAGCGTGTACGCTTTTGATTGTAATGTGAACGATAAAATGGTTTTGTTTACATTTTACCAGATTAAGTGTGTGTGATAAAAAAAGCAAGAATAACAATGCTACCAATAGCAGATGTCAGGTGAAATACAATATACAAATAGCACTTGATGCGGCGCGTCGGTTTATCTTTGATTGTTTATTTTTCCATATATTTCGTCGTTTTTCTTCGAAATTTAAAACATTCCATTTTGGTTGAATGACTTAAAACATCGATCAAGAACAAGCATATTAGGAAAACTCCTTTTTATTAGACAAATCGCCTTGTAATAATCATAAAAATGATTTAATTAGCTATGATTTTGCAGATCAAGCTTAATAATAGTTAGATTGTGTGACCTGTTTCCTTTCTCTCTCTTCCTCGGAAACAATGGAACGAGCGAAATAATAAAAAAAACTGAATGCTAGTCGGTTGAATTCAATAATGCACTTCAACTCATATCTTTTCTATAATTCACGTCTGTTTTTGTTGATGGTGGTGGTGGTGTTCATATCTCGTTTTCGCTTGAGTGCCAGTGATCATTATTCAATTGTTCATGTTTTGCATCGGTCGAATTTCTGGTTTTTTTTTTAGAGAAAATAATAATAAACACCAAAATAATAACAACAATGTCAGTAAAATGGTGTGTATTTCTCAATTGCAACAATTTTTAACAAAAAACACCGACCAATGGACAATATTTGAAATGGCTCCATTTGCTAAATTGCACAATACAAAGTTCGATGTTTGTGATCGTGGGCCGAACTCCATATTACTTGATTGTTACACTTAAACATTAAATTATAAACATTCACATATTCTTTGTATATATCAGATGTAGTACATCAATTAATTTGATTGGCTTTAACAAATCATAACACAAAAGCGTCAACATATCAATGATACACACTAAATCTCACCAGTCAGTATTTGTTGAATATTTTTATTTTTCTTTTTCTTTGCGTAAAAACTTTGAATCTATTCTCTAAAGAAATTCATACATAAAGATAAAACTCGCATACAAGGTTTTTTTCTTCTCCTCTCGCTATTTCCTTCAGTCCATTTTTGGATCGCATAATTCTTTCAAGGCGTTTCTAAAATTTTCTTTCTCTTTTTTCCCTCCCTCTCTCTCTCTCAATCTCTCTCATTCTCGCTTTGTCTCTACAGACACCACAAACAATCTTTGGCACACAGGTGACACAAATTTAACTTTTACAACTTCTCAGAAGGAGTTAAGTATATCAAATCATCTTATATTTAAATCATTTACCATTTTTTATTGTTGCTGTCGTCTTCGTTGCTTGTTTTTATTATCAATACGATACGCACGACAGATTTGTTATGCTTATTTCTTGTTTTTATTATTTTTCGGTAACCGTAACTCAGCGGTTGACGCAGAATGATGGAAGAATAACACACACACACATATATACAAAAAAAACACCAATTAATTCAAACTGTCTTCAATAAAAAAAATGAATCTCTTTTCTGTGTTTACGATGGCCATCGAGAGAAAAAAGAGCACAAATCAAAACCGATCGGCGTACTTAATCACAGAGTGTTACAGAGTCTCACATCTAATAAGAGAGCGACAAGTATCAGCGCGCGCAAATCCCAACTAACAAATAAATTGACCGCAAAATGATGAAACATACAACAATCAACGAAATGAATAAATATGAATAAAAAAAATAAACATCAACACACCATCCAAATCAAGAAAAATTAACATTTATGCACATATTCAACAAATCTATGTGTACATATATCTGCCATGTGTATCTTATAAAAAACGAGCGTTTTATTAACTTATTGGTATATGTAGTTTTCGCCCGTATAATATACGAATGGCAGAATGGGATTTAAAGTGAAAAAACAAAACCAACAACGAACCAACAGACTATATGTATATTCAGAACATGATCACTACCACTCACACAAAGCTCACCTATATTATGGTGACTGTGACTCCTCATATGTTAAACGTGTGCGAACACACGAATACTATATTCGCATTATAGATACTTAAACAACTGAGCAGTTAGTGAGTGTATATAATTTGGCGAGAGCATAAAAATGCAAAATGAACACACTTTTGTCGCACTTGTTTTTCGTACTCACTTTTTATCTGTTGGTGTCTTTTTCTCTCCTTCTCTCTCTCTCTCCCTTTTGCAACTGAATCAGTTAATGGAACTGAGAAGAAATCTTTAGCGCACTCGTCGCTAGCACTCTATGAGATCGGTGTGTGCATAAACATCAATTATTCTTGAACTTTAAATCAACATCATTCAAATGGAGACATTTATTTTGATTTATTCGATTACGGCCAGAAATTGAAACTGTTTGTGCTTATTTGTGTGCGTGTGTGTACAAACCCGCGCGCGTGGTTCATCACCACCAATCCATTGTAAATGGAGCTAATAATGTTATTCGAGTGACGATAATGATGATGATGTTGATGATTGTTCTTAATATATGAGATTATGTCGCAAAAGCAATAAATTTACGGAGTGCAAACAATATTTGTGTATATTTCTATTGCTGTTGATGTGAGCGTGTGCGTAATATTGCAATGAGCAGCTCGGTGACTGTTCAATTTCAAGTGAACGTTTACGAAATAAACATTTCGTTACAAAACGCTTATTGAACCAAATTATGAATTACCTTGTTCAATGGAAATGCTTGATTTCTTGTGATTCCATGACAAAAACAATTTTTATTTTGTATTCTTGATTTTGGGGTCAAACAATGAGTAGTTCCCTCGACGACACATTTCCGACGTTGATTTTTTTGTTTAGTGATTTTTCGTCTAACGGGTTTGTCATTGTATCTCAAAACAAAATTTATAACTCGATCGAAATAAACAGATAAAACTGAGTGTATAAGATTAATTGTGTCTTATATTGTCTGGCTATAAGCTTTATAGTTCTCGGTCGTAATCAAAGTGATATGGAAAATGCATTTATGACAATTTGTTGTGCAGTTGTAGGTGGTCGTTGAAACAGTTATATTTGCATTTCCTCGATACGGTCGATGCATAAACTTGATTGTCAAGTTAAGAAACCATGCACTTTTTTAGTATTGTTTGCCCAGCGAAGATGATTTTTTATTGTTGTTGTTGCCTTCTACATACGTAAATCGCATGGTTTGAATCGTTGATGGTACAAGAAATCATATTAGAAGTATTAACGCTTCAAGATATCGTCTAATTTTTCTTTTTATGGCTGGTGTGTGTGTGTTTGTTTTCGAATGCGTGTTTATTTTTCAATTTGATTTCCCTGTGTGCACACGGACTGATCTTTGTGTACACTGTTATTTGATTATAAATCAAAATGTGTCGTCTACCACTCTAATGCATTATGACATTTTAATGTAAGTTTTGCGACGAAGCATCACAATCGAAAATCGGGAAAAGATCATGATGAAGATGTACATCATCTTGTGTAAATATTTTAAAAACGAAGACGTATTTTATAATGATAAAAAAACTTAACTTAATGTTCGAAACACAGAAAAAGTACACTACTTATTTTCTTCCTATTTTTCAAATGCAAAGAAAACAGCACAAAATTGATTTCAAACTGAATACAATGGTTCGTCGTTAGTGACTGTTGTTTGCTCTTTTTTCTTATATGAAGAGATGTTGTGTTTTATGTCATTCTACTTGCACACGCGAAACCAGACAATCGCATCCGCAAACAAATTTGTTATTTTATCAGTGAGACAATAAAATGAAATCGTCATTGTTAAACATAGTTTGCTTCCGCGATATATTTTCAACACACATTTTATTCTAGCATACTTTATTTTAATGATCAATTTTCATTGAGCCAAACGTCAAAACCAAACTCATAGTTATAAGTTCTGATATCTGGTTTGTTTTACAACCTCATTAAAACACACAGCAAAAATCGATTGTAATAAATCAACAACTGGATATTGTGGATATTTGAACAAATATTGTTTGGAAAGATAACAATTGTTATGTCTCTTGCGTTCAGACTGCATCAAAAATTGAACGTAATTCGTACAGGTAGAAATCACATTTGGACACATTTGAAATTTCTACTGACATTCGTTTGCTGTTGTCGAAAATGCTATTCGAAAGTGAAAAAAAGCAGACGTTTTCTAAAAGCCACATTTTTGGTATTCAATCAATTTCGAGATTTCAAATGTGTTCGAAACGTGGCAGCACCCGTGAAGAAGTGATAACTGAACTGATACCAGTGATAAAAATAGAGATTACGTAATTTTTGCTTATAGTTGCTTCGAATCAATTAATCATATCGTTGATATACATTCCATTGTTAAGATAACACGAATTTCTTTATGATGAGAGAACTGTATTTGAACTATGGAACAATGTAATATGATAACATGTCGCACATAGAAACGGAATTCAATTTTTTTTCAACCACTTGTGACTTTGTAGATTTTTTTTCTGTGGCTGAGATTGTCACTGAACTTTTATATGATTTCTGAAGACTTTTCTTCATGACACAACATAAACGTCAATCTTTTGACGATTGAAAAAAAGATTGGTCGATTAAAAGTATCAGCTCTAGCCCATTTTTTTCTTTACATCACTGATTATATCAAGTGGATTCAATAGTGTTATTTTATAAGTATTGTAACTGGTTTCAAGGTAAAAACCAATAATCATTCGAAAAATGTCCAGCAATTGATATTCAACTGCGAACGAATGCGATGAATTGAAAAGGTTTTTGATGCGATTGCTCTTATGTTGAAATTTGACTTGTGAATTTTTGAAAAACAAAAAATATTAGAAAAAACACACTTTTTTGTGACGATGAAGATGAAGTTTTTTCTTACATTTTTAAGAAAACATGTCGCTAAGAGTAAATATTTTCCTATTTCTTATTTGAAGTTACAAAAAAATGATAAAGTTCATTGATGACTTCAATCAAAGATAATTATTGAACGTACATTATCGTGTAAAAAACAAATGAATATACTTTTATACTTGGGGGGTCCAATGGTCGTTAGTTTATCAATTAAAATGAAAAATATTATAAGATTTTGAAAAATTGAGAATCTAAGCCACCTTCATCAATTGTGACTAACACGTATATAGATAAAATATCAATTCACTCACCAGTATTCTCATCAAAAGAAAAAACTTGAAGTTTTTTTTAAAATTTAAAAAGACTTGGCCTATTTTCGTCGGAGAAAACGTCCAATAGGTGTAATTAGACAACAGTAAAGACCGGCAAAACTGTTCATCGGCCTTATATAGTACAGGCGGACGTGCTTAAGTCGTTCAATTGCCATTCAAGTGGTTGAATTTGGTCGTTTAAAGCACGGTTGTGTTTAATTGGATGCCGATTGTAGCTATTATCGTAAGCCGTGATAAAAGCGTGTTAACAGTCATTGACAATAAATTATTTTAGCGCTATTTTGTGAACGAAATAGATAAATACAATGTAAGGTAATTAAATGTGATTGGAAAAGATATACTATTAAAATGTCAAATGAGCTTTGGAAAAATCCATAAGTTAGATCGAGAACTTGAAAAATTCAGGATAATAAATTGAACTTTTGGCAAGTTCATATCAATTAAATCGCATTGTTTGATTTATTAAAAAGAACTAAACTACAAAAACTATCTATAATAAAAATCATTGGTTGATACATAAAATGCGGCACATCAAGTTTAAAAGACTATTAAAATTCAAATTATAGACATCATAAAACGAATCAACGGTTGAAATCGGTTGAGAATTGAGGTTGTTCGGAAATATTTTGCAATAAATGAACGAATTAGAGTAAAATGGGAAAATACTATGGAAAAAGTAGAATGACGACAGTTCAATCACTCGATTTTCAATTGAGATAATTAACTTCGGTATTTCGTAGTCTCTTGAAGTGTTCAAACCATTTCTCAATTCAATTCGCATTTCAAATCATTGTTGTTAGACATTTCGATTTATTTTTAACGTGAATTATTGAAAAATTCAAAATTTCAAATATTATTATAGTCTCGTCATCTTTAGATCATTTGAACTTTTTCAAAGATAGTTTTTTACCATTAGTTTTTCAGAAAATCAATTGGTAGCAACGGACAAAAATGTACCCGTCCGTCCAATTATACATACAAAAAAAAAAACGCTGTTTGACCGAAGCGCTTTTCGAAGCGAATGGATGGAGACAGTGATCGAAAATGTTTCAAAATCATTTTTTTCTGTGCAATTTGCACAGTGCAAATTAAATCAGTATACGTTATGTAGTTTATTAAAATCAATGTATTTGAAACAAAAAAATAAAGACAGAAGAATTTCTTTGTAGTAAGTATTGTAAATTATGTGACTCATTCTTACTTCAATGCGGCTATTTACCTTCTGTCCACTTGATGGAACCCAGACAGCAAATGATTGAAACACCTGAATTCGTATGCAGAGAACACTTAAAAGTTTTGTTTCTTACATACAAACAAAATAATGCAATGAATGATTAGAAGAAGTAACGTGTATCGTTATCTTACAAATATGTTACGTCGACGATGAATGTATATGGCCCGCTATTCTCAGAATACTGAATTCAAGATTGTTCAGCTTTTTTCAGTCTCAAAAAATATCATAATGTAAAAAATATTTGGATAATATTCGAACATTGCGCCATCCAATTGCAGAGTATATGTTTGATGTGCTTGAATTTACATCGAGGGTGTCAGTCTGAACGTTCATGTTTTCAATAAGATAATCCAAATATTTACATTTTTCAATCGATAATTTAAATGCGTACCATTTGTGGCCATAGATATAGTTTCTGATAAACTTGTGTTTCTACGTTCCATTTCGGACGATATACAGTAAAACCGCCCAAGTGGTGCACTCTCTTCCGGCGGACTACATGATGTATATATTGGCAGAACACTTTTGAACAGTCTATGTATTTCGGATGCATATCCATACGAGATATTTTAGAATATCTGGATATTGAACGCAACTGCACAGCGCCAGAGCTGTGTGCGTCGCAAGTAGAATCTACGGTTTGTCGCGACGTACACAGTCACAATGTGTCTGTATTTTTCGTATAGCGACATACCGTAGATGCTAAAATATCTCGGATGGATATCCATCCGAAATACATAGACTGCTTTTGAACAACCGCTGGCACTATCACCATTGCGAGGTTTTTCTGTAGTAACTGATAGTTCATCTTCATGTGTTTATTTGAATTTGATAAAGGAAGTGGAATGTTGATGATAACGGAATGTAATCTAACTGAAATTGTGAAGAGTATCATATGACATTTTAACCGTTCTTGAACTGTATTTTATATTGTCATATCAAGTATACGATACGTAAATGATAAAAAGCACTTCAAAACTGACGTAGGGTTTTTGATTATTTGAATTTTTATTATTTCTTTAATTGACATAAATTTACTACAAAATTTGTTAAAAGGCTCTATTTCTAATTGATATAAAAGTAAATTGGCAAAATAAAATGTCTGTGTAACACATATGAAAAATCGAGATTCTGCACAGTTGCCACCTGTTTTCGATCATCTTTCACTTCATTGTCCGGTTGGAACTAAAATTTCCTTACTGCTTGAAAATGTACAGACTTCGGTTTGTTTGTTATTAACAAAAGCGATTTGTTGGCGACGAAGACGTTCTTTACTATTCCGCAGTCCATACGTTAAATAGATAAGCAATCCCATTCCAATCCAAATGAGAAATCGAATCCAGGTCGTTGAATCTAACATCATCATCAGATACATATTGATCATAATCGATATGCCTGGCAAAAATGGTGTCAATGGTACGGCAAATGTTTCATAAGTTTGTGCTGTTGGTTGACGTGAAATCAACACCAAAATCAACAACAATGTTAAACCAACCACTGCCACATTTAACCATGCCCACCAATCAAAATAGTACAATTGATTTTTAAACATTTCAATGATTCCGGCGAATAAAATGCAGACGAAACCTAAACACAGGAAGAAAGGGGAAAACATGTTAAAACCTGAACTTTTAATTTTCAATAAACTAACAAAAAAAAAATACTTACAAAAAACGGTAACTTCCCATGTAACAATGGTTGCGGTGAGTTTGGTTGGTATTTTCAAATGATCGGTGTTCCATAGAAAACGGAACACATTTTGATGGAATGGCGCTGGCAGATGCATTTTTTCATTTTCATCTTCGACTTCATAACGTAGTAAAAGAACGCATGCGGCCACAATTGAATATGCCATTAATGTACCAATCGACATCATATTCACCAATTGTGACAGATTGAAGAATGCAGCCAATAGTCCTGTCAATGTACCAACAAAAAGTGTTCCAAACAATGGCGTTTTGTATCGTGGATGAATGCGACCCATCCACTCGAAAATTAAACCATCATTTGACATCGCATACACGATACGGGGCAATGGAAACATCGATCCCATTAAACTAGCGCATAAACCAAATGTTGCACCAATTGTAACAATATATTTGGCCACTGTCCATCCGTAATAGTCGAATACATATGGTAATGGAGCGTTTTTATCTTGTAAATAATATGGCAACATCATTGTTAAAACAGTTGAAATGCCAAAGTATGCCAAAAAGATGACAAACAACGAAAGAATAATTGCAATTGGCATTGAACGTTTTGGATTTTTTGCCTCTTCACCGGCTAAATAAAAACATAGATAAAATATTATAAAATAAATACAAATTATAAAATAACGATAAAACATCATTTAAGTAATAAAAAGCTAAATACCAGTTGCAATACAATCAAAACCGATGAAGCCGTAAAAACAGATTGCAGCACCTTTAAAAATGCCAGTTATTCCATAGGGTGCAAAACCGCCTTCCCCATTATCTGGTGGCACCTCTGTAGCTGCTATATTCCAATTCGATAGATTGGCTCTAAAGCTGCCAGCAATGATTACAAATAAAACCACCGATAAATTGAGAAATGTAAACACATTGTTTACAATCGATGATTCTTTTGCACCGAATGCAATGGCCAACGAGAATAGAATGGTGACAACAAACGCAAAAATATCTGGAAATTGAGATAATCCATCCAAACGAAGGGGCATCCACTCAATCATGATATCGTGCATACCAGTTGATGAATTAACGTACGTACTCAATCCTTTGACAACGCTCGCTGCACCTGATTTTTTTAAAAATGAAAACAACTACAAATTAATTGCATTTCCTTTTTTCGTTTTTTTTTTTTTTTGTTATCTATTGACATTTTTGAAATAACGCAAAAACAATAAATCATCACCTAAATCTACAAGTTGTAATGTTAACGAATGCATATCTATATGGTACTGCTCTTGAAATGAATTAATTTTGTGTACCTATTGAATATTCCAGAATTAAATTCCATCCGATAATGAATGCGATAAATTCACCAATGGTAACATAACAATAAACATATGCTGAGCCAGCTCGTGGTACTTTAGCACCGAATTCTGCGTAGCATAAGCCTGCAAAAACACTCGCAACCGCTGCAATCATAAAACTAAAAATGACAGCCGGTCCGGCTACTTCTTTTGATACCTCACCGGCCAGCACATAAACACCAACTCCAAGTGTACTACCGATACCCAACGCGGTTAAATCAAGTGCTGACAACACTTTGGCCAATTGTGTGGGCGATGTATCGCAGATTGGCTTTTTTCGTGACAATGTTTTAAATAAATCCATATTGAATGTCGTTTGCACGTGCTCTTTTTGGTTCCTTTTAGCAAATACCTTCTGTGGCGCACAGTTCAAATCCAATGAATGCTGTGCAAGAAAAAAAACAATTCTATTCTCGATAATGAGTCGATATATTCCCGAAAGATTGCAACAAAAATTTATACACACACATAAGACATAAATTAATCCGCACAAAAATTTAAACAGAAAAAAACAACATCAAATTTTTTTTGTTGATCTATTTGGAATGGAATTATTTGTAATTGTTCGTTATTTGTCGTCGATGTGAGAATCAGACTGAGCGAAAAGAGTGAGATGGTGCGCACGCGAGATCGATTTATGCACGTCCCAGGCGATGGCCCAACGTATATTGACTGAAAATTTGGCGCGTTTGGGATTCTAATAAATATCTCATCGATCCTTTGTGTCAAATCAATCAGTTCGCTGTATTTTGTGCGTGCGTCAATTATTGATTGGTGCTTGTATGTCCCGAGTACTGGTATTGTATCGATTTCACTGGTATGGCATCGTTTTCGCTGGAACATGTATTGGTTATTCTGCCAACTTATTATCATTTCAAAATCAGAGACAACGAACGGCTATGAGAGAGAGAGAGAGAGAACATGAACAAAAAGCACACAGTCAAATTACTTAACTGAATCAACATTTAACTTTAATAAAATAACCGATTAACACCGAACAATGTGATAAATGTGTATCAATTATTAAAGTATTGTTGTTTTAATTTGAATTTCATTGTCTGTGTGTAACTTACTATATATTTTAAATGTACATTTTTAATTTATTTGTTTTTTTTTTCGTTTGTTGCTTCTTCTTATAAGCGCTTTTTTGAAGAGGCACTTCAATGATTTTCCCATTATCCGGTAAACTTTTGCTTATCTCGGCTCACGAATTGTAAAATTAACAATTACATATACAATTAAACAAGTATTAAAAAGATAAAGATCGAGCTTCGCTTTTTGATGAATTTTATACGAATCCTTAAACCATTTCAAAGACACACAACAAGTATGTTTTTTTTCTTTTGTACTGCGCATTTTTTTTTTTTTTTTTGCTATTCATATTTGTTACGAGAAAAAACGAGATTTTTCATGAAACAGTATATTGAATCTTAATGATGTCTACGTAAATGCAGTGCGATGCGGTTTTGTGACATCTTGATGTGGGACAATATCAAAACACTCAATTTTAATTTCAATGACATATACAGGCAAACAGAAAAATAAGCCACATTTTTGTTCAGATTTTGAGAGAAAAAAAGCAATTAATTCCACCAAAAGTCCATTTGTGACGAAGCACTTTATATTTGAGAGGTTGTTCCCATACGGAAGTATGACCGAAATATTTTCATTGTTTGAGGGACACAGACACGTTCATAAGTCGAGGCAGGAGGTGAGATTCTTTAGGCTTTTTTCACAATCAACTAATATCAAATCGCTATCGCATCAATATCCGATTCAATTTGTACATTTTTTACTTGTTTAATATACAAACCTTTTTTTCTTTAAATTTATCAAATGACCGAAAGAAAAACTCATTTCAATCTATAGCCTAAACAAGCTGCGGTATAGGTAGTAAGAATTTTGCATCACCAATATAAAAAAGATAACGATAGATGCAAAAAATGCGCATTATCTTTTTCATTCAAGTGTTACAATTGTAAATTTCTTGTTTACCGCCAAATAGTAAAAAAGATAAATGTTTATCACTGTTTAGGATTTCATATATACAATGTATTGTGCTTTTTTACGAAAATTTGCTAAATTATTATTGTGTCTTTAATTTTATCAATGATTCAAATTTATGACGTTACAATCGAGCAATTCCTTCTACTACTTGAGATTGTGGAATGTAAAGAAAGCTAATCTAGAGATCAATAAATATGATTAGAATTCTTATCAAAAGAGGCAAACAATGAAAAAAAGATTGAATGATGAATCAACAAAACGCGTGGAATTATTTCATGTGTCTTCAAAGGGCAAGTGCAATGTGGATAGATACTTATAACACCATCTACGTAAAACACGCTGACTACAATGTGCATCAAACGTATATTTGTGTCCCTTTCTTCTTCATCTCTCTCCCCTCGCTATACTTTTACATTGTAGTAAGCCTGTTTTACACAGATGGCGTTTTTCTGTAAGATATGTGACGTCACAATACAGTCATAAGGACTGCGCTCATCTCTCGTGTGTCTTATATTATTTCCTTTAGCCGGTGATTTATCATTCAATTTTACTGGAAGAACTTCAAATCTAAAGTGGACATTCATCAATATTGGTACTTAACTTCATCATTACTGCGCTTGCAGAAAAAATCAGATTAAGGAAACAAAAGAATGGAATATGCTTTTGATAGAGAAGGCAATCCAAGTATCAAAATCAGACAATATATTTAGCTGTCGTCATCTGGATATTTCAGCTCATCTGGATATCGTCAGCAGATGATACAAAGTGAAAACAATAGAAGCGATTGTTATAGGTATATAAGCTTGTTATATACTGGTATTACTATAACAATCACTTCTATTGTTTTCACTTCGCATCATCTGCTGACGGCATCCAGATGAGCTGAAATATCCAGATGACGGCAGTCAAATATATTGTCTGATCAAAATCATCACAAGACATTTGGACCAGCTTTGCCATTTATTAAATGAATTTAATTTCAATTTTTTTACAATGTTGACACTCGCATCCAAACAAAAAATAATCGATAAATAATATAAGACACTTAACGAATGCGTGTTCATGTTGAACAATTTGATATTAGTGATTTGTTGTTTATTTCATCGCACACAAATTCCATAGTAACAAATTGCTTCGACGGACTGGCTCCGTGCGCTTGAGCTGTGGCAAGAGTGCTGTTTTATTGCTTTGCCATACATTTAATGATATAGAAAATCAATTGAAAAGTGAGAGTCTTTGGCGTCGTCCACCACGCGTATTACGGTATATAATTTCTGGGACAACACGATCATTCCACAATAACCGTAATGGAACAATTGTTAACTAGCATCTTAGCTCCATCGTGTATATCGAACAGATTCATTGACAGAACTAAATTGGCGCCAAATCATCAAATTGGCACACGCAATACACTTTGATAATGATTAAAATGCATTCAATTAAAACCAGATGAGCACGCGCGTACAATATCTTTTCTACTGCAAAACAACCATTTTGATAACTCTCTCCGAATTTCATAATCTATATATATTTAAAAAGAGAAAAAGAAAAATAAGCAAAAAAAAGCGATCTAAGTTTTACGCATGAAATCAATATAACGAGCAACGATTATAATTGATGGCTATAGCATATGCTGGTGTACCAAAAATCACGAGCGCGCATCGAAATCAAAGAGTCGCAAAGAGCATATAAGTAACATGTAACAAATTTTATGGTGTTTTTGTATACACATTTTCATCTCTCTATTACTCTTTCTTTATCTGGTCGTATATTTTGGATAAAACTCACGCACGTATTCGTAATTATTTACGCCTAAGTGAATACAATTTTAATGAGAAAATAAGTGAATATCCATTGGGAGAATTGCCGAGATTCTCTCTTTCTCTCTCTCTCTCTCTGTGTGTGTATTGCTCAATTATAAAAGAAATTATGTTTTAGTCGAATATATTTTGAGGCAATATTTATTTAAAAAAATTGATTGACTGCATTTGACATGTCACTTTTTCTTTACATGAAAATGAAATTCACAATTATTTCGGCGACAATTTATAAATAAATCAGTAAGCAAAAAAATGTTCGTTTTTTTTCATGAACGATCAACGAAATCAGAAATCAATTCAACGCTAACAATGAATTTGGCTTATTTCATTTTTTTTGTGAGCGTTCAATAGCCATTCAGTTGAAGACTTTTTTACTAACTCCAGTTCGAACGAAATTGTATGTATATTTATTATGTAGATTGAAATTAATTTGCGTTGATTGAAATAAATTGAAGTCGAATGTGCAAATGCAAAATTGCGTGGCTATTTTTGATTTCGAAATTTCGTTTTCGTTGAGCTTTCAAATCTTATGTCTCCGGAATTTCAATAAAAATACGAAAATAGAATGCATCTTAAATGATTTATTTATCTTTGAAGTCAGAGTTCACTCACTCTTTGTGTCTCTCATAAATTTGGTTTAAAATGTTAATAATTTCTATCAGCTTTTCTCCGGTGAAAAAGGCTTGAACAACCTTGTCATAAGTGTGTCCAATCAAACATAAATTTAAAAATAATTCTACATATAGATAAGCTATGCACGCAGAGATGCAATCATGCCCACCCCTGATCATCTCAAAATGATGCACGCGCAACTACATTAGCGCGAAATGAGAAAGAAATATGGCATTGGATAAAATGAAAGAAAAAAGGCAATAACAAACACTAAGAGAATCGGTTGCACGTGTATCTGTGTGAAGAAGAACTAGTAGACGAAGAATCAATAAAAAGAATTGGTTCTCCCATTGCACGAAATACTGAGCGAATTTGAACGAAACAAAAAGCGATGACGACATTAGAATAGCAACAATAGTATGCGCTTGAAAAAAGTAGACGTTCACAAGAAAACGCATAAAAATGTTGGATATAAGTGTGTGTGTTGTATATTTTTTTCTTCAATTTTCTTTCGTTGTGTGTTCACACGCAATGGGCAAAATAAGAGACGATGATGGAAGATGATGAGGTCCCATTGGAATGGAAGTGTGTGCAGTTTTGCGATTGTGAATATATCGTACGTTTTTGTTGTTGGTTTCGTCAATTTTATATGTTGGCGATTTTTCAGCGTTCCCTCGCTCATTCTTGCTTTTCCATTATACACTTTCTTGTCTCTGTTTCCTCACCATATACCAATCTCAAGCTATTTCTCTCTAACAATATAACACACCAAGTGTACACGCCATACATCGACATCAACATTGTCTGTGAAGAGAATAGTTTTCTCTTGTGCACACACTTCAGGCAACTGTTGTGCTGTTCTCTGTATCGTTGTATGGGTATGCTGTTGTATATATGTTGCAAATGTATGTGCAATTCGGTTTGGTGTTTTTACCAGAACGAAACCGTGTCGATGATGCATAGGATCGAATACAACGAAAGTCTTTGGTTCAGACATCAATCTGGTTTTGTTTCGTCGAGCCGTGTGTGCTGAATGGTTATCGTGCACTTATGTTCCAAGGGAGAACACGGTTTACCAATCGCGCCGCGTCCACGAACGACGAACGTAGAGAAGAAATTGAAGAGAACGAAAAATAAAATAAACAACGATATATATATAATATTCATTCGCACCTCGAGAGTCTAGGCAAAACGCGCGCTTGTGAATGGTATTCGTGTCAGTTGAGAAATGGCCAGTCAGCAAACGCGGTCAGCTTTTAAGCTGACATCGATTGCAACGAACAGTGTACTGAATTCAATAACACGTTTAATCATTCGATTACAAATGCATTCGGGAACATTGTTTTGGGTATGCGTTTTATTTGGTATCCGAAGCACAATATCAATATCATATTCATCGGATTACGATGAATCGATTGTGTTGCCGAAATTCGGTGATCGAATATCGCCGCGAACTCGTACATTTATTGAAGTGGAAAAATTAAGAACAACGAATAATAATAGCAACAACAATAACAACAACAAATTTTCCGCCGACATAAATTCAATGTCGAACCCTAACTATAGCGCCGATAATCATAGTAATAATAACGTAAATAGCAATAATAGTAATAAGACTGAACATGGTTTTAATTTAAATGCATCAAGTTGGAGTGGTAGTGCAATTGATTCAAATAGTGGAAGTAATAGTGTATCGGTATTAAGTTACAATGAAAACAGTACAAATGGACCAACGAACAGGCATAGTAAACATTTGCAACAGGCACCACCACCACCACTGCCGCCGATAACAACAACAACAACGACGACGACAAAAAAATTCGCCACCACATTGCAATACAACAATAATCATAGTAATAATAATCATAATCGTAATAATAATAATAAGAATATTAATGTCTATAATAATGATAATAGTAATGATAATGGTGCGGATAGTGTTGAATTTGATGTGATCGATAGCGAAAATGATATCTTTAATGCGTTGCTTCGTCAGCATAAAAGTTTAAATGTCGGTGCAAATGATGCGTACAGTGAACCAAGTGTTGAGAATAATTTGTGCAATAATAAAAGTGAACCATGTTCAAATGGTGGTGTGGTGCAAAATGTTGGTGCAAATTCTGATAATGAATTAAGCAATGAAATCGATTTACGAAATGGTAATTCCACATCGGCACAAGCCCATCGTCTTGAAATGTCAACCGAGTTTTTTGTGGTGCCCACATCGTCGTCCACAATTCCATCGCATCACTTACCTGGCGGTATATATATATCTTCAAATTCTTCAAATTCAATCGAAATTTTAGTAGCAAACAATAGGAAAACAGAGAGAGTGTACCGTTGATGAATTCAAATCAAGAATCTTTGATCAAAATTAACGTTTGAATTCATATACAAATTCATGCGACGATTTTCATGTGATTTTTAGTTTTGTTTGGTATATTATTTTCGCATTTAAAAGAAAAAGTCGCATAAATCGTCGATTGTGAAACATGAAAGAATTTGATGTTGTTTGATCGATGCGCTTTGTTCAAGTTTGATTTTAATTTTTTTTTTTTTTGTTGTTCTTTTTTTTCTTTATCTTATCTTCGTTGTCGGTGTGCATCAATTTCGGTCGTGCCAAAGGTATTATTCTACCGAGTCGTCCAAAGAGCCAAGCATCAATAGTGCCGCCATTAAGCCATAGTCGCTTACTTAAGAATTCGTCACAGCCGACAATAGTCAGTACACATCATCATCATTCGCTTGGTTTGCGTAAAGAACCTTGGGTTGTGCCAGTTCTTGTACTCACCTCACTCGTCATGGTAATGATGGCCGCTTTCGAGATATTTGTATTGTGCAAAGCATGGCAAACATCGCCTAGTCGGCGACATCTTTTCTTGGGTCAAATGCTATTATTGGGCTTATTTTTGTGCGCTTGTTTGGCAGCTGTTTTAACCGTAACACCGACCGTTTTTGCCTGTGGTTTGGTGCGTTTTGGTTCGGGTGTCGCATTCGCTTTGGTCTTTGCATCGTTATTAGTGAAATGCGTTTTCTTAATTAGCCTAAATAGTGGTGTTTATTTGCCGGCACCGTATCAAGGTCTATTACTGTTATTTGCTGTATTAATTCAAGTGGCAATCGGTGGACAATGGTTACTTACAACACCGGCCGAAGTTGAAGCGGTTTCAGTACCGTTGCGACACGGTCCATTGAGCCTGACCCACCATTCACTATTGCTTACCGCACAAGATATATCCATGACCACGACAATACCATTGTGCAAGACCCATTTCACCGATTTACTCTATTCATTGGTTTATGTCATTTTTTTGATATTATTCGTTGCTGTGCTGGCCATCAAATCGCGACGCATTCGAGAAAATTACCGAGAAGCAACATACATTGGCTTGGCAATATGCGGTTCAATACCCATTTGGCTGGGATGGACACTATGCGGATTGGCCGTTGCCGATCGACACAAAGACGCTTGTCTTGCATTTGGATTAATCGCAACATCGGCCACAGTTTTCCTGGTTATGTTTATGCCAAAAGGTCGACAATTGGCAGCGATGGGAAAAGAAGGTAAGATATATACATTTCATAACTTTTTTTTCTCTTCAACCAAAAACGTTCAGCCAAAACCAAACAAAAACTATTGAAAACTACGAGAAAATGGAGAGAAAGAGCCAAAGAAATCGTTATTACTTAATGACTTTTTCTTTAGGTTTCGCAAATCCAAAGCATGAACCACACAGCTTACACAAAAAAAAAATCAACCAATGATTCAAGATTATTCAATTCATTTGAAAACCACAATTTTAACGATTTGCATATTTTCAAAGCACTTTTTACGCTTTTACCTGAAATAATCGTTTGCATTTCAAACAAAGGATCCGTGGAAAAAAGGCGCGTCACATTAACTTATTTCCTTTCTGCATACACACGTGCATATTCTACACAACTTAAAAATTAAACACAACTGAAAAAAAATGTTCTTTGTTTAAGTCGAAATCTTTATTACCAATAACATGAAATTTAAGAGTATCGCCTCTTTGCATAAAATGCTCATTCTGTAAATTTGGTCTGAACTCTACTTCTTTGCCCCGTTCAAATCACAGCATGCTTTTAAGACGAATCCAAGCTCATGCTGTGTTTTTTGTTGCATTTCGCGACTTTAAGCACTTTTAAATAGAAAAAAGGCAGAAGACAACAACAGAATTTAAAACCGCATTTTTCACCATATAGATTTTGCTTTTGAGGCGAGGTTTTGTGGTTTTGAACTATGAATGATGAAACTCAAAGGAACAAGCTATAGAGATATGTTCGTATGATATAGAAAACGGGTTGTGTGAGATTGACGACGAAAGAATTAAAAAACATTAAATTGTCAAGTAAAATAACAAAGCTAACTGTGACGCGTTCGGGTTCCAGTTTAAATGTATGCGAATGTTACATTGTTGGTGATTTCTTCTTCTTTTTTTTCTTCAAAATTTTATTTCTGGAACGAATGTTTGGGTTTGCGTGTATAACCTCCAACTAAATGTTGATTTGCGAACAGTTTTCGTTTGGTTAACCGTTTTTTTTATTATAATTTGGGCATATATTTCTTGTCCAGAATTCACTAAAACACCAAAGAATGCCTAAAAAATAGTTAATGTGAATAGGCCTATTTACTGCAGATCGTGACGAGCAATTGAGTTCTCTTAGTCGCACCGGATCTGGTTATTCACCATCATTTTTCCACTTTAAACCGATCAAATACGGAGTTATGGGAAATAATCTTGCATCAAACACCAACACCGTGAACAATACAACGATAAAGCATCAAGCCGTCGCTTCATTGGGAAACGGTAAGTTGTAATTTGCCATTGTTTTCGCTTTTTTTTTCTTTATTATATCTATCTGTCCTCGCTTGCATTGCTCTACAGTTATAGCGTAAAAAAATCAATTTTTGGAATAATTTATATTTAATATGCTCAAAGTAATTTTCATTGCATAATTTGGTAGAATTTGTTTGATTTCTGTTTTTTGTAGTTATTATTATTCTTTATACGAAATTGAATGACGCCAAATATCCTGTTTAAGCAGACAATGGTAGATTTTCTCGCTTATAGATTGGTTTATAAAACCTTGTATTATGCTTTTCTTTCCATGGTCTTCTTAACACGGTTTTCATATTTTTGATTTTGAATTAATGGCTTTCCCGTAATTAATCATCACTTTTCTGTACTTTAAACGCACAGAGACACACACACACATCCACATAATATATAATGCATGTTTGATGTATGTTCGAGAGTTTGAGATGAATATATCTCCAATTTATGCATGTCTTACTAATCGTCTTTTACATGTCAGCTATTTTATGGATGGTAGCATTACTTAATTACAAAGAAAAAAGAACATGTTACGTTCATGGGTAACGAGATCTTATAATCGCGCTCGCGCATTTGGCCAAGATGATTCCAGAAAATGGATCTATTCAGACTATGGTCATCATTTGCAAAATTATGTTGGTGTAAAAAAAAAATGTACGAAAAAAAATTGGGAAAAACGTAGATGAAAATGAAAAAAAAGCAGTACAACGAGTTAAAATAGCAACAAAACCGCTGCAATTTATGTGTATTGATTGTTACAATGAAACTGAATTGGAAAGTTTGAAAAATCTCGTTTCTGCGTATCACACCACCATTGGCATACAACACAGAGTGCTGCTGCTGGTTGTTGAATTTTTACAATGTTTTCGCGTCAGTAGCGCGCATTTTGTCGTTTATTGTTACATACAAGTGAATTTTTCTGTGTTGTTTTTCGTTTGCGCGTTTTTTTTACGTTCATTCCTTGTGTAAAAAGAGTGTGTACACTGTACATATGACTGTGTGCCTAGGTTGAAAAATGTACAACCGTTCTTTCTCGTCAAGACGAAACGAATGAACTTGCGGAAATATATTTTGAACAACGAACAACAACAACAACAAAAAATGAAAAAAAAGGCAATGGATGAAAAAAAAAATATATATGTATGATTCGAAACCGAAAAGCGACAACAAAATATACATTCGAGCGCAATTGAGCAGGCGCGCTCACATGACATGTTGGTTGCTGGCGATACAGACACGAACCATGCCAGCATATATTGGCTGAAGAGATAGAGAGAATTTGCTGTAATGCCTGCCGATCCATTGTTTGCGCATACAACACATAACAAAAGTACACGAGGCCTACAGAGTGAGAGAGATGTGCTACACGCTCTGTGATCGACGAATAGTTCAGTCGTGCGCTTAATGAATTTCGCTCAGTGCTCATGAGCCATGTATCGTAATCTTGATATTTTCCGATTTTTTTTTTTTTTTTTTTTTTGCTCTGCCATACAACTTTTTTTGTTAGTTCGTGCAACGCGCTTTTACTCATTTTTTTCCGGCCAGTAAGTGGCTGTATAAGTTTTGATTAGTTATTTGATCGTAAAATCATTTTTAAATCATTGATTCGAAATACACTACGTGAAACATAAAAAAACACACACACATATACAAAATACGTATGAATGGCATTAACTAGAACGAATAATCTCCTAAATTCCTTTGCACCGAGCAAAAAACCCAAATCTTAGAAGTTTAAAAAAATAAGAAGCAAAAAATTGTACAACAATTTGGAACACAACACCATTGCGACGCAAATCTGAAATGTTGAGAAAAAAAAGCATTTATTATTCGATGTGGAATCCCATTGGAATTGAATCTCTTACCACACACTGATTCCGATATTCACTAATGAAACGATGATTGCAGAGTAATTGCGAGATATACAAGTCAATACGAACTCTCGACACAGTCTTGAACTAATATGGAATTTTAAAAAAACGTGCAATAACTATGCAGATATTCAATAACATTTGACATCAATTGCAGACGTAATATAACAACAAACGGTAAAGAAAAGAGAGAAACACAATAACAATTTATAACTTATCTATTCATCGACGTAACCATCAAAATTGCGGCTAGAGACAACAAAAGAAAAACATCAATGCTTTATATTTACCAAAAATATTCATGTTTCAGTCATAATAATATGATCTCGTAATGAGTGTAATATTTTCATAAAACTGTCTATTCTAATGCAAAAAAAAAAACAAAGAACAATAAGAAGAAAAAACAGCGACGACATTGAAATTATGTTTTTGTTCCACAACGTCGATACGCATGTTTCCGATTAGCAAATAATGGCCAGACTATATTTGTACTAATTTATATTTGAGATGTGATTGCACACCAAATGATACAGTGGAATCCCCGTTAATGACCATTTCGGAAAAAATAAATAAATAACTGTTGCATTCACTATTCCGAAACGGAAAAGTAAGTGAAGAGAATCTAATGGGATTTCGGCCTACAGCAAACGCCAAACGGCATACCGCACAAGTATGCACAAACCATCACAAGTATCTATCCAACCAATTTCGGTTAATTAATTTTACAGAATGACTTCTTAGAATTAAGAAAAGCAACGTAACTTCTTATGGTTGATGATACTATGGTGTAGCGTTAGATCGATTCGCATAAACTCGTTGTTTTAGATAGTCTGAATTAATCAATCAGTGTTGTTTTGAAGTCAAAATCAAAACAAAACAAAAAAAACAGTTAAAAAGCGTGTCCATTTATATTGTGTTCATCCGTGATTCTTTACAATGTGAATAGCAAATGAGTTTCTTGGAATCAGAAAGCTTTTGAAAATGTCTTTTTTACATCAAAATATCTATTTTCGTTCCAACTGCAATACACTTTTTCAGTGTATAACTTTCAATATCATAATCGTCGTAATCTTGCCGTATCAGAATATTTAAATCGTATAAAAATCATTATCAAATCAACTGAGCCAAGTAATTTGCTTTCTCTTCATTTGAGAGATCTTTGTTTAGAGTTGTTTCTTTTTTTATATATATAGATTTTATTTCACACTTCAGACAGCATACAAAAGAAATCAAAAGCATCTTGTTTACAAGAAAAGCGCGATCCAAACCAAATGAAATAACACAACACCGAAATGCGTATTCATTAAAGCAAAGAGAGAAAAAAGAAGTCAACACAAAAAAAAAACTGAAACACTTTACACATAAAAAGCAAATGATACAAATAGTAATAAAACGGTAGACCCGAAATAAATGACAAGATTTGCTGACACACCGAAACATAAAATATATGAAAATAAAATTGAATTCGGAAAGACCGCTGTTATTTTGTTCGACACATATTTTTTGCTCGGCCAATTTGATTTACAGTATTGCGATTTCAGTTTGTTGATATGGCATTTCCGCAATTGAATGCATTTCTGCGTCATTATGAAATGGAAATTAACTGTTTTTCATTTTTAAATTAGTTTATTTTTTTTTTGAATTCATTCATTTGATTTGATAAGACAAACGTGTTTACCATTGACAATTGGTCAAAACAAAAGCATTAAACACCATTTATAAATATTGACTTTATTAATGCGGATATCCCGTGGAGTTTCGCTTAAATTACTTATCGGTTTACTAATAAATAAGAAGCGTAAAGAGCTCAAAACCATTTCGCATGAAGACGAAATGAAAAAAAAAACCGCAAAAATTTTAATAAAAGCAAAGAAAGGTTTAAAGCGAAATTATCTGTGATCATAATCAATCGAATGACGACGTTTTTTTAATGCGATTTTTTTACCATTCTTTTCGAAGAAGCTTCTTCCTCAGCACTCGTTCGCCAAACAATCGTTTACATTGTTTGTAGAGGAGAAAAAAAAGGTATAATTGTTTGAAGTGGTTTTTGTTTAAGTCAATATCTACGTGATGTTCATGCTATCAAGCTGCGTGCCAAAATACATGTAAATTGTAACATTCCAGTCTAAACTGTGTGCCGTACAAATTCCGTGTATGTTGTGTTTGAGTTTTATATGGTGTATTTGTTTGCACATTTTTGTGTCTTTTAGTAGATGTATATGGGATAGGTACTATTTATGTATATCACCAAATCTGAGCACCAATGTATCAAAGAAAAGTACTAAACAAAAACCAGTTTTTCATATGGACATCAACATTTGCATGGTTTTTTTTATGTGTTGTTGTTTTTCTTTATCTTTCTTTCTTTCTATCTCTGTCTCGCTCTCGCTCTCGCGTCGCTTTGATTTGTTTCGTTGTTCTATTCTTGAGCTGCCATTTCTCATTTTCCAAAACAAAGCGCACAACGTTCACATTTTGTGTGAAATGTGTTGGGGTTTTTTTTTCGGTTTCAATTTGAAATAATTCTCGATTTTATCGTGTACCACACTGCCATCGGCATCGGCATCGGCATCGCCAATGCCAGTTAACGGCGGCGCGACAATGACAACATTTAGATTGTTGTTTTCACAGTTTAATCTTTTCATTCCTTTTAAAGCGATCATGAGCACAATTCAAATCAACAGAAATATATATTATATGCACAAATGTGAATAATGATTTTCTATTTTATAACTGGATTATATTATATTATGGACACAATGTGCTTTCTAATATATTTCAATGACTATTTTTTTTCTGTCTTAAAAAACAAAAATCGAAAATATCTATTTCGATCCACGTCGTTCAAGAAATTCTTTTCAAAATAAATTTCACATTTTTCGGCGATAAAATATTGCCCAAGTTAAAATGTTTACTCAGAGAACGTTGATCTGATCGAAATAGAGAGAGAGAGAGAGAGAGAGAGAGAGAGAGAGAGAGAAAGAGAGAGAGGGAAGTAGAAAAAGGAAAGAACGATCGTTACTTAAGCTTAAGCATTTGTCTAAGATAGTCCGACTAAAATCGATAGAAAGCTTTTGTTGATATAAAAATAGACGCGGGCATAGAAAGAAAAGAACTTACGACAACGCCAATAAATGGTAGAAAAAAAGAGCATAAAAATGCCAACGACTTTGCACGTTGCAGCTCCAAAGCAAATCAAATTGATGAATCAGCATAACAAAAGGTAGGAACGAGGTGTGTAGAGAAAGAGTCGCGACCATTTACATCAAATAATTGATGACAAAGCGCACAAACTTAAGCGACATTTTATGTAGTGCTTCATAACAGCGACACATACAAACACACATGCCATTTGGAGGTATGCAATAAAAACAACAGCAACAACTTGAAAGCACGGTCAATCACTTTGGAAAGCACAGTTCACAAGGTTCATACCGGAATGCATACCACACTATGTCTATTCGTTGACTCTATAGTTTGCACTCGTAAATTTATTCAAGGAGATATTGAAAGAGGACCATGATAATAATAATCATTGAATGATTGAGTGGCTTCACTCTGCACATCATCATGGCTCTATCTCCCTCTTCCTCTCTCTCTCTCGCTCTGGATCTAACGCATACATAGGATTCGTTTGTGCACATTCAATGCACACACATTATGCAATTGCTAACGAATAAATCGCATCAGTCTTTATTTTATGGTTACTTCGAAGGCACAATGAGAAGAATAAACATTTGCTGAGACGGCCGTGTCTCTTACTTTATCTTTCTCTTCTTCTATTTTTCTCTCGCGTCGTTTGTCGCCAGTTTGATGTTCTATGCAAATTAAGTTGATGCACATTTGCATTAAACAGAGGAAACAATTGAATGCATCCAAATAGATTTACACCTTTAATTAACCTAATTGTCAACTCTCTTATTCTTCTCCATTACAACAACCACCCCGAACTTTTAACAAAATCCAATTCGTAGAAATTGTAGATGAAATAAAACATCCCTCCCTTTGTTGCTTTTATTAAATTAGCGCTTCTTAGTGTGTGTTCTAATTTGCAAACTTAGAAAACCTGCGCATAAAATTCAACTACAATCAACCAACCAAAAAAAAAAATACCTTAAACAATTAATTGTCTTTGTATCTATATTCTTTGCCTCGCTGGCATTAAATGATGCAGAATGTGCACTGCATGCATATTCGTATTATTTCATATTGCCACAAAATGTGCATTATATGATGCCATCACCACAGTATCCGCAATATTATTACCAATGTCAGCGCACGAAATCACATCAAAAGCAGCACAAAGATCATTGTCATCACTACCAACCACAACATCAACCATATGCATACCATCATCTTGCACAATATCACCCAGGTTTGTTTTATCGTGCCACACAAACACACATACTCACACACACATACACACAAACAAACATCGACACTGACGCGAACAAAATCACGTGCACACACCCACACATTCGGCAATCCAAAAAGTCGAATTCTTACGTCTTGCTTTCAGATTTCAACAGCACAAAAAAATCGTTTCTATTTTACTTTCGATCGCAAGCAAATGGAAAATCCACAAATCAAACTAGCCGAGACTACTCACAGAAAATAAAAATAAAAGAAGAAACAGAAGATGAAGCAGAAAAAAACTATATACCGATTAATTATCAATTAATTGTTCGCAAAAAAAATTGCATAGATGTAGCGTAAACATACATGATCATGGTTATTTGTATGATGTTATTGTGCAAGCATTTACCGTTAAAAGAAAAATTAATCATACAGTTTAGACAAATAAGCGCTCACGCTCACGTTGCAATGCGTAAGAAATCGACTCACAATACCATACACACAACAATATAAACATGAGAAAGAGGTGAAAGTAAATTGAAACTATAAATTATAATTTATTCATGTAATGATGATACATAGCATGTGTTGAACATTACACACACACATACGATACAATTGTACAAACGATTTTTACTTTTTGGCTTTCTTTTAGGAGAATATTTTTTTTATTTTACTTTAAATTTTAATATTTTTCATTTTCTCCGTTTTTAATTGCAACATTATTATTATTATGTTTTTTTTCATAACCAAACCCACAAAACATTTATGTTTAGTCAACATTGCATATAAACACACTAACCACACCATTCTAGAAAAAAAATGACACACACACACGTACATCACTTGTACAACACTTATGATCATCACTTACTTATATATTTTATTCGGTTCGGGAAGGATAAGTGCAGAAAAAAACGTGTGTCGGCGATGCGAAACAGTGTCATAGAAAGTTACATATTATTATTCTTATGTGAACGATTTTTTTCAAGAGGGTAGACACTATTATGACTACCACGAATCATTTTAAGTTTCGCTCATTTTCACCAATCTTTTCTAATAAAATCTCTCTCAATGAATTGCAATGATGTCAAATTTTACCTATCTTCACTATAATCTTGAACAATTTTTATCAATCTTTATTCATATTTTTATAAACAAATATTTTCCAGTCTCAAATTTTGTGTCTACCCCCTAGGGAATCCCAGAAGGTTCCAAAGAAGTCTTCACTTTCAAAAATGTATTTTTTTACTTATATGTAGAGATTTAATTTCAAATCCGTTCTAAAAGGCCACTTTTATTTGACCCTTGAACCTCTAATTCAGAAGCTATGCTATTTTGTACATGCATTCTTTTCATAATTGATTTTGCATTTTGTGAGATTCGTTTTCAATCATGTTCAAAGACTTTGATTAAGAGAACTGTAGCGAAGAGCAAGAAAATTAAATCGAAGCAAAACGATGAGTTTTTACTTTACTTTGAATTTTTTTTTTTTCGTATCAATTTTATTTCCATTATTCTTGCTTATTATATTATTTTTTTTCCCAATCGTTCTGTTATGTAAAATATCTAGGCTTGTTCATACGTCCAACGGATGAGAATAATTTGTATACAACGCTTGAGCCGACAATGAGCAGCAATCCAAATGTATACTTTCAACGTGGCGGAAACGTTCATCCTGGCATGATGTATTGATTTAATGTGACCAGCCACATCTGATGGAGAGAAATAGAGATCGTGATTAATCTCATATCGTATAATAAGTGAATAGCCAACGGAATAATTAAATTAAATCTAGAAGAGAAAAACAAAAACTTAAACAAAAAAAAACGCAAGAACAACAGTCTGCTGAAATGATGTTTGAAAAAAATTAAGAAGAAATTTAAGAGAGAAAAAAAAAACTGAAAGGTACCATGAAAATCGATTGAAACCGAAGGAGAGCACAAAATTACAACGAGCTGACAATGCACAGCTGAAATGAAAGAAGAAAAAAACAGGTATATCATCACAAATATAGTTCAATAGAAATGTAGTTTTATATGCGCGATGAAGTGAAAGCTTTTATTTTATTTTTATTCGTTGTTATTTGCTACAATGTGGAACAACTAATGAAATAAGTTTTAAGCGCAAACACACATTTTCCTAATTGATAATTTTCTCTCATGTTGTTGTTAGTTGTGTTTCTCTTCTCTTCTTCCCTTCTAATATCGATCGTGTTTATTTTACTCGTTTCATTTTATTTTCTTGTGGCAGATTCGAGTTTTGTATATGTTCGAGAGCAAACTCTTGTCCACTAGCGTTAACATTCTTTTGTTACCTCAACCAAAACGTGTTACCGTTCAAGAGCAGATGACCACAACTGTGAGAGATGCAAGGCATTCGAAAGACACGAAACTAAGAAGAAGGAGACGACGATGACGACGATGGAGACAGAGAATCACAGAGTGAAAAGGTGCAATTGTAAATAATAAAACACAAATGAGAGAATAATATGTGAAATAAATTTAAAGCCAACAATGAAAAATGACTGCATAGACTGTTTGTTCTATGATATAACGTTTTTGCGCATAAATAAGATATTATAATTCGATTTGAATCGTTTTTTTTTTTTTCTTTTCTCGTGTGGATAATTTGAATTGATAATGATTGGGCAACATATGTGTGAAAAATTAAAGATCTTCTGCACACCGACCAAATTCGCCAAGTCTCGACTTGAAGAAGTAACACACGAGACCGAAAGAGAGAGAGAGAGAGAGAGAGAAAACCGATTAAATTATTTTAAAAAGAAAGTGAATCGTACTTAACATTTTCAAATGATATTATATTTGCGCTTATATAAGTGAAGAGTGTTTCTGATTTGGTTAGAAAAAAAAAATAATCGTTGTTTTGATTGTTGGAATTCGAAAAGGGCACTTTTACTTAATTTTCTATTTTGCTAGTACGCAGATTAGCAATTTGAGAATTGCAATTCATAAAAAAAACGATCGCATAATTTATATTTGCCGTCAAGCAATCGTGTAGAACTTACAATCATATTCCGGCGGCGAAAAGTGTTGTAATGTGTTGTGCGCAATGTGTAATCTCCCAATTTTTTTATTGTCTTATCACACTGAACCGCTAGTTCTGCGAACATACATATACACGTATATATTTTCTCTTTCTGCATTACGTCTATGTAAGCTGTATGGCTTGCATTCGCCGAGCGGGAGAGAGAGTGAGAGGAAGATGAACACCGTATGGAAAAAGAGAGTAAAAGAAGAAAAACGTAAAAAGGCAAACCGTAAAGAAATTGTTTGTTTTCACTTTTCTCGTGTGCAGTCTTTAACAGCCGACTTTTATTTAATTTTTTTTTCTCTTCTTTCTTTTAACATTTATTGGCTAACACAAAAATTACGATCGACCAAATTACGACCAGAAAATGAAAACGTTACTCATGTGTTTATTTTCTTTGTGTCGGCCTTTCCTTGTTTGATAAAACAAAACAAAAAAAAACGCAAACAAATTCATTCAGTGGATGCTGCCACTGTGCTTTTTGTCTTTATTGTGATGAAAGTCCGAATACCGTACAACAAATTTTTGATATCAATTTCACGAAATGCCGCTATAAAATTTAATGAAAACAAATTCCAGTGAACTGTTTAAAAGAAAGAGAAAAATGAGCGCTCATTAAAAACGACTTTGCACACAGTTTCTTCTTTTAATTGAATTGTTATACGTGTATTATTTTTCTTCTCGAAATTGGATTTTTTTTTTGTGTGTTATTATCCACAACATTGTTGCATGTAAAGAAGATAAGAAGACACGCCAATTCCTTTCGCTATCTCTCGCCGCAATTCCAATCAAGAATTCGATCGGACACATCTCATGAGTGAGAGGATGTAATGCCACATTCAATCAATGGGAGGAAATGACTGCGAATTTTAAAATTGGCGCGCTGTTTAGTATCGATTTGAGTTGTTAAATTACATTGACGTCCCCTTTGAAATTGGTGGCGCCACCGTCGGCTCAATGAGACTTGAAGTCTTCACATCCTGTCATTGCATTCAATGTATGAATATGATTTTGCATTGGGAACAAAAAGAAAACATCAATTAAGAATAACAAACATGTTGTCCTTCTTTTTAGTTAATTTTATATCTTCTGTCTAGTCTTTCCTTGTGCACAAACGATTGCAATCAAAATTGATAAGAATATACTTTTATTGCCAGGTATAAGTACAGCTAAACAAAAAAAAACAGCAACAACAGTAAAATAAGTGTCACTCATTCGTTGTGTATTCATTTCATGAAATAAGAAACTAAATTTATTGAAATTTTTCAACGATGAAAATTTCAAATTAATTTTAATGCCACACACCTTTTTTCGAAAGTTTTGATCAACTGCCAAAACAAACTTTTCTATTCAAAGACAATTTGGTCGATATGTTAATGAAAGCAACAAGTAATTAAATCGAAACAAAACAAGAAAAAAAAGGCGCCCAGCGAAGGGTGCACAATACACATATTTTACTCAAAAGATTTGAATTAATTTGCCATTCAGGAACCGGAACGAGTGTTATGCTATGACCCTTGGCACTGCTCTTTCTATACAAATGTCATTATTATTTTTTTTCACTAATTAGCATTCTTGCAAAGGCGTGTGCAAAAGTATATACTTCGTAATTTCATATAGAGATAGAGCAAGTTATAGTGGCACACATATTATCAATGTGCTACAAGCTACATGCAAAATTGCTAATTAGATTTAAACAGAACCAAAACTCTGGCTATCGTTAAGACAAATCGATAAAATTTGCATTAGAAAATCGAAAACAAGATAGAAACATAAGAGATATAGATTGATTAAGTGTCCTTCTGCAAACGAATGAATCAAACGTAAACAATATTTTCTTTGATAAAATTTGAAAGTCTGACTTACAAAATTTAAATATCATCCGAAATTCGGATAAACAACATTCCACTTCAAATCAACGAAAGCACATACCTTTCATATTTCCAGAAATTACATTCATTAAGTCATATTCATTCTCAGCAAAGACTACGTATCAATTTTATTTTGTATGAATTGAAATTATTGAACGTTTTGCCGATCATTTCAGATGCAATTTCCGCATATGTTTTAAAAAAAAAAACTCGAATACTCAATACGTTAAACGTATTGCTGGTATTGGATGCAGCAAAGTAAAAACGAAATCAAAATAAGTCATTTCTATGATTGCATAACAGTCAATTTGCACGTTAAATTTACGAATATATTAAATAATTATGAATTAAGATTACTATATTGATTGTATGTTGCATTATTTGGAACAATCGATCATCAGCAAAATATCATTCGATAACGAAAGGTAAGAATAAATTGATAGAATCTGTGCGAGCCTCCTATTTTATTAGTAAAACTCTTGATATAGATAATCAACCAATAATGAATAAGATAATCGAAATGAATACGAATCTCCATTTATGATTTCGACACAAATTGAACATTGAACATTTTTAAAATATGATTCGAGCTAAATATAACAATTTCTACATACGTTAAACAATCAGAAAATCCGAAAAAAGCAAAAAAAAAAATTCTCACACATTTTCATTTAAAAAAAATAAAAACAAATTCATGGTTTCAGCGCAAAATTCATAAATTATGCAAACAAAAATCTTGGACCTATAACTTATTGTGGAATTTAAAAAGTTTGATTCGTCTTCAATTAACATTGATATTCAATTCGACTTAGAAGAGGAAAATCGGGATTAGTTGTTAATGTGTTCATTGTAGTTTTCGATTTAAGTATTAGAAATAAATAATAAAGAATAAATTCAAATTAATTTGTTTTTTAATTCACAAGGCATCTGTTTGATATCGACAATTTGGTAGACATTTTCCACCTAAAAAGCAAGTTCTTGCGAGTTTTATTATAGTCACAATTTTGTCACAAGTTTCGTTTGACATTTTCCAGCATGTTGGTTGCCCTTTTTGTCATTAAAATTATACAAATGATTAGTTTGTTCTACTCGCGCCTAGAAATGAAACAGCTTCAAATTGCCAAAATATGAACATCGGTTGCTGGTTTCTTTGTCTCAAGCAATAACATTTGCAGAGAAAAGAAAAATTATTCAAATTATTAAATTTATCTAAAACACAATCAATCTGAGTGGATGATGAAAGTACTGAGGTGAACTATTGTGTTCAGTTTGTCATACATACAACATATACCATACAATATAAATACAATAAAAAATGCATCGCTACGCCAAATTTGAATATTTTATTTATTTGAATTAGTAAAACAATAAACAAAAACATAGTGATCAAAAATAACGGATACTATTTTCTCCATTAAAAAAAGAGCAATCATCGTTTAATTGAATACTATTGAATACGCTCGATTGAATAATATAACAATGGGCATTTTTGGCAATAAATCGAAAATAAAAGCAAAAAAACATACGAAAAACTTCGAATATTTAAAGTTAAACATTTTTATCATAAAACAATAATAAGTTGACAATTGTTCTCAATGGACGACCGTGCATTCCTTCACCTAAGTATGGTTGATCTGTTGTATCGCCCATTACAGGAGCTATATCCAAATGGATCCATGGTGTTTCTTTTGGCACAAATTCGCGCAAGAATGCGGCTGCTGTACATGAACCGCCACCTCTTCCAGCTTTGCTGATATTGTTCAAATCATAACTGGCGTGATCTAAAGATTGAAATACGGATGAAAAATCAACGATTAATTAATATACGAGCAAAATCGAGGAAAAAAATCTAGAAAATTACCATTCATTTGCTTGCTGTAATGCTTCAACAGTGGCATACGCCAAACGCGATCACCACTCAAAACGCTCGCCTCTTCCAGTTTGTTCCATAGCTGTTTAGTTGATTATTATGAATAAAATAAAAATTTATTAATTATGTGAGCATAAATATTTGTAGATAAAGTAATGAATTCATACATCGTTGTTGTTACAGTAGGCACCGCTAAGACAGTCTCCAACAGCAACTGACATTGCCCCTGTCAAAGTGGCTATATCGAGAATAAATGTTGGCTTGAAGTCTGCTGCATAGTCGATTGCATCGCAGAGTACCAGACGACCTTCGGCATCTGTATTATCAATACAAATGGTTTTGCCATTTCGTGCTGTAACTACATCACCAGGTTTTGTTGCACGACCACCAGGCCTAATAAAAAAACAAAACAAAAAATCCATCAAAAATAAAAATAAAAGTTCTTTCAACGCATCAATATTGTTTGGCAAAAATTACATATTTTCGGTGAGCGGTACGAACGCTTTGACATTCACTTTTGCACCAATTTCGGCTAATGCATTGACTGTGGCCACAACAATGGCACCGCCAGACATATCAGCGCGCATCGCGTCCATTTTGGCCGATGGTTTGATGCTGATACCGCCACTGTCGAATGTGATACCTTTGCCAACTAGCGCAATTGAATTTGACGAACTCTCATCGCCGTTATATGTGAGTTCAAGAAAGACTGGCGGTTGTGCAGAGCCATTTGCAACTGACAAAAATGAGCCCATTTTTTGGTCTTCGGCCCATTTTCGATCGTGTGCCACAACAGTGACCTTGTTTGAAATATTTGTAGCTACATTTTTCGCAAATTTTTCAGGTGTCATATGATTTGCAGGCGTATTTGACAATGTACGTGCCCAATTTTGATTATCGGCCAATGTTTTACCTATGAAAAGAATTACACATGGAAATAATGAAAAAATTCGATTATAAATGAATATCTTACCGTAATTCCATTCATCCTGAGCAGTGGCATTACTTGCAAGTTGCAGTTTTGGAATTGGTTTAACCTTGTCGGCAGCACGAAATTCTTGATATTTGTATGCAGCAAGGTATGCACCTTCAGCGGCACTTCTTGCTGAACCCAAATCATCAAATTGAATGTTCAACACTTTGTTTGATGTCAATGCCTTTACACCAGCTAAATAAACAAAACTTTGAGAGATTTGAAATTCGGATGAAAAAAAAAATATTTTTTATTACCACCGGCAGCAATGCGAACATTCTCTTTTTCGCCATCGATCTTTTCCAATGGATCCCAATCTTTTTTCCCATCGCCCAAACCGACCACAGTTACTGCTGTAAAATCGCTTAGTCCCCAAAATGTACGCTGTGAGCCATTGGAAATTGGTCCACCCCTGTGAAAATGAAACAATAAGAAAAAAACAAAGCCATAATTTCAAATTTCTTGATAAAACTTAAGCTTAAACGTTGTACGCTTTTGCAGTGGAGACGGTCATTTTTTGCATTGCAAGTAACTCATTTGGAAAGAAAACATAAAACAGACATATTTTGGAGCTAAGTGAACCAATCTTCAAACTTTCACAATGGTTTTGAAATTTCGTGTATATTTAACGAATCTATATTTTACCATATTGGTGGTTCAACTTTTCGCTGGTTTCGTGAATCGTTAGCTCATTTTAATAAAGATGTTTGCATCCTATAATAATAATAATACTTATCTTTTTGACATTTCCAGTTCAAATCATTTTTGTCATCAAATTAAAATATATATTTCGTGAAACGAAAATGAATGTTTTGAAAGTCTTATCACCATATACGCTGAATTTTCTTGTATTCTCACTACTACGATAGGAGCATACCATTTTAAGAGAAATATCTACTGGTTTTTTGGTATTTGTTTCTTAAACGGTATATAGGTGAGTAGACTGGAATATTCAGTGGTAGTAAGAGATAAATGAAATTTTCCAAGAATTGTAAGGCGGCCATTAAAATTTCCAAAATTTGTTAAGTCACAATAAACAAAAACTCTCTTCGTTTGATTCTTTGTTTGATTGCTTCAATCAGGCCGTAATTTTTTATGACGACATATGAATTTTAATATTTTTATGACGGGGTAATGGGATTTTTGTGCCTGCTCATATTTACCTTGAAATATAAAGTGAATTATTGCCTTTTTTTCAATCAAAATAAATTTTTCTCTAGTTACATTACGATTTAATGGATGGAAGGCATTTATAAATTCGTGTTTTATTCTTTTTTTGCCTGTTAATATTCTACTCGTTTTGATAATACTAATGAACTAATTATTTTATCCAAATTACGATTTTTAAGTATAATTAAAGAAATTTAGTTCTACTCCTACTTTGAAAATCTTTTAAGCATACCGTTTCTTTTATTCATCCGTGGGTTTGCTAAGTTTAATTGCATTTTTTTTGCATAAATTTGGTGATAAAACTCATCAGTTATAATTGATAAAAGAATTAAAAATGCGATTTGAATTCAATTATATAATATGCACAATGAAAATAATTTTAATTTTTTTTTGAAAATTATATTATTTAAAATTACGAAAAAAATAACAAAACTTAGTGTTTATCTCACACGAGTTCAGAAAAGAATTACTTTCAGGCTCTTTGTCTATCACTTTTATTGTACTTTTCGCAAACGATAGTAGAGAGTACTGCATTCTATTGTTAACATAATAAATAGTATGTTCTAAATAATTTTGTTACTACTATTAAACTATATATTTATTATTACAACTATAATGAATTTTATGTTATATTTATTGCCCAACTTTTCGGTTATATCTAACATATCTGTTCTCTTAAGTTGTCATAGTTTTGTTTATCAGTCTGCAACACTTGAATAACGAGTAATCAAAATTTTATCTCAGGTTTTCAAAAGATCACTTTGATTTATAGAATTTTCAATATATTATGATCAAAAATAGTGTTTAATTTTTACATTAAAAAAAACATATTTTAAGGGTAAACAAAAATTAATTGTCAAAGGAAACTTGAGTAACTTTTTTACTCAAAATTTGTGTTTTATCTGAATTATTACAGTCATTTATCCTCCAAAACAATTACATTTATAAATGAATGGATTTTCTTTTTCTTTCTTTTTTTTTTTTTTTTGAAATATTAACTCAAAAAATTATGAATTTAAACTAGTTCAAGGACTTTAATCAATCCCCGACTGTTAGCAGCCAATACAACATTGCACTGTTGTCTCCAGCAAACGGCTGAAACAAACTCGTTAACATCATTGAATCGATCGGTCTCTAAAGCTGTACCGCTGATTCCACTGCTGCCAATGTTACCGCTGGCTGCACCACCAACACCGATCATTCCGTTGCTATTTACATTTCCCGTGCTACAACTATCGATTCGGAAATTAAACAATGGTTTCGATAATCCTTTGTAGTAAATATACAGTGCATTATCTTCGCTGCCACATGCAATATAATCACTGTCAGTGGCCAAACCAACGAAATTTTTCTCATTTACATGACCAACAAATGAACGCAAACAATAAGGTGGCTGATTTACATTCCACAATTTCAATTGACTGTCTGTACTTGCCGATATAATTTCGTTTGTATTTAAGAATTTGACATAAGAAACGGCCTTTTTATGACCCTTGAATATGCACAAAGCTTTCGACATATTCCGTAAATCATAATAATGGACATCATGATCGGCCGAACCAAAAGCCAAATGATACCGACTTTTTGGATTAAATTTTACGCAACACACATTTGCTTTGGCCTCAAGCGTTGCAATCGAACGTTCGTCCTGTGTTGACCAAAGTTTAACGCGTGCATCATCTGAACCAGATGCAATTAGTCGAGCTTCAATGTTATTGAAATCAACGCTCCAACATCGTTTTTCGTGTTCGTTGAATGTACGAGTTTGTGTGCCAGTTTGGACATCCCACAGAGTAACAGCTCCTTCGTAATCACTTGATGCCATTACTTGTTTGTAATACGAATTCCAGGTGATGCATGAGATTTTACTATTCGATATCATCTCAACATTTGGATAATGAATATCAACGGTATCACGAACAACAGCCAAATAATCAAAAATTTTAATACGTCGCGTTACACCACCGATTGCAAAAAATTCATTATCCTTATCGAACACAATGGTGGACACAATCGTTGAATTATTATGCAAATCGCTTGAATAGTGCATTGTGGCCAATGGCCGTAACGTATTGTATTTTGAAAATTGTACCAAATTCTCACGAAATAAATCGAGTCCGGGATTTTTACGTTTCGACGTATGATCGAATTCACATTTTTTACCACTTTCATCTAATTTAACTTCATCCTTGGTACCAAATACCAGATCTTGATTACGAATTGAGAAATACGAAGTGACAAAATCATCGAAATGCGCATACATTCGTCGTTTACGGGACAAATAAGTTTGTGATGTCGGTGCCGGTTTCAATGTATTGAATCCATCATCACCACTTAGAACGGTTTCGAAGCTTTCCGTACGTGCACCGGAATCTTTTGATATTGAATTTGATCGCTGTAATGCTTCCCCGTTTTCATTTTCATCACTTGCATTTGTGGTCATTGGTGTATCGGGCAAATTACCCATTGTCGCCGCCACCGCTGATACTGCTGCTGTTGTTGTGGTAGTTTCATTTGCCGTTGCCGCTGTTGATGTCGTTGGTACTGTTGACACTCCGGCCGCTGTCACTGTATCAACTGTTGTATTTTTCAGTAAAAATTCAACTTCGGCCAAATCTTTTTGAATTAGCTCAATCTCATTTTCGATTTGTGTCTTTTTCTTTTCTTTTAACTGCAGCAATTGCTTTAAAAAGTCATACAATAATCGATTTTGTGCTGTATTTGATTCGGCTTCTAGTAATTGCTTGCGTTGTTGTAAAATGTCCATAATTATGTTGACGTCAGGTAACGTTAGTTTTTGTGATTCTGATGTGAGAAAATGTTTGAGGCCATCACCGGCCGGTCCAAGCGTTATATCATCTGTAATGCCACCACGGCTCGTTCGTCCACCAATAACTTTGTCATGAATTTGCTTTTTAATTTTATACTTGGTTATCAATTCGTCTAGTAAATAATTCGGAAAAATATTCTCACATGTCGATAGTGTGTAACTACATTTTGGGCATCGTTTGAAAATTTCCACCGATTTTGTGATGCAACGAAAACAAAACGTATGACCACATCGTGTAATGTGCGCTTCGATGATCAAATCAAAACAAATGGGACACAGGAAATCGACATTTTTATTTTCAACCGTTGAACCAATGCCATTCAATGCAATTGATCGCTTGTTTGTGTTTTTGTTATCAGCGTGGTGCATTCGGCTATGATGTGCGCTTTGCATATCATCGTCGATGGAATTGCTGGCGCCAGCCAATGGTACATGTTGTGCATTTGGTTGTGTCACTTGATTTTGTTGAAACAGAGCGGCCGACGACGATGACGATGCATTCAATCCGCTTAATGTGTTATTATTGTTGCTGTTGCTGCTTGTTGAATTGGCAGCTGTGCCACTAACATGAGGCGATGATTGGTGTCTCGACATCGTTCAAAACCGTTCGAAAAATTTGTGAAACGTGTCAATGTAATCTAAATTAATTACCAATATTGACGGAATAATTGCAACAATCTGTTTATCTAATCTTTTTGAAATTAATGCAAATAAACTTGTTATCTCGTTCACATTTGATATCAAAAATTGGAGAGATGAGCACAGCTTTTTTTTCGCTTGTATCTGTATAAAATCTTTCACTTTGTTTCAATTGTGAAGGCATTTGTCTAGACGCTTAATCAAGATGGCATAGAAATACATAAAATATTTCTGGTTGTATGATTGAGTTGCCCGATTCGCTTTTTATGGTCCTATTTTCCGTTTTCTGTTATTGTTTGTTGCTCACACTTTCAGTCAAATTTTATTTTCTATTTGTATGTGTGATTTAGTTCGTATTTGTTAACAATTAACTTATTTGTTTTGCGTTGTTGCGAGTAATTTATCTGATTTTGTGTGGATTACGCAATTGAAATTAGTTCGAAGCAGACCTGAAACAAAAATGCCATATTTGAGCTTGTATTTGTACTGTTTCGGAAATTTATGAAAGAATTTTAAGTTATCTAAGACATAGAGAGAGAGAGAGAGAGAGAGAGAGAGAGAGAGTAAGTATGACAGAGAAATAGAGAAATAGATGTAGAGAAAGAAATAAAACAAATCAATAAATAAAGAATGAATGTATCAATTTTGTATGATTTTTCTAGCTGACTACATATTACAGTTATCTATTTTTCCTTATAGTGTTAGGGTGCAATGTTTACAAAATAAATTGGTTCGTATCAAATTCACAAATAAATTATGTGACACATAAAAAAAAATCATTCAATGCCCGCAAAGTCATACGTTTTGGTAATTAAAAAAAGAAAATAGATAAACAATTTGGAAACGCATTGCAATGAAATATTTATTTTTGGATTAGTCTATAGATGATATTAGATAAAGTATCGGCACCGCGGGAAACATTCGTTCGGGCAAGAGTTTTTTCGGGAATTCTTTCGGCAAATCTTGATTTTTGAGAATTAGTACTTGTATCACATTTTTGCAGTTTGATATTCTTATTTTTGCACTATCAAATCATGAAATAAATCAATTTCTTAGATTTTTTTGTTGTATTACAAAGGGGCTTAGCTCAGGCAAATATGTTTCAGATCTCTGAAGGAAAAAAGAGAAAAATCGAACAATATTTAGTAAAGTATTCCACATCCGTCTATTTTTAACAAGGAAAGATTCTGGTGAGTGGCAATCACACGGCCTGGACTTTTCAATGGAAATTCAAGATCGACATGTCATCGAATGATCGAATGTAAGAAACATTACTCCAAAAAGTCATTCCAAACTTTGGACCCAATGCCACTTTCCAAATTTAAATTGTCCAAGTTTCTATCTGAGAATGTATTATATTTCGTTAATGTCATTTAATTGCAAACTACCGTTATCTCTAAAGCTATTAAATAGCATCCAAAATTTTGAATAGAGTTTTATCTAGAATACCATCTAGGCTAGACCAATAATTCAATAATAGCCACAACTGATCCAAAAGGATATATCAACCCGAATGATCCGCGTGTCCGAAAATATGAGTTCGGTGAACACACAAACATAATAGCGACATGAGTTTTTGTTGTAAAAAAATACAGTAGTAACGGGAATTACCCTGTCATTTTAAACAAAAAAAAAAAAACAAGGTTTTCGGATGGGATACATTTACAATAATTTGACTTGAATTGCCCACTATTCTCTACTTTTGATGGCATAAATAAAAACAATATGTTTTTGTCTGGGCTATCATTTGGTTGGTATGTACATCAAAATAGATAGTTCAAGTGCATTGTTTCGATTTTTCACTTTTTTGCCAACATTAAGAGATGTAATATAACACAAACACCACATATCATTTATTTTTCACGGCTCACCAATATCACTTGTAAACAGAAATTTCTAATTTTACACTAAAATATTATGTTACGACATATTCGTCACGATTTACTAGAATTTATTCAACAATTTGAAAAATATGCCCATTTTTGGCGTTAAAGATGTTTCAAATTAATATTTGATTAATGATGTTTTTAACATTTAAATATATTGCAGATTTTTTCTTTTAAACGAAATTTCGGATCACTTTCATCAGTTTATTTATTTTTATCATCTCGCATAGTGTGATTCACAGACGACGATGTTTTTAATGATAAAATCAAGAGGTAACTTATTATTAGTCAATTGTGATGTGTCTGTTTCTGTTTATATCCCTCATCTGTTACATGTTGAGCGAATAAGGTCATAAGATTTCGTAATTTCAGTGATTCTCTCTGTTTTCATGGATGAAAATGGAAAAACCTTCATTGGAGAAGTAGAACAAGTGATAAATGAGTCTGCGCGTCATAAAACATCGTTTTAGTTGCATCTTGCACAAACAATATTGTGTGCTTTTACCCATGCTATTGCATTTTTTATAAATATTCTCACACTGTAGAAAGTTTTCCATCAATAAATTTGATGGTTGATTTCTAATTTACATCCAAATGTATGTACAAACGTAAAAATTTGCATAGAAAGAGAAAGCCGAGAGAGAGGGAGAGAGGGAGATTCTTGTAATTCATATGTAACTAGTGCAGACGAACATTTATGTTCTGAATTCAAGCTATATACATATTTTGGCAACTTCAAACAAAATGCATAGACGTCAAATGAGAATCACTTAAAAATTACTTTTTAATTATTCAACAAATTCTTCGGTTTATTTTTTCTGCTATTTGATGAATGAATTGATAAAAACTATTTTCATTTCGCTTACTTTCTCCACTAGCTTCTTTTAGTCGCATTCTTACACGCATAAATCTACATACAATATGTTGTGTCATTGTCATCATCATCACCACCGGTACTTATATCAATATCAGAAAAAATATATGTAGTAAATCTAACATACTTATTTTTTCGGTTTACTGTACATTTAAGAAGTAAACTAACCCACCAGATTACATACGGAAAAAAGATCGGTACACTTAGCAAACACAGATGGCAAAATTCAAAGTAATCAGAGCAAAATGTCATTTTGCCGTCAATTTTCAATAATTTGAACGTATTTTTATTTTCATTTGAATGTTCTCAAAAAATGCCATGCACAAATTATACAAAATGACGGCAAAATGATATTTTGCCAGCAAAAATTGAGTAATCTAAGAATAAAAAAGAACCCATGATAAATTGAATTTTGTGTCTGATTAATTTTTTTGTTCACTCGAGCTAAAATTTAAAATGAGAAATGTGCAATGAAAAATGGCCAACAGCCACACAAAAAAACTCGTGTAAACTTGAGATTTATATGACAAATCGAGTAATTTCGTGTAAATTATAAAATGAATCAATATTTTTCATACGAAAAGTAAAGGTGTATAAGAAATTTCACGTTTTATCGTATGAGATAGTTCTAAGTTTACATGTTTTTGTGTGCATCGACTGTGAAATGATTATATCTCCAAGTGACGAATCGAATAAACCATCAAAATCAAATTTAGTTGATAAGAAAATGAGAAATATTATCCAATTTTAAGAACAGTTAATTGTAGAGTTTTAAGAACAGTATAAAGTTAATTGAAATTTGAAATTTGTGAGGCAGCAATAATCGGACCAATATCATCATCACTTATTAAATAAAAAACTTTTCATTCTCTATTGGATTGTTGTTTTTTTTAAATCAAAATAATGCGATTTTATTTTATTTTTCGAAGTTTCCAAGGTTTCTCCAACTGATGATAAGCGGTCACATCGCTCAAGGAGCATCAATTATACAGTAAATTGCCGACTTTTATTACAACCGCCTCATGTCTCTAGTAGGTTTATTAATTACAAAAGATTCAAGTAAATATAGGAAGTAAAAAATAAGAAAACAAAAGTTTTTGAAAGGGGCAAGGGTTTGTGGCCAATGAAACATAGAATCATTCGAAAGTTATAGACACACACACTCTCTCTCTCATTCATTCTCTCTATGATTTGATGAATTTCACCGTTTTTTTATCTTTCGAGGGCTGTTTTTCATTTATATCAGAATTTTGCGATGTTAGACTATGCTATACTTACAATTTAATCAATTTTAACAGCTCTCCATTGGTTTTTGCGTTAAATTGCTCGGCTAATTTGGTAAGCTTGGTTTGATTTTCATCTGAGTATACACCCAATACGATGCCACGAGACTGTAAAACGGTAGAAGAAAAACAAAACATTCATTGGAAATTCAATATTGATTGCAATGATTTTGGAATTGGAATGATAAATTATGATTACACAATATCGATGCAAGAAGATTGATTTTCGTTTGAAAATTAACGAACATGAGGTTCAGTCTCTGGAGAAAGACCTTAAAATAGTAACGTAGCACAATCAACAATCAAATAATTGCAACAAAATAATCAAACAACCCACGAATCATTTTATTATAGCTTGTTTGTGTGCGTCATTTGCTGAACAGTTCGAAACGGCTAATTGTGTTTGAACGCACGAACGCTTTCTCTTGCTCTCGAAATTGCGTTCAGTTGAAATGACGTGACTTCAAAAGAATTTTTATTTTTTATTTTTCAAAAGATTATATTTATCTTAAATATATAGAACCGAATCAAATCTGAAGAATATGACACGCCATATGATAACAACGAAAACAGAAACAAATACTTGAAAATAGATTTCTTATGCAGAAACAGAGAGTCTTATCGAACGTTATTTCACACTTTACGGACAATGTACATTACGAAAGTAAGATTTAAAAAAAACCGTACGAAAGTGTTACGGGCAAAGCAAGTAAGACAATCTACGGAGCACACAATATGAACTCGCATCTCTGAACACACACACACACACTGCATCAATACGACCGTTTGAACGTACAATAAAATGTTATTTTTCGATTTCGTATAAAACACTTTTCATAATAGACTGGAAAAATTGCTGGGTCAATTTAATGTACAAAAAAAAAAAAAAAAAAATATTCGACAACGCATAAATTACAAAATCTTCTTGGTTACGGTTTCTCTCGAATCAGTCTATGATAAATTTTTAACAAATAGAACTCTTTCCAGTAATATATGTATAGATGTTTTTATCGTACGACACAATGAAAATTAAAATTAAAATATATAAATGGTATAAGAAGAGAACCAAATGAAGAATTATAAAACAAATGAAAAGATGAAAAAAAATATGTGCAAACAGTCATTTCGTTCTGATTTTACTTACATCCGTCATTGAACAAAACAATCTATTTCGATACACTACACTCGAATATTTAAATGCGAATGATCGAAATATGGCCATAATCTCAATTTTTTATATATTGAGTGTACTATACAACAGGATACCAATACAAACAATCTTATATACACGCTCACAAGCGCAAAACAGTCTTGCCGTGTATGCGTATATGTATATCTTGTACTTTTGGAGAACGACCGCGTTGACACAATGTAGTAGAGGCACGTCGACAATACGAGACCGATGAAAGTGTTGAAAATAAATTGTTCATTCGTTTTTTTGTTCCAACCAGAAGAAGAAGAAGAAGAATCGGTGTACCAGTTGAAAAGTGGTTGAATAAATGGTACCAAATGATATGTACAGTTGTCGCTACCCCAAAAGAAAGAGAGAAAAATAGTAAAAAAAATGCTCTGCATTGTGATTTATCACTTGATTCTTTGGAGACGATTATCACTTTTTTCTTTTTCACATAGTTTATTATTATTTTTGAATGGAATTGTGTTTTTACAGAGAAGAAAACTAATAATTTCAACTACATTGAACAAGATTGACGTTTTGTCAATAATACAATGAAAAAACGCTTGAATCAATACCTTTCTTGATCTATTACCGGTGTTTTGTAATCTTTGTCTCTTGAAATAAATTGCAAGATTTTGAAATCACTCACAATTATTGTATAAGATTCATTCCAATTTGACACAGTGAACATGCTGTATTAATCGGTTCTGCAGGCACATGCTTACGCTGTCACAGAAATGCCAATGTATACTGTCAGTCGATATGATTATATCAGGGCTGTCCAAATCTATATTATTCTTTAACATGAAATTTTGAATATACGGTACGGTATATTGAATTTCAAAAATGCTTGATCAAACCATGAATACAGTTTTTGGAAATTTGGCCAATGAAAGTCTCAAAAGTAAAAGAATTAAAAAACGATCAAAAGATAATATTTACGGTCATAATTTTGTGTTAGAAATGACCGCAATTTACCGCATTCATAGAAAATTTCAATTCAACATGTACGAGTCTGAATTCATTAGTATAAATATTAATTTATTTTTCGTTTGACAAAGATATTATTTATTCTTTTCATTCGGCATTGTTGAACAAAAAATAATTTGATGTTTTTGACGTAATTTTCAATTTTTTGCCCTGCAATGATTAATTTCATCTTTTCCTATTTGAATCACATATATTTCAAAATAATTGAAAAAAAAATATATATATATTTTATTTAGACGTTTTATTTACGAATATTTATTAAATACATAGATGCATTTTAATGATATTGAAACTTGAATTGAAATGCTTTAATGCATGGCTTCGATTATGAAATGGATATGTATTTACGGTAGTAATTACATGTTTATAAATTCAAGTATTATGTTGTTAAATGTTTTTTTTTTTTTTTTATATATTGGGACGCAAATAAAGATTCCATTTCATATTCTTAACGGAAAATTGTGTGGTGTGGCCAAATTGAACCGTACCCGTAAGTTTGTATTGATAAATATGTGCTCATTAGAAAAATACCATTGTTATGTCATTTATTTGATTTTTTTTTCTCTCGTTTGGCCACTTTTAAATTTTCCGCTCAGATAGGATTATTTGTGCGAAAATACTTTAGTTTTTTATAGATTTTCTTTTTGTACTTCCGATTTGGTCACATCCTTGGTTTTTAAAGAAAATATTTATTCAGTGACTAGTTTCGTGTATAGGTTTTGTTTTGTTCTTCATATAGTTTGCATTTGATTCTATAAAAATAACATCGTCTCTTTTCATATTGTTCCATCTTTTTTTTAAAATAAACTATCATTTGCACTACAATTCGAAGATTCAGTTGTTTGTATTGTTCAAATAAAAAATAAACAATATCTTTATATCAAATAAATTAAATTGAATTAAATCACATTAATGTACTGCATTTAAGTGTTAAAAGTTGTATAGACTTTAAGCATATTTTACAGGCGTGCAGAGATGATGTAAAATAAAATGATATTAGAAGAAATCAATGCTATGCATGTTTTTCATCTATATGTGTATAAGTATAATCAATCTTTTTTTTGTTTCTTGTATGTCATGCATGTTACAAAAAATAGATTCTTTATATTCGTGTTTGTTGTTCTGTCCCGCCATGCAGGAAATAAAACTAAATGATAAATTAAATTCGTGTGAACGAAATATTTACATAAATTTGTTTGTATATGTAGTTGATACAAAACCAAAATAAAAAAAAATATTTTCACGTAATGGACCTGTGCACTGTTAAACTATTGGACTATGTTGTGCGCATGTTTATTCATCTAATTGGCTTGCTTCTTCGTCTGGAATATTTTGTAAATTTTCATCTTTCATCCAATAATATTTCGGTGGTCCATATCCGAAGCAATATTTCTGCATTAATGGTTCGCCACTATCCACGTAATACATCAAATAGAAATTACACATTTCATCTTCATTTGTAGCCCTAATAAAAAAAAATGAAATCTGAATCAAGCTTATCAATATTAATTTTTTTTCATTTACCCAATGAATGTGATCCGTTTTCGGTTGCTAAGCATTGTACAACGAGCCGCCACTGTGTCACCGGTTCTAATTGGTTCAGTGTTATTAAGTGGATAAAACATTTGCGGTTTCAGTGGATCACGTCTGCCCAACAGTGTCCATTTTCCATCGCGAACACGCCAACCCGATACAACTTTGCCCAACGAATGCGTATGTACACGGAATGCAAATGGATGAATCAATTTATCTTCATCAATTGTGCAACTTGTTTCCATTTTCTCAACAGACATGGGTGGTACAAGTCCTCCGGTTCCGAGCAACAAAACACCAGCCTGTTTATGTAGTCTATGCGATAAAATAAATAACAATAATAGATGCATTTTTTTTTTGTTTCTTTTTAAAAGCGTAATTATGCATACGGTTGTTTGGTGTAGTGAAGGAAAATTCCAGAATCATCTGTACTTCCATCTAAATAGAAATGTCATAAATTCCAATAAATATTTAAAAGTAATAATAGATAATATGATTGAGAAAACATTCGGCCCCAAGTTCGACCATGAACTTGTGCCTAATAATGGATCATTTTGCGTTAAGAATTGTTTATTGGATTTTGTCTAGCATACCTCTGAATTTGTGAATGTGTGCATAATGTACTTGCATAACTAAATATTGAATTGGTGAATCTTTGCCTACTTTGAATCCAACTCCTTCGGGCAATTCCAACTTGGGAGCATCACGGGCCCATGCATAAATGATCTATTTTTTTTGGTTTTTAAATATAACATCCAATAAATTATTATTTTAACGCCATTCAATATAAAATAGTTAATTTACCTGCGAGTGAGCACCTTGCCCGCAAGGGCTTGCCACCTCATGTACATAATCTTCATCACTAGAAGCCATCTCACCGCAGTTCCTATGACATAAATTACAATTTACAAATATTGCATTTATTTTATCTTATTTTTTGATTTTATCTTACCACACAGGTTTTTCGGAACCAGGTGCACCACATCCATACAACAGCATATGGTGGGCTGTATTCATCGTTGCATTCGGCTCAAATCCAACTGAATATATACAAAAATAAAGTGGAGAAAAAACATTAACATTACTTCGTAATTTCACATTTGGAATCGTGTGTGGGCGTGGGTTAAATTGTATCAAATTCGAGCAAACATCATCAGCAAATGGATGAGCATCATCAACGCAATACATATTCTTTTGAATTGAGTAATTTGTTGATTATTTTTATTCTTTTCTTTTGTAATTCTCCCTTGGGCACCACACACACACACACACACAAAAGAATGACCCACTCACCGATGAAATAACTGTTGGTGTAATCAATTCTGATTGGTGTGCATAAGTACAACTCCGGCTGCAAATAAATACAAAAAAGCATAATTTTTACTAAACTAATTTCTACAGAAAACATTTCTCAAACTTAAGCAAATATTCGAGACATTGGAATAGATTTGACTAGGGAGAGACAACAATTTCAATAGAACCAATCACAACAAAGAAAAAAAATCTTCAAGAAAAATATTTCCATTAAAATAAATCTCTTTGTGAGTAAATTGGAAATATTTAAAATCACTTCAAATTAAATTGAAATTGATGTTTTGACTTTGTAATGCCAAATGACTTGTCAAACCGATTCAAATTAACTCAAATAAATCCAAATCATAATGAATCATATAAATCGTGTCTTCCACACATTTGACTGATTAGACATTGTAAAGTTGATTAATTCTGTACATCGTTTGTAATATTTTCAAATTGAACAAATTTTCTTGTCGCTACCAATTTTAATTGATTTGTGATTACAAATGGCGTGTTTCTTTTTATCAAATTTCTACATTTTCATGTACCGTTGAAAAAAACAAACAATGGAAATAATAGCGTGCCGTAAGCATTAAATTACAAATTAAATTCGTCTATTCAATTTTGGATTTTGTCGAGCTGGTACTAGCGGGTTAAAATAATGACGCTGGTAGAAAGCGACAAGAGACGTAGAATTTACTTTCATTCATTATAGTAAATAAATTTGAATAAATTCACAATATTGTGTATTTCAATGATTGTCAAGCCTCGACAGATTAAACAAGCTTAAGCGACGAAAAAGGTTATCGCTTCTAAAAGTAGCCTATTATTGCGAAATTCCAAGAATACACACACAAATATCATCACATTACATAAAAAAAATTAGTTATCATAAAAAATATTCACTGGAAATGTTGACAATGTTTTGAATTTTTGAACAAACAGTTTTTTTAGAGAAAAGAGATTGTCAACGGGCAAATTCTGAAAATTGAACAATTTACCGCAACAATTTGGCATTTCCATTGTATTTTTTTACGAATACTATCTTTTTTATGCTCATCCGTTCAAAAGTGTGTTGCAATAGCTCGTGAGTAGTAACTATAAAAATATAGATCATTATCGCACTTGAATACAATAACAATAGTTGTTTCTAACCACCAGGTCTTCATATAACAAAATTTCGTAAGATATAATGACTTTTTGTTTCTTTTATTCATATGTATTGATTAAGAAGTAACTTTATCTAGTTCTGGATCGTTTGGAATTGCAAGGAAAATTAATACCAATCGTTTCTATTTCCAAAATTTAAACTTAGCTTTTAGGAAATTAGATTTTTGGTGAACAAATTGTTCGAAAAAAAGGAAATTAATAACTAATGCAAGTAAACATCTAACTAGTTGGTAAGAAACAGAACTAAAGAACCGATTTTTTTAAATCCTAGATTTGTTATTAGTAATATTGATAACTTACCCGATATGGATGCACATTTGGCATTAAAAATGGAAAACGTCCGACGGCATTTGGAATTAAAGCTTGCGATGCATGTACAATTATTAGAATAAGCAAAATGCTTAAAAATGATACCATATGGAATGCTTCGATCATGTTTGATGTGACGTATTTGAAATTTGATATATCTGCTGTTGTTTGTTGGATTGGTTTGTATTTATTTTGTCTTAAAGTCGAACCCACTTTATAAATATAACAAAAAGCTGCTCATGACAAAAACTGAAAGTACAAATAGATACAACAAAAGGCCATCAATATCACCGTTTTTAAAACTTTTTTTTTTTAGTCAGACATTTGATTTAACTAGAGAATTAGCAATTTTTATTTATCAAAAAATAGACACAATACGTTTCACAAATCTTAATTAAGATAGAGATCATTTATGAACATACAGTATGTTATCGTAAGTTAATCTTATTTTTAGAAAATTCCTTATCTTAAATGTGACTTCTTTTTTTTGTTTCGATTAGTAGCAGTTCGTGTTTTATAAAATCGATCGATGCGTTTGAGCCTATTTCACTATTTAATAACACAAAGACGTTTTGTTTTTATCACTATTCTTGATTTCTCGTCAATTGAAATGCGAAATAAATATTTTGTAGAACTCAAGTCATGAATTCATTGTGCCGTGAGAGTCGGTTTCAATCAAAATGCAAATTGTAACCTATGTTTTGCTCCAAAGCGATTGTATTCATGTTAATAATTATAACAGAATGAAAAAAAACTGAATTCGATAAGCGATAACAAATGAATAACTTGACAGGAAAATGCTAGAATATTTTGGCGTTGATAACTGATTTTGAAATCGAAATTGGGAAAACCCGCTACAATTTATGCGACACTGAATGAAACGATTCTACGAAAACGATAGGACTGTGACGACTGTGTAGCAACTTTTTTTTCTCCAAGAGCGGTTACACATGGTAGATGTATATGCAACGATTTGCAATGACGTCAAAGGCCGAATATTCTTCATCACATATATATATATTTGCTTGTTGCTTATTAACACTTGTGCCATTTCACACATTACATCAAAAAAACAATTTTAATAATCACTATTCACTTAAAGGATGGCAACCATTTATTTTTTCGTTTACCGATATGAATTCAATTTTGAATTGTTTCTTTTTTTCGTATCCATTCAGTTCAGCAGTGTACCTGCTGTCTTCAGTGACCGTCAAAGCTACGTGCTATTTAGCATATCGCATACAAATAGCGCAGTTGTGATTGTACCAAACTATTTGTATATGATAATAAAAAAAACCTGTTTTAGTTTTCTGGCTTATACACCTATTTTTGCCTTCTTTTAACTGTTCAGCGTATATTATTTTGGCCTTTTCCTACATTCAATTCACTTATACGAATATTTACGGTTCAAGCAAACAGGTGGAATTGCATTTCTATGCTTCTCATTTTTGTACAAATTTCAAACATATGTTACGAATATATTCACATATTAAAACAATATCAATAATATTTAATACTTCTATAAATAAATAATTGATTGAAAAACTTGTTTACATATATTTCACATTGAAATTTAAATGTTCAAGAACAAAATACTTGTAAAGTTTCCATATTTACACTAATTTTTGATTGATTTTAATCTCACATAGATCTGCAAAAAATGTCACCACAAATAAGAGAATAAACTACGATTTACGATTAAATTTTAATAAAATAAAACATACTTTTGATATCTATAAATTTATCAGCTTATTACATTTCTCTCTGCTCGACTGTTATTCACTTGTAGCTCTGTTTGGTAGTCTTTTCATTTAAACGTCTCATCGTGCGAAATATTGGTCTCTGTTCTTGGTTGGATGAATAGTTTGTGTGTGATTGTATTGTCTCTTTCGCTCGTTCATTGAATGGTAATCATTTCTGATCAGACTTCAGATGAGATGGAATTATGTCGCATTGTAAAGGTATTTGTGTGCACAATGAAAGCACACCAAACATTGCGCAGTTGAACTCAACAACCACTGAATTATTGTAATTACATTCAACATATGTTATGTTCGGCCGAAATGTGTGAAAAAAAGTAATTTCTTCGTTGCGTTATATAAATTGAATGTCAAAGGACCATAATATCAATTTCATAAATATTGTTCTTTTTTGCATCCGAAATGTACAAAACAACATAATCGTTGTTCTAAAACCAAAAAAAAAAAAAAAAACAGTTTGCTTTTGATTTATACATTTCGATGTACTAAAAGATATGAAACGACCAAATGACACATTTAGTACTGTAGTAGAAATGTCAAACATTTTTGTAGCGCCAATAATGCTTTTAATAAACCGTTTTTGTTCACAACTAATTTTTGTGCATTGTTTTGGTTAATAGTTTTAATTTCGTATTTTAGTTTAATTAATTTAAGAAAATGGAAAAAGAAAAGAAAGAAACAGAAATGGAAATTGGCGAATTTCTCGAAGAATTCGACTGGAATGATGCGCGATTTTCACCATGGAAGTTACCACCGTTGGAAATTTTGAACGCAAAACAGAGATTAACACTGTTAGAAGACGAAGTAAGTGTGATTTTCTTCATTTTCAATTGTTGCAATGTGTGATGGATATTTATTTCATGTACAATTAATTCTGTATTTTATATACTGAAGATTTTATGGTTTTTTTCTTTATTTTTAATGGACGCTATAGGATTTATTGGAGAATGCTACAAAACTAACGGACGAAGATTATAAAGAAATGTGTTTGAAATTACCAACACATGTTGTTTTGTCATGCGGACAAGTGTGTGTGGGTGTCGAAAAAAGCTGGCCCAAACTTTGTTTCCGAAAGAATAATATGGATGAATTGAATTCAAAAGAGAAACGATACATATACCATGCAATGGAACGGAAAGGAACAACGCTTTACAACAAATATGTCAACATGGAGCGAAATAAAGAAAGACAAAATGAAAGTATCGATGATTCATTATTATTTTATTATGAAATAAAATATCGAAGATTGCTATATGAGCGTATTCGTCGTTTGGAAACTGAAACCGAAACCGAAGTAAGTCTAAACTCCGAAAGCAATGACGAGAATTCGATAGTAACGGTCATAAATACACAAACTAAGGACACCTCACATCGAGAAGTGAACAACAAGGACAATCAATCAGTATTCGATGTGAATTACAACGATATGAGCAATATGAACGATGAAAATGTTGCAAATAATTTACAAGATCATGACGAAAGTCAAACTAATGGGCAGGTCCGGAATCAAGGTAAAAAACAACCAGTCAATCAACATGATGAAAACGATATTGATGGTAATGATGATGAAGTAGTACTCGTTTTCTCTGATCATGATGAAGAATCAGAGGAGGTACGGAATCAAGGCAAAAAACAACCAATCAATCAACATACAAAGAGAACAAGCAATATGGCAAAGTATGATGAAGAAGATGTTGATAGTGATAGTGATGATGAGAATTTACTGGTTTTCCCTGATACTGAAGAGCGAGATATAATGATTGACTCTGATCAGAATATATGCGTTGACAAATTTCTAGAAAGTACTATAACACACACCGAAGAAGATGAACAAACCGTACAAGATATACAATTGGAAGATTATCTCTCACAGAACACCGGTGCAGATTTTGGAACACAAGATGTTGAGGTGGCTCCAGTAGCTTTGGTAAATACTCTACAGCAACAGCGACGGAATGTTCTGGATGATCCTCATGATGAAGAAATCCATAGCGAAGAAATCGATAGCTTGGAATTCATAACGGAAGTAACGGAAGCAAGAACCTCAACACAAAATTAGACAAATCATCATTGTGATATTATATTCTCACGCACGAAGATTCTTTCGGATATTTTGACTAAAAAAACGACATATTTTTTCAGTTGAATTTACAGTAAAACGAAAAAAAGAAAACATTACATTTACTATGAATTCTGTTATTTCTACTGTACGATTTTAGTGAAAAAAAAATTCAAAAATTGTTTTATTATAAATGACTGTAGATAGTGTTTTATTAGTGTATTTTTAATATTTATTGCAATTCAATTAGTTTTAAGCATTGGAGATTTTCTTAGATTTAAACATTAAAAGACTGTTTGAATTAAATTACAAAAAAAATAACTGAATGAAATGAAGCCTAACACGCATCATAATATGTTTGTTGTTTACAAAACGTTTTTTAAGGTTATGAACAGTGAAGACAGCTGAAATAAACAAAGCATACACATACACTTCATCTGACAGCCTAAATAATATGTAAAAAAAATATTTGAAACATTTCTATTAAATTTATACTGAAAAAGAGTGAAATTAAAAGAATCTTCTATCGTACAAAGCAGTTCTAAGCAAAATTGTGTTTTTATATATGAACGTTTTGTATAATCGGTAAATATATGACTCGGTCGAATTTAAAGAGTGAAATAGGAAAACTGGTCGACGTGTAATTTTGGTTTCGACATCTGATTGATGATCAGTATATCAAATAAAAGGCAAAACATCAACATCGACAAGCTCATATTGAATCAAATTTGAAGTAAAATTAACAAAAACAAAAACCATTTCATTGCGATTGATAAAACAGTTAATGTAGAAAGAGGGTATGCAAAAAATGGATCAAAATTCAATGAATTCGAGTAATGGAAACGAATCAATTGGATCGTTTAACTGTGTGGACAAGGCAAAGGGTCTTAAAAAACTACTTGAAGCAGATTTGGATGCTTGCGAATTCAAGTGGTCATTGTTTGTAGCTGCCGCAAATAATTACAAATATGACTCGTTACTTAAACCATTTCCAAGTGCATACGTAGTCAATAAAATATTGGACATCAATTGTTTGCGCGAGCGAACTGCAAATATTCCGGATTTTTGTGTTCTATTAAAACAATTACAGCATTTCTGTGATCATCCAAATACATCTGATAATTTTATTAATCATGAAACGATCGATTTGTTGTATTGGTGTTTGATAAGCACTAGAGATGAACAACCAATATTAAAGAGTGTAAATCGCTCAAGCGTAAGTATCACTATAAAATTACAGTCAGTAATTTTGTTTGCCATTGAAATAAGTAAACGAAAATGTCGTCGTGAATGTGTTTTACTGTGTAAAATGAAACTGTGACATATCGTTTTCATTTGAATCGCTCCTCATACATGCATGCGTTCGTAAAATTGTTTTGTTTATTTGTTTGTCTGTTCGGTTGTTTGTCGATGGTTTACGTTGGTCTAAAGTGAACCTTGCACAGTGCTGCCACCAATACAAAATACACAACTGTTTATTTCATTCGAAACACATCAGATCTGTCACATTTTTGGCACATTAGGCACATAAGCAAAGTATAAAAGAGCGTAGAAAAGTGAGTTTTTTTTATACATGTGCATATTAATGGTTCGATTTTCATTTCAAATGGAATCTGGTGTATATTTCATCTAAAATGGATTCAAAAGGTGTACCATCATCAGATAAAGACAATGGTCTTGGAATGAGAAAATTAGAATTCAAAGCGCAACAAAGTGAACAAAATGCAGCTAGTAAACAAACGTCAAGTTCAGGCGAACCAAAACAACGCGTCATCAAGCAAATTGTTTCATTAGATTCGAAAAAATTAAAAGCATTAGGTATTGAATCAAATATTTTGTCAGCACTCACAAAATTCAATGTTAAAGAAAAGAAGCCAGCGACAACAGTGAAAAATATTGAAACGTCAACATCAACACAACCAAAAAATATTGTTTTGGTTGATAATTCATCACAAAATCCATCAACAATTGTAGCTAATTCATCCACAGCACCAAGTAATTCAATACAAAATCGATTATCGAATCGTTCACCGAAAAGTTCACCGAAAAAAATTCAAGTTTTATCCAATGTTTTGCTCAACGAAAATAAATTAGATTTGAAGATTTTTCCGGCAATTACGTCACCAGTTCATAGTAAAAAGTGTTCGTATGTTTCACCGGTATGTGTTGATATAAATGAATTAACAGCACCAAGTACGTCCGCTATCATTCATCCGGAAAACGAGCAAAAATTAACTATCAATAATAAGACGCCATCAGAACCGCCTGAGTCAATCGTAAAACTATCCGAAAAATCACCAAACAAACTAGAAACGTTACGAGAAAAAACACCCGAAAAATGTACGGAAAAGACACCAGCAAAATTGATAGACAAATCACCTATCAAATTGTTAACGCCCTCACCGTTAAAACCTTTAGACGTAGCTGCTCCACCGAAAAACGAGACAGTTGTAAAAGACATTACAGCATTGAAAGGTTTTTCATTGCCCGAACTAAAGTGTTCGCGAAATCAATTTGACCATTTACAGAATGTACATTCAAATGAAAATAATGATGAAAATCAGTCAGCAAACGAAAATGATTCCGATACATTGAATGAGAGTTTGCATAATACAGACATGTCAAATAGTTCGCAAACGTCAGATTCATGGGACAGTGATAGTGAGTCCGATTTAGATGAACTAATCAAAGAAGCTCAATTGACAATCGAAAAAGAGCAAGCATTTGAGGTAACAAACAAAACTGAGTCACAAAATATAACAAAGAAGCCACGTCTTGTTCAGAAGAAATTCCTCGATATGTTAACCGAACATGTGGACAAAGATCGTTTAATTGATGAATTTTTAGATTCAACTATTAACAGTTTTCGCACCGAATGTAATTCGCCGTCTGACAGTGATTCAGATGATGATCGAATTGAATTCGATTCGAATGTAGGCGGTGATTTGCAGAACGATCACATCGAACCAATGGAAGATAGTATAGAAATCAAAAGCACGAATATTACAAATGATTCGAAATGTGCTCAGAATGAACGATCCCATGCAGAGGAAAAGAATTCAATTGTACCAAGAAAACGGAAATGTAATGTTGTGCCTGAGGACAGTTCAAAGCGAAAGAAGGCACAATCGACAGATAATGACAATAATGAAAACGCCCCAGTTGAAATACCAGAAACGATAACAAATGTAGAAAAATCTATTGATGATTCAAATCTAAACCAAGTACCAGAATCATTGAATGAAACCGTTCAAGGTATTTACCTATTTTCATTTGACTTTTTTTTTTTAAATTAAACTTGAATATTTCAATTTGTGTGGAGAGGAGAAAAGGAATAAAATTTATTAAATTTCGTTAATTTTTTTGATTTTACAGAATCATCCGATGAATCTTCAAAAAATACATTTGATTCATCTCCATCATTAGAAGCAATTAGCCAACCAGTAATATCGAAACGCGGCCGAAAGCCAAAACAAACCATTCTAAATGATTATTTTGTGGTTCAAAATTCAATATTGAATGCGACAAAGCAATCACTGGACGAGTTGATGAGCAGAGAAAATATTACAAGCGAACCGCCAAAAAGAAGCAGCAGATTTGGCCGTGTTATCAAACCAAAGACATTTGACATTGAACCAATTACAAAAGTGAAAAAAGTACGCAAGGAATTATTAGTAGAAGCAAAACCAGAACCGCAAAAAGAACAACACATTGATGTCGAAATAAAAACCGAATCCATGGCACCAAAACCGTTGAAGAAACGTGGTCGGGATAAAAAGGTTGAATACATCATTCCCGACATTGACATTCCAGCCCATGAATGTGTAATCGAACCTGTGTTCAATACAGAGTATGGGGAATCTTTCGCAAGTTCAACGCCAATTGTTCAATCGACAAGGGGTCGAAGAAAATCCATAAAACAAGTCAATACACAACCAATTGATGCAATGCCAGAGACTGTGAGCCATGAAAATATATCTTTTGATTCAACGGATGAACAAATAAATACACCAATTGTTATTGAGCCAACAGTGATTCCCAGACGACGGGGAAGACCCCCTAAGAAATCAATAACTGCCGAAACATTAAGACTTGCAGAAAAATCAAACGTTTCAACGGATATCGAACATACGGAAACACCTGAAATTATTCAATTACAAGAAACACCGATAAAAGACGCTCCAAAGCGACGAGGTCGTAAACCGAATTATTCCATCATTGAAAGTTCAAATGAAACAATACAAAATACTTCGAATGATAATGTGGCTGTTGTTAACAACAATTCAAATGTATCTCAGGATGATCATTTCAAATCGCCTCAGGAAATCATTCCAAAGCGTCGTGGCAGAAAGAGTGCAAGCGCAACAAATGTATCATTCGATCAAACAAATGTTTCATCCGAAGAAACAAATGTGTCATCGGACGAAAATATTCCATCAACATCACAAGAAATTCCAACGCCAAAGAAAAAGAGAGGAAGACCAAAACAATTTCCCACAAATTGTGCAAAATTTATTTGTGGCAATTGTGAATTAGAGATTTTTCCATCGAAATGGAGAGCACATGTGGCCATACATTTTGGTGTAACATATCGTAAGGGAATCGATGAGCCAATAGATGTTCATGATTCAAATACTCAGGTTCGACTTATGACACGATTTATGAAAGTGAACAAGGTACAATATGTGAAATGTCCAAAATGTAATGAAAAGAAAAAGTCAGCGCTTGGTTACCTCAGTCATGTTGAAATATGTGGATTAACCGACGAAGAGGCAAAACAATTGAAAGCAAAATGTGAATTTTGTCAAAAACTTTATCGCAAAGTGAGTTTGGCATCACATCAACAAACATTTTGTCCGGTTCGACGATTGGAAATGGCACAACAGCAAGCCGATCAATTGGTTAAAACAGCCGAAGAAGATGAACAAGTTGTGGAAGTGGTTTATTCGGAAAGTGGTCGTCCAAAGCGAATGATAAAGAAACGACAACCAATCGCAAAGAATGCTGATGAATTTATAAAGATCGGTTTAAAAATCACTGGCGGCACCTTCAAAAACTGGTCAAATCAATTGCGCGAAGAAAATTTCATAAAATGTACAAATGATAGCTGTGAATACATTGCAAGCGATCTCGTTGAAATACGCAAACATTATCTACAATGTCGAGAGTCAATACTTCAATGTCGAATATGCTTCAAAACGGAACGGTCACGCAATGCAATCGTACAACATATCGAAACTTCACATCCAGAAGAATTGAAAGCACACGAATCGGAGGAGGATGATAATGATAATGATGACGATTTCAAAGGACAATCGGCCAGCAGCAGTAGTAGTGATGGTGAATTTTTAGACGAATTTGATATTCAAAGTGATCGACGAAGAAAAAACAAGCCATTAAAACGAAAACACGTTATCCCATTAAAACGTATTATGGAAGAAGATTGTCCAGTTTATTGGGAAATGTTATCAGCATTTTATACCCGATTACTCAATTCGCGGCCGGGTTTTAATCAAAAATCATATGTTTGGACAAAGGAATTTGTTGAACAAAACTACGATCACGATTCATTGGCATTGAAAGATCATTTGCGAAATACATTTGAAATTGTACGTCTACCACAACGTGAAGTCAATAAATTTCTCGGCCTTCTACGTACAAAATCGGCAAAGTTTCTTTGTCGCACACAAAATGAATATCAACGTGAAAAATCTGAACTAAACGGCAATGAAGATTGGAATAATTTGAATTTATTTGAAAGCGTACAAACAACACATACCAAAAACAAAACATCGATTCTATTTTGCGGTGGAAAAGTTATAACGGCCGATTGGATTCCATTTCCGCAAGACTACAATGGTAATCAAATGCTGGCGATTGTTTCACAAGGCCCAAATACAAAGCCAGTAAGTGAAACGAATTGTCAACCAACGGAAAAGTGCAAATCATTAATTCAAATTTGGAGCATTTCAACGAATTCAACGGGCAAAGAGATTGAGAAAACAGCATTCATGTATGGCATTGCATATGAAGATGGACCAATTGGCTCGATATCATTTTGCCCAAGCGATGCGTATGTTGCGTCAAAACGATTGGCCATCGTTGCCGTACCAGATACAAATGGCAATGTGAATATTATCTCAATACCCGACAATGTATCCAAAGCCAAAACAAATACGTCAACAGTTATTAAGCTAAAAGCTGACATAAGACTTCAGATTGGTTTGAAAAACGAAGAAAACACACCTAAAACAATCACACAATTATCATGGTCTCGGACAAAAGGTCACAAAGTGATATGTGCTGGCTACAATACTGGTTTGATTGCCATTTGGAATTTTGATCATTTAAATTCGACATACATGACACACAAGGGTGCATCGCATGACATATCAATTTTATTACCCCAATACACATTAATGGGTTCTTTATCACTTATAACACAATTGGATATCCGTTCAGATAACGATGGAAATGTTCGTTGGATTCTTGTCGGTAGTCTTGATCGTCGAATGAGATTATATGATTTAGAAGATCCTCAACTGGCACCATTTACATCGCCGATATTCAAGAGTCGCATCATATCGGGAACATGGCCACTAAATTGGCCCATCTATTTGACAATAATCGATGCAGCACTAACCCAACAAAATGGTGGACTTCACATCAAACCGATTTTATACACAAACAATCAACCAACAAGTACAAACTTACTAAATGAATGTGAACCAAGTAATATTGGTTTCAGCGATTGGTTAAATACTGGCATTTTTGGCAACGAAGTTGGTGACTTGTTTATGATTAACTTTCAACAACTTCTATTACACGATCGATTCGATGAAAGCTCTGAACAGAAAGTTCTCAGCTGTACCGACATATTTCTAGATGAACAGACACCAGACGAAGATCAACAAGCAAACACAAACGTTTGCATTTTATTCAATGATTTTGAGAACACAGTTCTTTCGCCAAAAATGAATACCAGAAGTCCAATACTTAAAATGCATCCTTTCGGCCGAATAACACGCGTTGCTATCAATCCAAATGAATCACAACAAAAATTATATGCCATCGGTTATGAACTTGGATTCTGTCGAATTCAATTTATACCCGGATAACATCACAGTTTCATTTCACACAAATTAAGCGACAATATTTCATTTCAATCTGAGAAAAAAGAGCAAACACATCAATCCAATTTTATTTCTAAATAGTTTGATAGCGTTTTACAAAAAGTAAATTCGGTTGTGCCTGGTCCAAGACCTCACCACATCTTCGAAGTGACATCACCAGCAGATTCGATTGCCGAAGAAAAATTTCGTAGCCATCAGACAAATTGTTCAACCACCTTTGGCTATCATGGCAGCAAATTAGAAAGTTTTCATTCAATCTTAAACTATGGCCTACAACAGCATTTGTGCAAGGTGAATTTGATAATAAAAGCTTAACGATATTCAATCATATTGATTTATTGATATCTCATTTTAGACTGCATTATATGGTGAAGGCATTTATTTGTCTTCTGAACCACATGTCAGTTTAATGTTTAGCCCAACCAGCTATGGATGTTCATGTGTAGCCATATGCGAATTTGTTCAACATCCAACTCACTTAAAATGTCATACCAAAGGTAAATTACACGATTTGAAAACAAAAATAAAAACATACATATTTTAAAAGTAATTCCTTTTTTTACTGTAGAAAAAAGTAATCAAACTGGAGTTCCCGATAAATATTTTGTGATAACAAACAATGAAATAGTTCGCGTGCGTTACCTTATTGTCTACGGTTCTGTGATGATAAAACCGATGAATTCCAGTTTGGCCCAAGGTGACGTTACGGAAAATAAAATGTTGTTGTGGATCTATCGTCATAAATGGATAACAGCAATGATTGCATATGCCATTATGCTACTTATAATTGGCGCTTCCAATTCACGACACGGTTATTTTATGAAACAATATATGCGTCAGGCTACAACCAATGCTATCGACTATTTAAAATCGCTTGGTTTCAATTATATTCAAAAATTCTTTAATTAAATGTCAATGTAATCAAAAGAGCTCAGTTTATCTTATAATTCCTTATTTTTGTAAAAAAAAACATTTGCAAACCTTTCATTTAGTTTAGGTTAAATAGTGTACTGTTATGATGAAAAACTATTCTTATTTATGTAAGATTATCTTCGTTTGCTTTGAGAGAGACTGAGAGAAAAGAGGGAAGAAAAAAAACTCGTGTATAAAAAATTAAAACGGAAAATTTTGTAAATTAAAACACAACGTTTATTTGCATTGAATTACGCACTACTTTCTTTTTTTTTTCTTAAAAAATATATCCATCATTCATGGAAATATCCTTGTTTGCTTCTTCATTTTAAACTTTATTTTATTTTTTCTCGTTAATTTCGAACTTTATCAAACTTTCAGATGGATTCATTTTTTTCAAACGCTTGTAGCAATTTCCATTCTTTTTATTTTTGTGAATATCTTAATTCATTGGGGCGAATTAGCACATGAAATGTTATGTTTTTTTTTTGTTTAATAATGATACATTTTTTAGAAGAAATTACAAAAAAGAAAAATTGTTTAATATGATCATGCCATGGAGAGACGCAGTGATGATTTAAAAAAAAAAAGGTAAAACGAAGTGTTTTCTAAAAATTCATTTAAATGTCGTAAATGAAATAAATTGGCGGAGATCAACCGAAGACCTTTTTTACTAAAGGCAGTCTTTGGATGAAACAAAATAATTCCGGATAAGCAAAACAAAATATGTATCTACGTACATCGTCCATTATAAAATCAATTCTTAAATTCATCGTTCATTTCATGCCGATCATTCCGCTTGTGTTTTTTCTACGACAATTATGAATAATTTTTGTAAGTTATTATGTATTTTTTTCACTTAAATACTTTTAATAATTTGTTGTTGTTTTTTTTTTGTTTTATCAAAAACCCAATATAATTTTGTTTTCTTTTGTATTGTAATTTATCCAATAATACAATATAATCTTGTTAATGTAATCAATACATCCGTCTAATAACTTCATGTTATTAAATATGAATTTTTCTTTTTTTAAATATTTTGCCGTGAGGCCAATGATGTTTGTATACATAAAAATAACTCCAAATTTCAATTAAAAATTTTTTTTTCGTCGTTCTAAATAAAATTTTGAAAACCAAATAACGTACAATAATAATTTTAATTTCGAATTTCCAATATATCATTAGTATTTTCATTTTCTTTCGTTTCATTCATTTTTATATCGCCTTAAAACTGCTATCACGATGCATCTAATTTAGTTCCATTTCCACTTTTTTCCGGTTAATTCATGCTTAAAAGGTTTATTGTTTTCGTCTCTTGGCTTTTTTTTTAATTTAAAAAATAAAATCACAAAATTATGACGTATGTTTTTTTTTGCTTCTGAAAAATGGTCTGTATCCAAAATTACGTTTATGCGTAATAACAATTCTTTTTTGAAACTTAACATTTTCTTCATCATGACTTTCGATTTTCATTCCTTCCCTTTGTTTTATACATAGAGAAATATAATGAATTGAAAAAAAATGTGGAAAAATAAAACAATGTTGCACACAATGTCGACAATGTGTGCTAATTTTGTAATTTAAAATTACTATTTTCGCAATGAAATCAAATCGGAGTCATTACATATGGTTCCGACGAAGGTCCAGTGGGTCCAGCTCTCCTCTGAAGAGCGACTTGAAAATAACACCTCTGTATTTTTTTATAAAAAAATGGCAATTAAAGAAAAATTCCTTCCTTTCCAGATATTTCAGACAAATTTTAAATTTACCAACCCTCTGAAATCTACGACGTCAGAACATATGATTAATTAATTCCTCGTCATTATTTTTAAATTAAAATAAACCATTTTTCTATCATTCATTTTTTTCTTCAATTTTTTGTTTTCCTTATAAAATTGCCATGCCAATCACTTTGTATCTCATACACTGTAAAAACTAAGCAAAAAAGGTTCTCTATAAATGATTTTATATTTTGTTTTCTTTTTTTATGTTGTGTAAATTCTTTGAGGGGGTAGACGTTGCTTAATCTCGTTTTAAATGCGTAGTTGACTCGGTTTTCATTTTCTTCGGTATTGTGTGTGCAAGTGTGTGTGTGTGTGTGTTTTTTTTTATCTCATTTGTTATTTGTAATCTATTTAACATTAAAAATTATTAACAATACCAGTATTTACATATCGTCGAGTGCCAATTTCAATCTTTTTCTTTTCATCTTGAATTGTGGATGGTCTTTTTATTTTGTTCGTATCAGTTGAATCTTCGACGTACAATTTATTTGATGGCCTCGACATGAACTATTTTATTTGTATGTTTCGATATTTAAAAAAAAAAGAGAAAAGTCTTTGTACACATTTGATTTGCTGACTAAACGGATTGTGTTGGTTATTGATCCTATTATTTAAAAGTTTCATTGTTTAAAAAATATGACTGGTTTGGCTTGAAACTCAATTAATATTTAAAATATTATTTATCGTTACGTTTTATTTATAGCTGTTCAATTTATCTACGGATGAATATGGTTATTTTCTTTTTCAAACAAAATTGCTGTCACATTCCTCTTGCTCCAGTGAGTTTGTGTTTGAATCGAGGAATTTCAAAATGAGCAACTAAAATACCGGAAGAAAATTAAATCAGAAAGAGTTTCATTTAAGTGTGGTAATGGTTTTTAGAGCAATTCTTTTAGAGCGTTATTTTTTCTCACTGGTATAAAAATGTTGTATAAAAATATTCTTCTGAAGTTGAATTTTTTTTTTGATGTGTATGCAAGTGATTATGACTGTTGTTGCCATTTTTAATTCATTTTTCTTTGTGTGGTTTGTTTTTCTTTTCATTGGTTTTTTATATGATTTTTTTTTTCATTTCATTTTTCCATCTTTTGTTTCTAAAATTAGAATATTTAAATAACTTCTTTAAGACATAGAACTGCATGGTAGACGCGGTGATCCCATTTGTGTTAGTACACGATCAAGCCATTGAAGTGGCCCATTCAAATGTAATTCAATCCAGCACGGTGTAGATGTTACAGTTTGTCGTCTATAATTAACAAATTGACAATTGTATTATTATTTAACCATAGAAAAAATAAGATAAGAAAAGGAAAAACCAAAACAAAATGTACCTGTATTCAGCACCCCATCCCTTGACAAATGACATGCGAATCGTACACATTCGCGTCAATTGGTAAACAGCTTCGAAGCCTTGTGACACAGATTGTGATAAAAGAGCCGCGAATTCTTGATTATTGAATATCTTCAAATTGCAACCTGTGGAACAGAATGACATCAGATAGTTTAAATTTAAAGTAATCCTAACTATTTATATATATAACTATAATTCCCAATTCAATTGATCTCGACGAATATTCGTGAATTACTATTAAATTGTACCGTCGGCTTATTTAAGTAGACGTGAAAATCAAATAAATAAATAAATAAATAAAGGAAACAACAACAACAAAAAATGGCAATTTACCAGGTGGAATTTTGCAAACAGTAGCTGGATGCCAGCCATATCTTTGATTACAATTCGGACTCTGAACAAATATGCTTGAATCACTCAAGCATTCGGCAAAAACTTCGCCACCAATGTAGTAAAGACGAACACCTTTTCCAATATGACGTCGAGTTTGTTCCACCACTTCGTTTCGATTGACATTTGACAGTAAGCCCAAACAGAATCTGAAACCGATTTTTATTTTTGTTTCAACATGGAATAAAAACTTCCGGATGATATAAATTTGAACATTGAATGATAAATCTAAATAAGAACCTTTCTGAATTGGATGGATCCGTGAAGCCATCTACTGTGATGGATGGTTGAGACGCGTGAAATGTTTCGCCAACTCTTGTGTTAAGCTCATAATATCCAATTGAACACCAAAATGCTGGCTCATGATATAGCACAGGTTGAGCATCAAGTTGAGGACTCGGAGATATTCTTGTCATACCTTATCACATTGAAACGAATGAAATGGAAACACAGCAAACATATTATTACCAAATGAACTTGTGATCGAATCATTGTTTGTTTTATTTTTAACACCAAAACAGTTAAACGCCGAAACACTTAAGATACCAACTCACTCATGTTATCATTTTGATCCATTGGATCACCATCTTCGGACATATATCCGGGTGGTGGTGTTTCCGTGCTCGGGATGCTTCCCACAGATCCGATGCTAACATTTGTGGAATCCATGATGGTTGTATTCCCCGGGATCTGTTGATTCAATGTTGCCTCCATGTATGGGATGTGTTGTTGCTGCTGCTGCTGTAAACTTAATCCTATAACAAAACAAAAAAGAAATGTCCGTTGATTTAAATCCAAGTTTGAGTTTATAAACACGAACATGATAATTACCTAATTGATTTGGATATTGTTGTGAAATGGAATCACTTGCGCTACCACTAAACCCACCGCCAACAACGGCCGAATTAGATGAATGACCGTTGTTGAGTGTGCCGAACTGTTGTTGCGACTGTGGTAAATTCTTTGGTACTAACACGTAAGCTAGCGGTTGCTCAATTTTCATGTAGTGATATGGATTTATGCATACTTCGTCCTTTTTCAAATGGAACGCGTTTTCGCAATTGTCCAGCGCTTTTAGTTCATTTTGACTTTGTAAATCTGGCCAGCGCCATAAACGGCAATAAATCACATGCGGTAATCCTTTTCGCAGTGCTACACCGTTTTCACCGTTAGTTGGTCGCACTCTGCAAATCGAACGGAGAAAGAGAAAGAGAGAGAAAAGTGTTACATTAATAACAAATTTTTAAAATTAAATGTTTGCTTTGGAATCACAATTATAAATAGAAAAATGTGCAATAAATGTGTTTCTATTCAAAGCAGTAAAACGTTTTTTTTTCTTCGTTTGCAACTTCGTCTTATATATACAATCCGGTCTATTGGTATTTACATTTGAGTGTCATTTCAGTTTTATTTGGCTTTATTCGAAAGAGTGAGATAAAAAAAAGAATTTGCAAGATTAATAAATTCGCACAATACACTATATCAGACAATCAAAAAGTTGATTCTGCACCGAAAATGCCGAAATGTTTTTCGGCTACTATGTATTTTTAAAGGTCATTTCTAGAACTTTATATTTAGACACAAATATGATTATTACATTTGCTAAGTATGTATTTGTTCGTCTGCGTTTTAAGGCTAATAGGCGATATGTGTAATTCGTCTTTTTTTCCGTACACTTATTTTGTTGTTTCGTTTCGTTTCTGTGTTTTTTTTTTTTTTGTTATTTTCATTCGTTGTGAGTCGAATTGTTCCGCGTACTTTGTTAGATATTTACTGCTATACTGTAGAGACCGCCGCAACACAAATACATTTGCACGTTTAGTGCCAAAAATAATTTATCGATTTTATATATTCACATCTCCTTCACGCAGGTTTTCATCCAATATAGTCTCTGTCTGCTATATACGAAATGGGCATGGAATAAAAAAAGATAGCAGCTAACATTTTGTTAAATTACACAGGCAATGGCTTTAATGCGAGCTAATATCATTTGCTGTGTGCGCCGCACGGCACGCAGGGTATATAGAAAACAAAATTAACATCTATACATATGATATCATGAGGACGGTACAGAAAAAAAATATAACAAATTCAACCAGATGATAAATAATGAACAAGAATTTTAAACCATTTTCGATCGTAATTTGTGTGTATTTTGCGCAGGATACAAATGCGTCATAATAATGGCCATTGCCATTGCCGAAAACATTTATCGAGGAAATTGAAATCAAATGTTTATATCTGAATGAAGCGTTCAATTCACTTTCGCCCGAAATCTGGTTCTTTTTTTTCTCTCAAACGTGCGTAATACCAAAAATAACGGAAACGTTTGCAAAGTAAACGTAACACAAGTAATAATGACACAATACTGTGTGGTCTGTGTGTGCCGAAAGGCTCTATAGATTAGACAGCACAGAAACAGATGAAACAAAAATGAACGAAACGAATAAACGAAACAACAACCGTTTAATTTCATTTCATTTGTTTTGCTACAGTTGTTTCTGTTTCGATGTTACTTTCGGTTGATTGTTTATGTTGGGATGAAAACACAAAAAAAAAAATCGGTTATTGGTCGCGGCTTTGGGTTTCTATGTAAATATGACATTTTGTGTGCTGTGCTTTTATTTTTTGTTTCGTTAGTAGTTTGCAGTCATGTATTGAGCACATAACACAATTTTACTATGCATTAATCATGATGATGACAAAACTGCATATAATTGCAAACGTTGTGAGAGAGCCTGTTACACGAAGAAACGCTTTCACTTTTATCGTTGTTCGAAATTCACTATATAAATGCAAAATACACAATGCATATACACAAGATGCCGACACACAAAGAAAAATTCACTTCATTTCGTTTTCAAAACAACAACGATTTTTCGTTTGGGCATCGTTTACGATCAACAAAATAACTTCGCGTCACTTCGCGATATTTTTGATTATTGAAAATGCATTTATTTAGTTTTTTCTTTTTTGTTTAATGATGCACACTATCTCAACTTTGAGTATTAAGCACGAAACGAAAAAAATATGCGTATAAACAATATATATTATTGGAGGCACATGGACTCAAATTGGGCACGGAAAATTACCGAGTACATTTTTTTCCGTCGCCTTTTTTATTTTCCCGTAGTTTTTGTTTCGCTATGCAGATATGTATATGTATATAAAATGAAATCAGGTTTTCAGTCTGACACTCTTACTCTAGAATTAACGAATTGATATTTCAATTGTAGACACGATATTTTCTTTTGAACCAGTGAAAATTATTCTCAAACGGTTCAACTTTGCACTAGCAAAACACATACGCACATCACAATAATTCGAATCGAAGCTCAATATAAATGTCAAAGAAACAAGTACACAATGGTCGAATATATTATTCTTTTTCTTCTGTTTTTATTCAATGGTTTTTGATCGAATTCCATGCGCTCTGTTTGGCTCACAAATACGCCATTTTAGATTCTTCATCGAGTTTCTATAGAATGTTCTTAGTTTCAATCGACTCACTTTTTTACTGTTGTACAGTTCCTTGTTGCTGATTTATATTTTTTTATTATGTACTTTACTCTATTCGTTGTTCTTCTTCTTCCTCTTCTCGTTTGGTTTCTCTTTGGATGCACACTTCTTCTTCTTTTTTATTCCTCTTGTCTCTTTTTCTACGTATTCGTCTCGCTATATGTAGTTTTTTTTTTCTTCCTCTCTATCGTGCCTTTGTTGTTGTTCTCCGTTAAATATAAATCTATTTTAGCCGATGTTGTTGTTGAGCTGTGTTGCTGTTTGGTTTTTTCTTCCTTCTCTCTTTCTCTCGCTCTCTCTTCGATATTAGTTTCCTTTTGGCTTGTCTGTGTATGAATCACTTGAATAAAACCAAAAAAAAAAATTGTTTGTGCAGTAGTCACTAATCAAGAATATTCGACGTATATTACAAGCGCTATGTTAAATATGCGTCCTGGCTGAGAGTGTGTGTGCACGCTGTTGCGGTAGTGTCGGCATATGTGTTATAACTATATATTTATTTTGCAATCTAAACGTTAAACACAGTGTTGTTGGTTCGGTGCGTGTGCCAGTGTATTTGTGCACGGTTGGTGTACGCGTTGTCTGCACATTCTTGATGAATTTAACTTTTACTTATTGGGGTAGGACATCATTATTCCGGCTATAACCATCCGGCAATGAGTTTGTATGTGCGCGCACGTATGTGCCTTCATTTCTTATTCACTGCTCATATTCTCTTTCTCGCTTCTTTAACAACAATTTATCGGTGGTCAGAGAGCGCGTCATCGGCACAGACGATCTTCAATGCGCCTGTGTACGAAATTTGTTGTCTTTCTTTTAATTTTTGCGTATCAGCTTGCCTGTTATATATACAATGGTATGCGTACAATGCGTGTCTCTCTAACACATGAATGGAATACTATGCGCCGCGTCGTCTTTATTATTAGGTTATGCATCGCTTCTTTTTTTAGTGCTGTTTTGCTGCTGCTGCTGCTGTTTCGTTCGATCGGTCGGTTGGTCGGGCGCTTTACATCGTCGACATTATGTTAATCATTGAACTAAGATTTTAGATTGATTGAAATCATTTCATCGAATGCGATATAGCTGACTTCATCGTCTCGAGAATTAAACATACATACACATACACGACATATATTTTTTATTTATTTATTTATTTTATTCGACACCGATAAACAACGATGTGTTGACTAATGCAAAATTTCCCAAATGAATTTATGATCACATATGATCATTTCAACCATATAATTTATATATCCTTTTATCTTCATTTATTTAAGCGGCGATGCTTTCAATGACCTTCCACTTTGTGATATCTCTCTTATCTTTATCATTATACGCCATTTCAAATCATACCATCTGTTGCCATACAATTATATCGCCCTAATTGGTTGCTTATTATTAATAAATACGATTATAAGATGAAGAAAAAACAACACCTTTCCCTTATTATTTCATAATAATTGACGATATCAGGTACTTTATTCAAATGATTGAGTAATTTGTTGCAAAATTCATAGAATTTTGTTAACTGAAGTGTATTGTGAATTTGAGTTATTTGTCCTTTAAACCTACGCTTCATATCAATTATATTTCTCTCTCTCTCTCTCGCTCTCTCTTTTTTCGTTTGAGTTCAAGTAAAAATCCTAGCCACCTGAGTCAATAGTATCACTATGGAAATAGGATTATTCGAAACATTCAAATATCAAACATGTTAAACTCAATGTTTTGCTGAACGTCGTAGATACCTGTATATGTATATCAAATGATACGAAATCGATAATGTTACATGGCCATAATGAAAATAATAATCATAAACCGAAGATTTTGCGTATTCGTTTATGCATTTAGTTTCACTTTTACTTTTAATTGAATGTCATTCTATTCACCTCTAATCCGTGATATTTGCTATGGTTACTGTCAAGTTCAAGGCAAAATATTTTTTATGTACCATCTCAAAACAGAAAAAAAACGAGAATTATTCACCAGCTATAATAACGTACACACTATGCAAGTCATTACTTGTCTGCCATTCTAAAAAAGTAAATGTTTGGGTTGCACGTTTCATGTGTTTAAGTGGTTTGAACTTGTCGACTCATTTTCATTGTTCGATGTTCTAATGGGATTGTGAATGCTTTGCATATACCACACATGTATGCAATTGATTCAATTAGACGAAAAAAAAATGCTCCAAATTCGGCACACAGCGGATAATGAGAAAGAGAGAGAGAGAGAGAAAATTTATAGACAAGCAAATGTCAAATTAGGAAATAAGCAAACAATCAACAAACTTGTAAAACGACAAAAAAAAGAATCCATAAATATTTGCAGCGAGAGGCAAAAAGAAGAAGATGAAGAAAGGAAGAGCAATATAGAGAAGTCAATCCAAACAAATGCAGAAATGTTGGCCACATTTGGCGATTTGCGTTTTTCTGGTTAAACACGATGTTATTGGTCTTTGAAGCGAAACTGTTTTACATTTTTGACACACTGGTCGACAGAGAGTTGAGGCAGTAAAAGCAACGGGAAGCAGCAGCAGTAACAACAACATCAATAACAATGGCAGTAGAAGAAAATTATCCAATGAATAAAACGGACAAAACAAAATACAAAATTATACATAGCGAATTCGCGTATTCAAACGAATAAAAAAAAATTGCACACATACATGGACGGTTGCAGCCAGCCAGCCAGTCAGCCATTCAATGTGAAGTATAGTGAATGAGAAGTTTTATTGCAAATATGTGAACGAACATGAATTCAACAGACGAACACATATAATGGAAGACGCACCAAATTGAAAAATTGGTAAGCATATGTATTATCCATCTTGTTAGCTAGTCTGTATACGCTGTGTACACTCTCACTCTCTTTGTCTATCGATCTCATTCTGGCTCCCTTTTTGAATCGCTCAATCCACTTTTTTTTTTAAAGCAATGCATTAATTTTGTTGTTGTTGTTGTGGTCGTTGTCTTTATTGGTGTTCAATGTGAGTGAATGAGCAAGCGAGCGAGACGTTCGGGACAAAGATAGAAAATAAAAGAACAAATAAAAACAACGAAAAATATTGTTCTTGTAAAATAAATTTAGACCGTGAATATGTATGTTTTTGAATTTGCATACGTGAGCCACAAACGATAGATTAATTGGTTTTTAGAATTGTGCAAATGATGATTACTTCTTTAATATGCATAAAAATGATGACGGCTTTGAATTTGTATTGCTTTTAAATGTCGCGCGTATAGTCTGCTCTCACAGCATCTTTCTTTTTTTGTATTCTTGGGTGCTAAATCATCTACAGTGGAAATATCCTTGACTAATTTGCCAAATCGAAATGTCATCACTTCTCGGAATTCACTTGGACATTTCTCTTCTCTTTGTTTTCCCTCTCACAAAACCGTACACTCGGCTAGCTGGCTAACGGCGTATGAAAATAAATCAACAACAATAATACACCAACAAAATGGAAGAAAATATAAGGTACTAGCAAGCAGAGCCCGCATTTAGCAGTGACAAATGACATATTTATCAGACTTGGCACTGATTCCACTCATAGTTGAGATAATTGTTGTTTTAGCAATTGCTCAACGTCGATTGGAATGAAATTTGAACGAAATTTATTTTTGCAAATTGAATTGAACTGTGCAAAAGAATCTATATGCTTTTGCTTGCGCATTTGCATTCGCCTTTACATTAAAATTTTATTTGGTACAATCATCTGTTGGTTACCATACATTTGCCGAACAAATCAAATAGACTCCGGATATGTTCAACGTACTTATTCTTATATAATTATTTGTTTCTTTTTTCTCTCTCTCACTCTTTCTCTATCTCTTCAACGAGCTAATTTTTATTGTGAAATATCACTATTCAATTTAACCACTGTGACCATTTAAAAGGTATGGGATATATGAAATGATATATTTATTTGGCGTGCTGGCCGCCGTTGTTGAACGAAATAAGGTGTCGATTCTGCAAAAGTAGATATAGAATGAACTGAACCATATTTTACCTGGGTATTGTGATACATTTGGTGTACGGGTTTTGTGTTGAGATCGCTTTTTCCAGTTCTTCAAGTGCGCTGGTTTTTTTCAGCTTCTTCACTAGACTTTTGACGGCTTTTTCTGACCATTTACCCTCGATCGACGAGTCGTCATTTCCTTTTTTCCATGCCAACAGCCGTTTGACAACCGGCGGTGTAAATGGTAACATTTTGAATGATAGTGGCGAATTGGTTTATTATATGCAATACTAAAACCAAACGAAACTTGACTAAATTTTCAATTTCACAACTAAAAGTATTCTCCCGGCGTTAAATGTTTACGTTGCGTATGTTTCGCCCCTTTAACTGTGCACTTTATTTTCTCTTTCTATATCTCTTCTTGTCGCTCTCTCCCTCTTTTTCTCTGCGTAAATTTTAGTTTTGCTGCGTCGTTGGTTCGATAACAGAATCTTTGAATTAAGTTGAATTCTACTTTCTAGCCATTTAGTATTGAATCAAGCTCTAGTTGTGCGATTATATGTATAGTCGGGTCGATGTCTATTACTGATTCCGTTAATATACACACGACAACAACAACAAAAACAAAGGAAATCCTATCTATATTTACATACGTATAATCAAACGTTCATAAAATTGAACACATGTAACTCAAGCCATATACACCGATTCGATCTCTGCCTCTTTGTCTGTCTTACTTCACTGAATTAACATATCGCGAATACGAGACAAATAAACACCAAACCCGAAATCAGAATTTACAAAAAAAAAATACTTCTTTCAATTTGTTTTTTTTTTTATTTTTTCTATATTTTCTTCAGTTTTTTTTTTTTTGTAGCAATTTTATTTCTCTTTCTTTTCGCATCACTTTTAAAAAAGATCCCGCTTATCCATTACCAAATGAAACTATTTCTATCGGTGACAATTGTTGTAACTTTTTTTTCTGTTGTCTTTTTCACACTTATCAAATTTTATCAAATCGTACGATTCTATTGTCTGAAAATCGTTGATGTCCAATTTGCACGAATGAATTTGGTGTTGGCGATTCAGAAAAAAAAAAAACAAAAAAAAAACTAAATACAAACTAAACAAACTGATGTCTTTAGTGTCTGAACGAATAAAATGAAATAACAGAATTTAAAATTTATAAGGAAAAAAAATAATATATGTATAAACGTATATAAATTTAATATCGATAGAATAATCGGACAACCGAACGAAGTACACGCAATTCAAAAATATTCACAACAAAAACGGACCAAGACATTTGCCGTTTGTGCCAACACTATGGACACATTATTTATTCTCGCATGCACATCATAATAAAGAATGAAATGAAATAAGCAGTACTGATATACTTTTAACACATGCACAATTGGCATCAGACGGAGACATACGAATGTGGTTAATATATATAAATATATATATATATAAAATAAAATATAGAAAGGGAGAAAGAGAGCATGTACGAGAGCGAGTGGCAATGCCAATATTACAATGGCGACCAAACTTTTTATTCTCTCATCTATCTATATGTTTATTTATGTGTGTATCGCTATCTCTCGTTGATATTTTCAAGCCGTTGATTGTGATGATGACGACCGCGACGACGACGACGACGACAACGACTATGAACGAAAAACACAACGAGAATCAAAAATATCGAAAAAGTGCACTCGTCTTTGCTATTTTATATAGTATATGATATGAAATAGATATATTCAACCGATGCCATTAAATTATAACGATTCGTTTATTATTATTTTTTGGCGACAACAATTCAGACTGTATGACAATTGATGATGATGCCTGGCCTGCCATAATTTTTTTTTTTTTCGAATTTAGGTTTTAATTGCGATACGCAATAGCAACTACAAAAATTTGCACTTATAAATTGCACCAAAACGGCGATGATGATACTGATGATGATGACTACAACGACACGGCGCAAATTAAATACGAATCTCATATATAACCTTCAACCCAAATCATCCGCATCAATGTTGAACGTCAAATAAAAATATTAATGCGTATTTACCAGCAAGAAAAAAAATAGAAATTATTTCAAAATAACTCCATCTGATTGCTTATTCAGTTCGATATTAAACAAAAAATAAGAAGAAGAGAGAACTGGACTTGAATCGAATGCGCGCGCGACAAAACTGAAATTTCAGGAAATATAACAAACGTATAATCTGTTATTTTCTCTTTCACTGGGTTCCAAATGTAATAATTTTGTGTGTGCTTGTTTGCTTTTCGATCGGTTGTTTGGCGATGCGTAACGAAAATTTCGGATACGAAATCTATTTGAATAATTCGCCATAAGCTCACACTTGACGATCGACTATCGCGCACACGGTGCATGTCGCGCACAACGATATCGTTCTATTTGACGTAAACGTTTCTCCTATATCTCACAATATCATAAGGTTGATGCGATCAAGCAAAGTATAAATCATTTTGCGTGTTGCCGATAGAGTGTTGACAGTGATCCTTATGCGATAAATAGTAGCACAACAAATTGGGGAAAATATAACAAGCAAAAGTAAAAAGTTCAGGAGAAATCGTCGTCTCAAATCATTTTCGAATTAAACCGATTCATCTGAACAAATGTCATTTTCGAAGATGCTGACGTCTCATAAGAATTAGGTGTTATTGTATTTCTTTGAATTCATTAAATTTGAATTTACATTTTCTTAACGGAATATTTGAAGTTATGTATTTAAACAATCGTATCATGTCGAAAATCATAATAGATTTTCCGTAGTCTGATACGAAAAAAAAAAATTCGAAAAATGAACAAGTTCAAATTTCGGACCAGTTTATCTAACTAACATAAAGTGTTTGAATTATTCTCTTTTAAAAATATTTTTTATGCAATAAAATAGAACACTTTTCAAATATTGAAGAAAGTTTCTTTGAATTTCCTATTTGAAGCACAAAGATGCAATAAAATTGTTAATTGCATTTAGATTCATGATAATAAACGTTCGAAATTGGTTATGGTTATACCATTATTTGACATTTGGATTCAATACCTTAAGTCCACATACACAAGTTAATTATGACAGCAGCAGCAACAACGATAACGACGTCACACTCATACACACATACAATCACAGCGAATATTCAGGCAAAAGTCATTTGAACATGCAACGGTATACTTGTACGTGAACGCAATTAAATAGATTTGTAGTGTATGCGTGATACTTCTTAGTATTGCATGCTTAATGGCTGCCATATCTACTTTATGTGCATTATTCTCATCATTTCGACACAGTTTTTTGTTCGACAAGTTTTGAAGAATTGTTGTCTGGCGTAGCTGCTTTTCTTGCCTGTCAAGGCGTGCAAATTTTAAACAAAATCTTTCATTATCCCTTAGCCTTTGACTCGATCGTACGTATAAAAAAATATATATATAGTTTATTTGTTTTTTTATTTAGTCTTCAATAACAAAAAAAAAAAAGAGAAGAGAGTAAAAATTCAAAACCTTAATATTTCAACATCGTGAAGAGAAAAAAAAATTTGTTCATTTTGTTTTGCTTTCATTATTATTGAACCGTAATTTGTGTTTGATGGTGTAATTCTTATCGTTCACTGCAACCATGCTGTGTATTTAAAGTGCAGACAAAGAGTTGTGTTTTGAATTGTTTGTCGTTTAAGTAGCATTTTATTTCTCCAAAGTGAAAGAAAAGGCAACAAATCAAACGAATCTCTGATTTTCACGCATATTTATAAAGTGTATCACTTGCGGTTTGTAGCATTCGATTGAAACATCAACGATTATTTGAAAAAAAGAAGAAGAAGCAGCAGAAAAACATAGCGCATTAATGTAAGTCATACAAAATTGTAATTGAATGTGTATTAGTTTGTCATAGAAAAGCGTCAGAAAACTGTATTTCAAATTTTTCTCTTTCTCTCTCTCTCTCTCTCTCTCTCTCTCAGTTTTAAAGTCAAAAATCAAAAGAAATACCAAGGGAAAAATAAAGTCACAAAGAATCACTATGTGAATAATCTCCACGTCTTTTTTTAGCTCCAGTCAACCGAATTGATTGTGGTGAAATTTGTGTGTTGCTGTCATACAGCTGCTGTTTATATGTGTTGATACATTACCTGTTTTGTATTCGACATCATAAATGTTTGCTTCGAAAAGTTTGCATGAAACGTGCTCTCTTCAGCATAATTTCAACGAGAAAAAGAACAAACATAGAGAATCAGTTGATAGTTTTACATCGATGTTTATTAAATTTATTATTATTTATTTTTTTCGTTAAATTTTTTTGAACATTGTTCGATACGATGATACACAGTAATCGCCTTTCAAACTATCAGAATTGTCGATTTAGCAACAATATCGATACGCGGCAATCAATTCAGTTGAGCTTTGCCCAATGTCTCATTGTTCCAGATTTACAAAGTTATACAATTTTCATTGTTCGTTTGTTGCCCAAAAATGTCAATAAATACAGTTAATTATATGCAAGTTCAAGTAGTCAATCGAAGTGACCGCAGTCAAATGGCAAATTGACAATTAAATAACCACAAATCACATTTTTGTGACGAAAAATAAATAAATAAACAAACAATAGGCTGCATTTGGTGATTGTTTATAATAGAGAATTTATTTAATTTGCAGTTGGAATAAAATTCAATTGGAATTGCAATAAAGCATGGCGGCCAATTCGAACTCCAAAACCATGGATCTGGATAAAGTAAGTGTAATTAGCATTTTTTTTTTGGCTGCATGCAATCGGAAAGTGTGTTTTATTTATTAATTTCTTTTGCCATTTCAATAGATATGGAGTACGCTAAAAGAAGGTATCACGCAAATTTACAAGCGGGAACCCAGTCTTACCATGGCTCAGTATATGGATTTATATACGTAAGTTTGAATTCAAAATCAACAGGAGACATTCGAACAATTTAAACAAGTAACTAATTCGTATTTTTCAAATTGGTTGCAGGCTCGTGTATAATTACTGTACCACCGTCTCAAAGTCCAACAAAAGTAAGATGATGAACACACATAATACGGGCACAGCAAAAAGTGGCGGTGCTGAGCTAATTGGTCAAGAACTCTATAAACGATTAAAGAATTTTCTAGAGAATTATCTAATCGAATTGTTAAAGGTATGTATTACAAAATCGGCCGATAATTTAATGTCATAAATATCAATGTAATATAAAAAAAATTCGATTTTCATTTGTATGCACAGAGTGGATCGAATTTGATCGACGAAGAGGTGTTGACATTTTACACCACAAAATGGGTTGAATATCGTTTTTCAAGTCGTGTACTGAATGGCGTTTTCGGCTACATTAATCGGCAATGGGTGCGTCGCGAATGTGAAGAAGGCCATAAAGATGTTTATGAAGTGTATCAGTTGGCATTGGTCACATGGCGTGAACATCTTTTTAAACATCTCAACAAACAAGTTACAAATGCCGTACTTAAATTGATCGAACGTGAACGTAACGGTGAAACGATCGATTCCCGTCTCATATCTGGTGTAATCAGCTGCTATGTTGAATTGGGTGTTGATGAAGATGCGCCGAATGCACGTGGTCAAAATTTGTCCGTTTACAAGGAAAGCTTTGAAGATGTATTTTTACAGGATACCGAACGTTTTTATTCAGCTGAAAGTGCTGAATTCCTGCGACAAAACCCAGTTACAGAATACTTGAAACGCGTTGAACAACGTTTGAACGAAGAATCAAAACGTGTCCAAGTTTATTTGCACGAAAACACACTCGCCAGCTTAGCTAAAACCTGCGAACGCGTTCTCATCGAAAAACACTTAGATATATTCCGTACTGAGTTCCAGGTAAATCAATATCACAACGTTTCGGTTCGGTTTTATGAGTTTTGACTAATCAAATGCACCCTTGTTCGTTTATAATTTACAGAATCTACTGGACTCGAACAAAAATATCGATTTGGGTCGTATGTACTCACTAGTGTCTCGCATCAGCGAAGGATTAAAAGAACTGAAAAGCGTATTGGAAGAACACATTCACAAACAAGGTGTCGAAGTGATTGCCCAGTGCGGTGATGCTGCAATAAATGTAAATTAACCAAATCTATCAATCGAATCAAATATCTCTGAATTTAAAAATTAAAAGAAAAAACAAACTGTTTGTTTCTCTGTAGGATCCAAAAGTATATGTGCAAACCATACTTGAAGTGCATAAGAAATACAATGCGCTCGTATTGGTATCATTCAAAAATGATTCCGGATTTGTGGCTGCTCTTGATAAGGCATGTGGCAAATTCATAAATACAAATGCAGTTACAACGACCAGCAAAAATACAAGCAAGAGCCCAGAACTGTTGGCAAAGTACTGTGATTTATTATTGAAAAAATCGAGCAAAAATCCCGAAGAAGCCGAACTCGAAGACACTCTCAATCAGGTTATGGTTGTATTCAAATACATTGAAGACAAAGATGTATTCCAGAAATTCTACAGTAAAATGTTGGCCAAACGATTGGTGAATCACACATCGGCCTCAGACGATGCCGAAGCATCTATGATTTCAAAATTGAAACAGGCATGCGGTTACGAATACACAATCAAATTACAACGAATGTTTCAAGACATTGGCATTTCCAAGGATCTTAATGATAAATTCAAAGCGAGAACCAAATCGTCCGATGTGCCAAGCGAAATTGATTTTAGCATTCAAGTTCTGTCAAGTGGATCATGGCCATTCAGTCAAAGCTTTAATTTTTCTTTGCCATCCGAGCTAGAAAGATCTGTCCAACATTTCAATCATTTTTATGCGGATGTTCATTCGGGACGTAAACTCATCTGGCTGTATAATATGTGCAAAGGTGAAATTGTGACAAATTGCTTCAAAAATCGATACACATTACAGGTAAAGTTTTCGATTTGAATTGAGAAACAAGTTTGAAAAAACAATTGAAATAGTTCTCTGTTATAAATATAAAAAAATATTCTTAAATTTTTGTCCACAGGCAAGTACGTTCCAAATGGCAGTGTTGCTACAATTTAACGAACAAACTAGCCTAACCGTTCAACAACTTGGTGAAAACACTGGTAAGCTGCGATCATTTTAGTTGGTAAAAGTGTGTAATTGTTGTGTGCTAAACTAATTTTATTCGATCAATATTTCAGGTATCGCTCAAGAAAATTTGCTCCAAGTTTTGCAAATTCTTTTAAAAGCAAAATTGCTTACGTGTTCAGATGATGAGAGCAGCTTGAATGGTGCATCAGTCATTGAACTATATTTAGCATACAAAAAGTGAGTTATCTCGATTCTATTTTATCACATGTGTATTTATATTGTGCATATTATATTGATAATATTAATAATGTCAAATGTGTTTAAATAGCAAAAAATTACGCATCAACATAAACATCCCGCTTAAAACCGAACTGAAGATCGAACAAGAGGCCACACATAAGCACATTGAAGAAGACCGAAAACTTCTGATACAGGCAGCTATTGTACGTATTATGAAAATGCGTAAAATTCTCAATCATCAAAATTTGGTCGGTGAGGTACTCACACAACTTTCGACACGATTCAAGCCTAAAGTTCCGGTCATCAAGGTACATACAAACATTACATTTAATTTCTTTTTTAACATAGACTTACATATGCTTTGTTTGGTTTTCATAGAAATGTATCGATATTCTCATCGAAAAGGAATACTTGGAACGTAAAGAGGGTCAAAAAGACACCTACAGCTATCTGGCATGATTTCACTCAACCTTTCATCTAAATGTTTCAATCGGATTATATTTTTAATCTGATGATAGTTTAATTTTTCATACAAAAACAAAAAAAACAACAACAACAACATGTAAAAGTTTCCAATTCTCTACGTTAAGAAATAAGCTTCTTTTTTTATTCGCGTCCGAAACATAATGGAGAAATTTATCTAATTTCGCTGTTTACATCGCCCGCGTATCAACAAACCGAATTCTAATCTTCTCCCAAGCGCTTTTGATTTCAAACATAAATTTTTTTTCCACATCTCAATGTTATCATTTTATTTTTGTTGAATGGACTTTTGTTCGTTACTTGAAATCAAATCACATAAATAAAAATGAGATCAAAAACGAATTATCATCAAACTATTATTTTGTCATTGCCATTTATTGTTTGTTGTCAAATTGACAATCTGATGGTTTTTATAAAATGAAATGAAATATTATACATTTTAGTTGACATCTTGCAAAGAAATGTGTTGAAGAAGCAGTAAAAATAATAAGAAAATAAAATTTAACATCATTATCGAATTGTAAAGAAAATGTGACTTTCTTTATTTTTAAATTTTTCAGCTGAGGCGGACAAAAAGAATCTTCTGCTGCTTGAACTCTCTTCGAAGTGTTAGTTTAAAATATCCAAATTTCATTACAAATACCCCGGAAGGTTTTTCTCTAGCAATAGAAATTAATCTGCACTTGAAATCTGTCACAGATTGAAGATCCAAGTAGACAATGAACTAAAGAAATATAGAGTAAATTTAACGGTAAAGTGAAAACTTCCTTATAAAGTAAGATATTCCTATGATAAATCATTTTGCTAGCATGTTAGTCGAGTCTTGTATCGAAGGGTAACATCGAAATGGACTTCCTTTAAACAAAATAAATCGAAAAGAAAGCAAACCCTTTTCGCAAAATTGAACTGTACAAGTGTTATTTAACCAAAAACAAACATGAAGGTTCGTTCATACTAAAGTGCAATGGACGCGAACCGGTTCAGTTGTGACAGTTCACTTGATTTCGAAATATGACGCAGCCAATGATGATACTAAAATAACACACATACCCAAATAATCATATGTACTAATGACAGCTCGCGTTATTCTGTATTTATGTGACGAACAATCACCATACTGTGTTTATTCAAACCATTCGTTTTGTTGTTTTTTTTTTAAGTGTGTATAGAAAATTTAAAAAAAACATCTATATGAACTTATAAAAATTTTCTATAGTAAAAGTTTTGTCTATATATTTATCAGTTTTTCATTTAGTGTCGCATCATACTGTCCTCGGTCTTATTTTATTTAAAATCATTTAATAAGAACACTGATAAAGTATTTCATCTAATTGTGAAATTCACAGCAAGTACTGAGTTCAGCCGAAATTCCGCGAAATTTGGCATTAGTCATACGTTGAGTTAAGAGAGCCCATTTGAAACACATCAGAATCATTTATTGAAATACATTTATAATTTGTAATTTGGTTTAAAATGGCCGTACAAGAAATGGAAAATGAAGATGCTCAAGCCAAAGATGAAAAGGTAAAAAGCCGTTTTTTGTTCTAATTCAAAGATCAATTTAAAAAAAAAACAACAATTATACCAACAAAAAAAAACTACTTCTTCAGATGCTGCAAGCGTTTCGTGAAGGATTGGAACAAATTTACGAAGCTAGGAAGATGACCCGCGATGAGTATATGAAATTTTACTCGTAAGTACCATTTCGAATAATAGTCGGAATAAATATTTCGCTGAACTAAGATTGACTTATTGATAAACTATATTATATACTGAAAACCTGATTTTTGATGCAAACAAATATTTTGTAAGAATGTTCTAGAAAATATATTGAATGATCGATTTGCTCATACAATTTCTTTGCATGTGCAGTACGACCACACATGCGCACGGTTTTTTGATCAGGGGGAAGGAGTCAAATTGACTTTGGTCTCGAGGGGGAGGGGGTATTTATGTGGAAAAATTAAAATAACAATTTTGTACGACACTTGAATACAAACAAAAAGTTTTTTTTTGTCGATTGATCTTTCAGACTTATTTATGACTATTGTGTGAAGGGAAAAGACATGGTTTATTGGGTGCCAGAAAGAGATTTGAATTGCTGCTATAAGCGTTTGGTTCGTAAAATTCAAGAATATTTGGACGTACACATCTCTGGAATTTCACAGGTTAGCTCATATCTTATTCATCTATTTCATTGTAAATATTTTCATCAACTTATTCACAAATCGATTTACAATTAGTATGTTTTAAATCAAATAATTTAAATATGTGATGTTAAACCATTTTTAGAAAATACCGGATTCCGATCAAGATGAAACAGCATTGAATTACTACTGTGAGGTATGGATTTATAATTTTATGTTCTTCACAACTATATATAAATTCATTTCTTCTTGGAACTATATATAAATTCATTTCTTGAAATTTCCATACTGTTATTTCTGTTAATTTTATTTACAAAACTCTTATATATGTGCAATGTTTCGGGTCACTCTAGGTATGGACCAATTTCCGATTATCAAGTAGATCCCTTAGTGGATCGTCAACGTATTTGGACAGGCAACATCGTAAAAAAGACCAAGATTGCCAAAGAGTCGAACAGATTATATATCAAACATGGCGTGTTCATCTTTTTGAACATTTGAATGAAAAGGTGTCAAATGCTGCATTGAGAATGTTTGAACGAAACCGAACCGGCCAATGGGTCAATACGGATGCAATAAAAGCCGTCGTCGAATCATACATCGATCTCGGTTGTCTAGAAACTCCAGCTGATTCCGATGATATTACTGCACACTTAACGGTACTTTATTCAATTTTCTCTATTTCCGAGGTGTAACCAACATATATATCTTATCTCAATTTCACAGGTTTACAAACAATTCGAAGAGCGTGTGTTAAAAGGAACCGAAACATACTATCAAAACGAAAGTGAAATATCCATGGAAAAATACTACCGAGAAGGGAAATCGTTTGTTAATTTTATGCAACACATCATTAAAGTGATTGATAATGAAATAAAAGAGCGCGTTAGTTTATTGCACATTACAACTAAAGAGCCAATTTTGAAGGTTTTAAGTGACACATTAATCACAAAGCATATAGAAATATTTGATTTCGAATTTCGGGTAAGGCGTTAAAGCTTCTCTTTTAAAAACATGTATGCTCTCATGGTTCTAGTGAAATGTGTTTCTTTTAATAGTTAATGTTGCTCGGTGACAAACTAAAAGATATGGCAATGATATATTCGTTGGCAACTCAATCGGAACATGTACAAAAACGATTGAGCTCAATATTTGAGGAGCACGTGATGAAGGCCGGATTCGATAAACTCGAGACTTGTACCGAAGAAGCTGTTAAGGTAAGTTTTCATCATTTATAAAATAATTGGTATTTTCTTCATTTTTGTTTGCATATTCTTTTCTAGGATTCAAATTTATATGTTCAGACAATACTGTCGGTATATGATAAATATTATGAGCTACTAAAAGATCAATTTAAAAGTGATGTTCTATTCAAGACATCACTTGATAAGGCCTGCAATAAATTTGTGAATAGCAATTCTGTGATTACAAAAAGTGGTGACCCAGGCCTTAGTCCAAAATTGCTGGCCGATTATTGTAATTCGTTGTTGAAAAAATCAAGCAAAAATCCCGAAGAAGCCGAACTCGAAAATGCTCTCAATAAGGTTATGATCGTATTCAAATATATCGAAGACAAAGATGTGTTCCAAAAATACTACATAAAAATGTTGGCAAAACGATTGGTATATCACACATCGGCATCAGATGATGCTGAGGGGTCAATGATTTCAAAATTGAAACAAGCCTGCGGCTATGAATACACAATCAAATTAACTCGAATGTTCAATGACATTGGCCTATCCAAAGATCTTAATGAGAAATTCAAGGCGAGAACAAAATGTTCCTACGAAATGAGCGATTTTACCATTCAAGTGCTGTCAAGTGGCGCATGGCCATTCCATCAAAGCCTTAAATTTAATTTACCAACTGAGCTAGAAAGATCTGTTCAAAATTTCAACCAGTTCTATGCCGAGATGCATTCTGGTCGGAAACTAGTCTGGCTGTATAACTTGTGCAAAGGTGAAATTGTGACAAATTGCTTCAAAAATCGATACACATTACAGGTAAAGTTTTCGATTTGAATTGACAAACAAGTCAAAAACACAATTGAAATAGTACTCAGAGTTTCTTATTGAAAGAAAAATATATTCTTGTTCACAGGTTAGTGCGTTCCAAATGGCTGTGTTACTACAATTTAACGAACAAACTAGTCTAACTGTTCAACAACTTGCTGAAAGTACCGGTAAGTTGCGATTATTTCATTTTGATCATTTTTATTCGGTGACAGTGCATAATTTATGTGATCATTTTCAAAAACCAATTTATTTCTTTGAATTTTTGCAGGAATCGCTAACGAATACTTGATTCAAATTTTGCAAATCTTTTTAAAAGTAAAATTGTTTGTGTGCTCAGATAATGAAAACAGCTTGAACGATAAATCAGTAATTGAACTATTTACGGCCTATAAAAAGTGAGTTATCTCTATTCTATTTCATTATACTAAATGCTGATAGTATACTAAATGCGTTTCAATTTTATTAATAGCAAAAAATTGCGTATCAACTTAAACATACCGTTAAAAGTCGAAGTGAAGGCCGAACAGGAAGCCACAAACAAGCATATTGAAGAGGATCGTAGCCTTCTGATACAGGCGGCCATTGTACGTATTATGAAAATGCGTAAAACTCTCAATCATCAAAACTTGGTTAGTGAGGTACTCGAACAACTTGCGTTACGATTTAAGCCTAAAATTCCGGTCATCAAGGTACATACAATAGCAAACATTTTATTTAATTTCTTTTTTAACATAGACTTACATATGCTTTGTTTGGTTTTCATAGAAATGTATCGATATTCTCATCGAAAAGGAGTATTTGGAACGACAGGAGAACCATAAAGATGTTTACAATTATTTGGCTTAATTTCATAGAACAACTTTTACAAGTTATTTATTTGTTGAGAAACATAATACCTCAATTCTAGACATTAAGCACAATTTTTGTATGAAACATTTTGAGTGAATATAGATAATATAAAATCGTTTTACAACCAATTTAATGTCACTGCTATTCGTAACAATTTCTAATACCAATTGTATGTTCAATGAAATTAGTGAATAAGTCATGTTAAGAAGATAGCTCATATTCGTAATGAATTTTATGCTAATGAAGTGGGTTAATGTAAAGAAAAAAAATAAAACATTATATTTTTCTGTGAATAAATAAAAAAAAGAAACAATGTGTCAACTCATGTGGAAATTCATTTTTATTTTAAAATTTTAACGACATTCCAATTCTCTTAAAATAACTGAATGATGTAGTTTTTAACATATTCACCATAAAGTACACTGTTCGAATGGTTTGTCAAATATATGAAGAGTGTGTGATTGTTTGCATTTTTCACGAAATCCAAGCATGCAAAGCATACATGCTGTTTGCTTACACTTGCAATATGGCACATCAGATAGAAAGCAGCGCCATATTTTATTTGATTTTGGTACATATGTCTCATACAATGACAACGTCAAACGTCATTTTAACGAAAAAATAAAAATGCGCTTGGATGTGGAGAATGGCGCGTATGTGTGTGTGGAGAATAACATTACGTTGTCATGATAGTTGTGTTATTGGTACGAAAATGTTGTATGGAGAGCGCAATGATTTCCGAAGAATACACATGATGTGCACATAACACGCATACATCGAAACAAACATCTTTCTCTCTGTTCGCATATCCGTTGATTCGGTGAGTCCAGTTTTTGGTTTCAGTTCACTCGTTGTCTTTAATTCAAGTTTGACGTGTCTTAGTTTTCTATTGAATAAACGCGACAGCGACAGCAATACCAACAAATAAACATCAATAAGAATCGCATCATTTCTTATATTAAACCAAATTAAAAAATGATTAATCGTAATCTCAAATAATTTACGCCTAATACATTTTCGATTCATAATTTTTTTCGCTTTGTGCAAAAGACAATTTTCACAAAAATCGAGACCTTACAATTCCGACTCATAATAAAGTGAGCGATGCGATACATATATCAAACGCAAGTAGCCAATTGCAAAACGTGTGCAGAATAACATACCATTTGAGATGAACACGGAACATACATGACTTACAACACACATTATATTATTCATCATATTTATTTATTTTTGACTTAAATCAGTTTCTTCGTGTTGTGTCTGGTTTGGTTTTTTTTTTGCTGCAATACACAGTGGTGGAAGTTGATTCGTAATAGAAGATACACATAAAAAAACATTGACCACACAACAAAATATGCTTAGAGTGGAAATAAAAAAACAACAAACAGGAAAAACACAGAAAAACCATTTGAATGTGAATTTGAATTTGTGTTGTGAATAAAGTCCATTGAGAGAGTTCTATATCTTAAAGAGTTGTTGTGTTATTCTAACATTGCTGAAAACTCATTGTTGGAATTCCAGTGAAATATAAAACGTAATAAACATTTACAACACTTACAGAAAGTTGTCTTTTAGTTGTTTCTCAGCTCTTTAATAAGAACATTTGTACGTTTCATTTGCGGAAGTTGTCATTTGACCAAATAAATTTTTAAACATAAAATTAAACCGACATTTTGCTGTGTCTATTATAGCCATCACACTCACTTTCTTATTCGATTCGTTGGCAAAAAACAACACACACACACAATCCAAAACAAGTCAAAATTTTGAATTTGTTGCGACAAAGACATATGGAACTTTAAACAAAAAAAAAACAATAATCATAAGTGAGTGTACGTGCACAGTTCAACTACGAAAAAAAGACGGTAACGATTTCCAAAAAGGTGAAAAAAGAAATCAATGCAACCAAATTAAGAAAATTCGCGAATACACTGAATCAAAAAGTGCTGCAACACAAACAGCGACATTAAAGTACAGTTAATATATCTCATTTAATTGGTGATGTGACGCCTACATTTATTTCCTGTGCATACAAAAAAATAAAACGATAACAAAGTACATTTTTCTGGCTGGCATTTCATAAACGGTGTGGCCGACATTCAAGTGTATTCACCGCCATCATCTTCATCGTTTATATGCGTTCGTTCGTTAGCGTTTATATTCGTTTTATTGTGCATGGTTTGAAGAGTGAGAATAAAAGTAATCCGAAACTCAGTGAAATTCCATTTATTGATTAACATTAATTTTCTAAATTTTTCGTTTACATTAAGCTCCAATCAATAATCAGGTATTGTATAGATATTTATGTACAAAAAAAATAACATATATTTATCAATTATTCTTATTTTATTGCTTTACACTCTTCTCATATCCATTGCATGTTATTGAATGCCGTTTATCGATTTAACCTTAAAATTCTCAATTACTAACCACTCAACTATTTTCAACATTTTAAAATAAAAGAACTTATCTAAAAACCTTAGATCTTTCAATGAAAAAAATGTTTTAGTTTCTTAACATCAAACACAACCACAAAACAAAAATTAGACCACACAACTTACACAAATAAAAAAACTAAGAGTAAAACAAATATTTAAAATATCCATGCCGCCTAAGTAATTTTCTTTGATTATGTTTGGTATTTGTGTTTCCATGGCTTTAAACATTTCTTTCACTTCTCTTGTGTGATGCTTTTTTTATTTTTGATCTTTTTTACATTCGGTTTGACACCTTTGTAGTTTCTGTCTTGCTCATTAAACAAAAAAATAAAGAATTTATTAAATGAAATCAACAACATTTGAAGCAAAATCATCTAATTTTAAATGATGACATAGAAAAAGTATATTGTCTTTTATTCTATTTGTAAATAGTTGTATACAATATCATGACATTTTCAAAGGAAAATAGGTCGAAACAAATAATTATGGTCGTTTTTTTACTTCCAAAATATTTTCTTCAACCAGCATATCGATAGAAAAACAGTTGCATGCCTCTTTTTTTGCCAATAGCGAATTTTTCGTTGTTGTTGTTAAAATGCTTGTGTGCCAGTTCTTTTGTTTTTATTACCAAGAGCTATTGTTTGGTTCGAGAACATTATCTATTTATCTATTATTTGCTTGGGATACTTCCGGTGCATATAGTAATACATTATGCAGATGATTTTCTGTTGTCGATTTTCTTTCTGCTGTGTGTAACAGCAAAAAAAAAATCGAACTCAATTTGAGAACTAAAGTGCTTGTTTTCCGTGGTGCATTTCTTTTTGTTGCTGTTTGGTTTGCGATTCGATAAATATGTTTGTTTACATGCATGTTAGTAGGCAAACAAAAACGAGAACCACATTCTCGAATTCATGCTGAAAACGATGATACGATGGTGGCCAAAGCGCAGACGCATCGCATATCATGTAAACAAACCAATGTGTATTGCCTTGTTCTGTATTTTATATATCTATATCGTATATTATATTGTTGTTTTTTCTTCTTCTATCTTGTTGTTCATTTCGTTACGCACACATAAAAAAGTACACAGAATTTCATTTTTCATCAGCGTTATCATGGAGCTACCACCAGATTTGTTTAGCAACACATGAGTTTCCCATCCATTTTCACCCTCTTTTGATATAATCATACATATCATTTAGTTGTGTGTTATTTCATTACGTCATTTTGTCTATTATGAATATTTTAGTCGATCCTTATCTTCAATTTGCTATTGCCAATTTTGATCCTTTATTCATGCGAAAAGTGGAGGTAACATTTTGAACACGTTTCACTTTAATAAATGGACTAACGTTAAAAGTAGTTCGCGCGATAAAGAAATAATTTCAACGATTATCCAATTTTTTTCGCCACCAACTGTGTGTATCGCACGTTAGACGAATTTCCGTTGAAATTGATTCGGTTTTTTTCTCTCTCTAAAATGCTTTCCATTAATTGTCTTAAATGCTTCGATTTTTTCATCTTTGATTTCAATTGCTTCAATTTCACTTCACCATGGCAAATTTATACCGATTATGGCATAAAATGCAGATGTTGAAAGAAGGAGGGAAACATAGAGCGTTTTTTTGGAACGCCTACAGTTTTGATCAATTTCATTTTTCTCTTGCGAACATCACATCATCCATTTGTATTTGAAGTTGTTTTTTTTTCGGTGTTATATCATATCAATTATGCATTTTCTATTTGAACTTCATTTCGCGAATCGTTTGCGAAAATACTTTTTGTGCAATTTTTGCTACATGGATATTTTCTCTAGTCAATTACTTGTTGCTGGTTGACCTCAGCCGAATAGTTGCAATATTTTACTTTAATATCTCCCCACGCAACAAATATACTTATTTTAATCTTGATAGTGGTGTGTGTGTGTGTGTGTGTATGTGTGTATTTTATGCGAGACTGTGTCTCAGCTTAGACTGAATTGTTGTTTTTTTTGTTGTTTTGTTGCGTTGTCGTTGGAGCGATTTGTTTGCCATGTGCCAAATGCGAATGAATGGAAATAAATTGTTAGTGTTATATACAATAGAAAGAAAGGAATGACACGTATCGCATGCAAAAAGAATGTTTATGAGTGGCTTCAATTAGGTAATTTAATTTCGTTACTTGTGTGTGTGTGTTTTTTTTTCTTCTCAACCACCAAATGATGAATGATTTTGCACTCGTTAGCACAACTAATTCAACTCATTAGTAATTAAAATGTATTCCAGAGTGAACATGACGTCGTTTGTTCGGCTCATACGGTTTTTTAAAAAGTTTACTATCACATTCATTGTGCTTTTGTATTGCAAACACATTGTGATACAAAATAAAATACAGAACAAATAAAAAAGTGAAGGAAAAAAAAAGATCCAGAAATTGGGGTCATTCTCTATTGAGAATAGATATTCAATAATAATGATCGACAAAATTCAATGGCGTTGAAAATTGAATCAATCGAAATAGTTAACAACAATGGAGCTCGCTTTCTTTCTCCAAGCATGATATTCAATCTGCAATCGAGCTCATTTCGTTGCGATTCTTGAACGTAAGATCTGTATGAAAATGCAATGGACAGATAAGAGAAACCATCAGGTACATATGACTCGTGGTATTCACCGCATGTGAATGGGATCATTTTTTTTTGGTTGCTG